TAGCAAAAACAGATTAAGCTGAAATTCGGAATATATGATGTGCGTGTCCAACTACTCGTGAAATAACAACTTCCGTAAATTCCTAGAAACTGATATATATACATAGATTTGGGGACGTTTTCGAACGATTTCTTCCAGATTTGAAGGTCAGCTTTACCAGTAACCAGTATTGACGTTTTGGCATCGATGACGGCGATTTTTTTCACTGACATGATGTTTAGAATTCGTCACGGACATTTTCCTTAGAGATGATTCAATATGTAACACAAGTGTTAGCAAAAACAGATTAAGCTGAAATTCGGAATATATGATGTGCGTGTCCAACTACTCGTGAAATAACAACTTCCGTAAATTCCTAGAAACTGATATATATACATAGATTTGGGGACGTTTTCGAACGATTTCTTCCAGATTTGTAGTGTCAGCTTTACCAGTAACCAGTATTGACGTTTCGGCATCGATGACGGCGATTCTTTTCACTGACATGATGTTTAGAATTTTTTCTTCTGGTATATTTTAACATTTCAATCATACTGAGCATATTTTTTTGAGAAACACACCATTTAAAAGGCCATGTTTTGGAGGGTGCATGAATTGCTTCTTATCGGATTAGCTTTGCCTAACAACGGCATGACGCTTTGTGTTCGCAACCATAATTATGGCTGCTCAGTTGGCCATACCATTGCATATGTGAGTAAAGAAGCTATTGGAAATTAACAAGATGTATCCACAAATAATACTTTGACAACTACAATAAAGGTATTTCGTCATGGTTGTACATCGACTACGATTTCCTCCGAAGTTCAGATATTGCATCATTGCCACAATGACTCTTCATTATGCTGTGTCTTAATTTGCATGATTCATGTATTTATAATTTTCAGAAATAAATCGATGGTTTCCAAGTAATTTCGAGGTCCAAACTGTTCTTTGGTGTGTTAATTAAGTGTAATTACCGATAGGCCTATGCTATTTGTCAACTTCGTTGTAATCCTTGAAACTAGAAACGCTACCCTGGGAACCTATTTTTTGCGAAACAAAATTAACTTTGTATTTCACATTGGAAGAAAATACACCTACCGATATCTGTCTCCGAGTACGGCCGACAGAGACCCCCTGAATCCCACCACATGCTACGGCACACTTGGCAGCCATCGGTCGTCTCAGCATCTCCGGCTCCCGTGCCACCTTTCGCCGGGTTGATGTCAGCATCCAGCACGCAGATCATCGGTACCTCCTTTTCTGCTTCGGTTTCGTCCGTCTGCTCGTCTACCACACCCGGGTACAGCCACCCACTCCTCTCCTCTTCACCCCTCTCCCGGTATCGGCGCTGGAGAACGGCCAGACGGCACAGGTCGCACCGCCGCTGGGTCACAATCCGGCGGTAGTTGTACAGCCCGATGAACTTCAGTAGCAACCAGAAGGTCCAGGGCCAGATTTTGCGTGCGAGGACCCTGGGAGAAGTTTCTCCTGTCTGTGACTGAGAGGAACTCGCTATTGGGGTCGAGTAATAGCAGTTGAAACTCTGAATACCGCCATGCTTGCTTGGGGGAAGTAATAAGGTGCGGTACTCGCTTGCCTCAGAAACCTCCGTCGTCATGATGAGCTACCTTTAGATACAGGAACACTTGGATATCAAGCTACCTGGCAGATTCTTATATAGTTTAGAGATTGAAACTGTTATTGAGCTGACGTATAGGAATGCGAACCGACAACCCTCGCAAAAGGGAACTTTAAGAAGCAGTATGTATGCAGTAACCGAAAGCGTTGGTGTCGTGTCCGAAAGGAAAATAAAATAATAATCGGGAATTTTCCCCTTTCGTACCGATGTTGTTATTAGCTAAAAATAAAATCTTATTAATGTTCATCACGCCAATATTTCCCGAAATGTTTTGTTTATTTAATAATATATCCTGTAACTTTTTAGTGAACTGAAAGACAAAAAAAATCAAAAGTTATATTCACTAGGTTTTATTACTTGGTGCAATTTCGGATGAAACAATCACAATAGAAAACAATTATCACCATAGAAAACAATTATATGTCCCACAACCCATAATTCTTGCTGGTGTACAGGGCCAGTCTACAGGGTGAGTAAAAAATAAAGGAAACCCAAATGGTAGGACCAATTCTTTGATGAAGTTGTTCATGTACCACTATCAAAATTTAGCACAAGAAAGCCCAAGTAATAAGCTTTCTTTTAGTAGAAAAATCATTCAAATCACTCATGTGATTTTCAAGTTACGGAGTTTTAAACACAACCACCGTTTTAAGGTTCTGTCCACGGATCACAAAAAAAGAGTAAGTGTTATTTCAGAAAACGTTGCTGAAAGAACACAAACCTTATCTTTTTTTGTGATCCGTGGACAGAACTTAAAAACGGTGCAGTTGTGTTCAAAACCCCGTAACTTGAAAAACACATGAGTGAATTGGAATGATCCTTCTACTAAAAGAAAGCTTATTAATTGGGCTTTCATATCCTAGATTTTTATAGTGCTTCACGCAGAACTTTTTTAAGAAACTAATCCTGCCATTTTTTATTGGGGGGGGGGTTGGACTCACCCGGTAAAGTCGTCTTTGCGCCCGACTGACTCACTGACTGACTCATTGACTATGTTTTGTAAATTACATATAATTCTCAACTTGACACAAAGAGTTTGAAAACAGGATTACTCCGGAACGCCAATAAATGGGATGAATCCGGCCCATTGTGAACGCTATTCTGAATTGATTGCATATAATATATTAGGCTAATTGTCTATTAGTTGTTATAATTATATCTCTTGGCCGTAGGGCTGTGCATCGGAGCCAGGTACCTGAGTACCCGACCGCTGATGCCATGAACCGGTTCCAAATTGCTTTTAGTAACTTCTCGCACCGTCAAAAAAGAAAGGTTATGAATGTCGTGTATGGGGCATGTTCAAAATGAAAACCTTGCTATATGCAAAAACAGAGCAGATTTCACGCGTATGATGCTCGAGGAAAGCTATAATTAAAGCTCAAGGTACACACACTTTCTCGATGTTTAGAGCTGCATTGAACCACCGATGTAGTACTATCATCGTGTGGACCTTTATGCATAATCTGAACAGCAACTTCCGGGATTTGTATTTTTTTGGACTGGGTTTCTTGACCGGTACTCGCCGGGTACCCGTGTTTTTTTGTTATTTAATCGGGTACCCGGTTCCCGTACGGTAAATGCGCACCCCTACTTGGACGACATCAACCATTCAAAGCATGAAAGAAATCAAGATATAGTTCATAAAGGTACATCAGTTCATTTTTCAAATGTTTCGGATTTTTTTCTAATTTGCGGAGGGGGGGGGGTTGGTAAAAGGGAGATGCAATCCGAATATCATTAGGTTCGAATTCTTTTGTTTTTCCTTTATATATGTTTTTCTAATTTTTTTAGGGAAGTTAAGTCCAAAACCTCATAGCGTATACCCTATTTGCTTAAGTAGTTTGGGGAAAACAAATTCGCCGCCTGGCAACCCAAACATTTAATCATCTTTCGCAGTTTTTTTGCCCATCGTCAAGAGAACGGGGGGGGGGGCTGGTGGGGCCGTGCCCCCCTTGGCGAGCAATTGGCCCCCGACGGCAAAAGCCATACCTGTGTATTTTTTATTTTTACGGTAGTGGGCCCACATGAGTGGTCTCTCGTCAAGGGAAGACTGAACAGAAACATCTTATTTCGCTCGTAGCCCCCTACCCTGCAAACAGGACGCGGGAAGAGCTCATGAATTTAAGCTCTGATTGGATAGATTTTGCGTGACCTCTGACCTGCAAGTCATCACGGCCACGACCCTGCAAAGTTCAAACGGCCGTTAAGACCGAGTCACTACTCCTTTTATTCTCCCTCGTAAATGCTTATTTTTCATTGAAAAGCGTAATAATCTTGGAAAATCTGTAAAACTGATCTGTTTCGTGAATTTTCAATTCCCGTCATTTGCTCAGGCTCCGTTTCGAATTCACGATGCGACGCTCAAATTTGTCCACATGGTCCGCAAAGAAAAAAATCACATCTGATATGGAATGTATGCATTTCTATGAGAAAGTTTTCGGATGGCATTTGCGTGCATTAGCTAACAGCGGACTTAAATAGCTGCAACTGGATGTCTTTATATGGGTCATGATAAGTTACCCAGAGTTCCGTCCCCACTTCCTTCACAAGATTCTGTGAAACTTATCAGCCCTTCCTAGCGCCCTGTTTGCAGGGTGGGGGTACGAGCGAAACATCTGATAAGCAATACTAAAGCTAATATATATATATAGATCTATGTAGGATAAAATATCAAAATAGTCTTCATGTCAATTCTACATTATGTTACAGTAGTACCTTAACATTTTTTCTAGCATATTACTGAACTGATGTAAAAGCAAATATCGCGATTACGATGTGATCTGTGCATGTTCAAGGAACAGTGTTGATAGTTAAAAGCCACACAAAGGAAAACAATTATTGACATTATACTATAGAAGTAATCAGTTTCACTATCATCAAATGCTTAGCTGTCAAACACGAAGTGTGGTAGATTTGATGTTAAGTTATTATGCTGATATTGTTTGCTGTGACATGTTATTTATATTATGGTAATTGTAGAGCAGAACTAAAAAATTAGGGGTCCCGTCGATGAGCAACATTTTGCACTAGGACGGGAAGCGAATAGACTATGTAATAGACCATGGCGAATGTCATGGTGTATGCCAGCAGATTCGCTGATTAATTAGGCAAGACAACCGCCTCTGGACCTCTAGATTTTGACCAATCGGGGGTCTTCGGTCATTCACCTGTTGCGCGTGATAGACAATGGATACAAAAATGTGTCACGCGCTCTGTATCAGTGCTAACGCGATATGCATCATAATGTTGTTGTATGCAAAACACTTCATTCTAATTGACCAATCAAACCATTTAGTCTTGATTTGGGAATGAAATGACGTCACGATTTAGTAAAGTCAACTCCGATTGGCTGGCGCGCGGCTTGCATAAATCTGCATGTTTAGACATATCAAACGTTATACAGGACTTGGCTCCGTGGATAATGGGTAATTCTCAGAATAGGAAGCGAAGGGGGGAATACTCAAAATCAGCTGGCGCCGAGGGACTAGTAAATTTGCAATTCTCAAAAAAATAAGTTGGTTTTTGAGTGAAACAAGTTGTTATACTGTAAGTCAACAAGTTGGGGGAAGCGCGCGTTTTACTTCTCAAACGCGTTGTAAAATTGTCCAATAAAAAATGTTGTATGCCTTTAAAGTTCTACAAGGCGTAAAAATAACACTTAGAGGCTTTTGTGACTTTATTAGTACGCAGATTTATGAGTGAGTAAAATAGGATGCATTGTCCAGTGGTGTGAGGAAGTAAGTTTCCTGAGTTGGCATGTACACATCCTGATCCTCCATAGATAGGTGCAAACCAAGAAACAGACCCAAAGCAGAGAACATCAGCGTGAGCATTTTCACCCTGGTGACCGGAGACTGCTCCTCGCAGAAGGCAAGAATCTTGTCCCAGAAGACATCGTGAGACTCGCACCTCATCTGACTGATGCTCTGCTTGAACTGAGACCACGTCCCCTTCAGATCCACACCGCCGACAGCCAACAGAGGCAGAGCAAGGAACATGGTATTCGTGGACCAGATGTTGATGTTGAACGCCACAAAGTAATCGTGCTTGACCTTGAAACCGCCGCTGATGACCATGTATTCCCAATAGAGCAGCGAGGAGAAGGCCCAGGATGAGATGGCAGCAACCATGATGATCCAGATGGATACAAGCCTCCTCATGCTTCCCAGATCCTCGGCGTACATGGCCAGCTGTCGCCTACAGATATCTACCTCACCCACATGCTTCCAGAGAAACCCCAGCTCCAGACGTTGCTGCTGAAGGAAAGCCAACCTCAGCAGCAGCACGAGGTAGCAGAAGGCGCCCCATACTATCATACAAACGACACTGAAGACAAGAGACAGCTTCGCTTGCCAGAGTGAACCACCCATGGTGACATAGAAGATCAAGCTGTACATCCCATTGAAGAGAGGCCAACTCAGACACACGGTCAGAAAGCCTCGACAGGGAAGCTGATATCCCATCTCCAAGTGCTGCACGCGTCTAACGATGTATCTGATGCTAAGTGCCTTCCACCAGCGGAAACCGTGAACCCTCCGCAGCCTGCGACGGTCCATCTGCATGTGGCGGAAATTGGTCAGGAGAATCAGAGCAGGTATGGACATGTTGAAGAAGATGTGCGTGGCGTAGCTGATGAAGGGAACGAGGTCCCGCTTCTTGCCTCCCAGATACTCGATCTTAAGGGACATTTCGAACAGTGTGAACGCAAACAGGACCAGGGACCAGATGACTGAGAGTACAGTGCTGCCACGATGGTTCCACTCACAAACACCTGTTGAGAGTACCATAACAGTATGACAGCATTTTATAATATTTGAAAATATAAAGAATATTAAAGGTTACGTAACACTTTATTTTGAATGAAACTACATGTACACGCACATGTTCACGTTGGCGGGCGAAATCTTTGAAAATTAATTTTTCCCGTTTGGAAGACCGTATCTTCATGCAACTTTCAGGGTTTATTTCCCCTATAATGATCCAATTATGTGCTCAAATTGTTATGATATGTTCGTTACTTTTCATTGAAATTGGAAAAATAGGCCTGGCTACGTGCATATTTGAAAGTTGTAACACGGGCGTTATCAATGTCTGTAAATCTTTTCAAGCCTCACAAATATTAATAAGGTTCTTATCCATTATGGTGTGCAGTAAACATTTGCGTTAAAGCCTCCTTCACGAGTTATTAATTGATAAATATCACCCTTTTTGCCGGCTTCCATTGGTCGATATACCGAGACCCACGCCAATTACGCCGAGTGACGCTAATGAATATGCTAATATGCGATTGTCCATTGTGTGGCCAGGCCGAAATCGGTCAACCGTAGCGTCTACTGTGCTATAGGAAAACCATACACGTGGGTTTGGTCGCTAAAATTCGTCACCGAAATTTTCCTTAGAGATGATTCAATATGTAACACAAGTGTTAGCAAAAACAGATTAAGCTGAAATTCGGAATATATGATATGCGTGTCCAACTACTCGTGAAATAACAACTTCCGTAAATTCCTAGAAACTGATATATATACATAGATTTGGGGACGTTTTCGAACGATTTCTTCCAGATTTGAAGGTCAGCTTTACCAGTAACCAGTATTGACGTTTCGGCATCGATGACGGCGATTTTTTTCACTGACATGATGTTTAGAATTCGTCACCGACATTTTCCTTAGAGATGATTCAATATGTAACACAAGTGTTAGCAAAAACAGATTAAGCTGAAATTTGGAATATATGATGTGCGTGTCCAACTACTCGTGAAATAACAACTTCCGTAAATTCCTAGAAACTGATATAAATACATAGATTTGGGGACGTTTTCGAACGATTTCTTCAAGATTTGAAGGTCAGCTTTACCAGTAACCAGTATTGACGTTTTGGCATCGATGACGGCGAATTTTTCACTGACATGAAGTTTAGAATCTTTTCTTCTGTTATATTTTAACATTTCAGTCATACTGAGCATATTTTTTTGAGAAACACAACGTTCCAAATGCCATGTTTTTGGGGGTGCATGAATTTCACTGCTCCGTATCGGATTAGCTTTGCCTAACAACGGCATGACGCTTTGTGTTCGCAACCATAATTATGGCTGCTCAGTTGGCCATACCATTGCATATGTGAGTAAAGAAGCTATTGGAAATTAACAAGATGTATCCACAAATAATACTTTGACAACAACAAAAATGGTATTTCGTCATGGTTGTACATCGACTACGATTTCCTCCTAAGTTCAGAAATTGCATCATTGCCACAATGACTCTTCATTATGCTGTGTCTTAATTTGCATGAACCCTTGTGTTTGGAGCAATCTCAGATACGATACATTTTTCCCTATTATTTTCAGAATTAAATCGATGGTTTCCGAGTGATAACGAGTTCCAAACTGTTCTTTGGTGTGTTAATCAAGTGTAATTACCGATAGGCTTATGTTATTTGTCAAGTTCGTTGTAATCCTTGAACATTAATAGAGCACACCTTCTCGAAACTAGAAACGCTACCCTGGGAACCTATTTTTTTGCGAAACAAAATTAACTTTGTATTTCACATTGGAAGAAAATACACCTACCGATATCTGTCTCCGAGTACGGCCGACAGAGACCCCCTGAATCCCACCACATGCTACGGCACACTTGGCAGCCATCGGTCGTCTCAGCATCTCCGGCTCCCGTGCCACCTTTCGCCGGGTTGATGTCAGCATCCAGCACGCAGATCATCGGTACCTCCTTTTCTGCTTCGGTTTCGTCCGTCTGCTCGTCTACCGCACCCGGGTACAGCCACCCACTCCTCTCCTCTTCACCCCTTTCCCGGTATCGGCGCTGGAGAACGGCAAGACGGCACAGGTCGCACCGCCGCTGGGTCACAATCCGGCGGTAGTTGTACAGCCCGATGAACTTCAGTAGCAACCAGAAGGTCCAGGGCCAGATTTTGCGTGCGAGGACCCTGGGAGAAGTTTCTCCGGTCTGTGACTGAGAGGAACTCGCTATTGGGGTCGAGTAATAGCAGTTGAAACTCGGAATACGACCATGCTTGCTTGGGGGAAGCAATAAGGTGCGGTACTCGCTTGCCTCAGAAACCTCCGTTGCCATGATGACTTTAGATGCAGGAACACTTGGATATCAAGCTACCTGGCAGATTCTTATATAGTTTAGAGATTGAAACTGTTTTGAGCTGACGTATAGGAATGCGAACCGAAAACCATCGCACAAGGGAATTTTAAGAAGCAGTAATGTATGCAGTAACAAAATGTGTCCGAAGTGAAAATAAATAATCGGGAATTCTTCCCCTTTCATGTTGCAGTTAGCTAAAAATAAAACTTACTAATGTTTATCACGCCAACATACTGTTCCCGAAATGTTTTGTTTATTTAATTATATTTCCTTGTGCAGTTTTTTTCTCGCGTTCTGAACCTGTGACGTTTTAGGAAGTGAAAGACAAAATCAAAAGTTATATTCACTATAGGTTTCTATTACTTGATGCAATTTCGGATGACACTGCATAAAGGAAGCTTTGTCATAGGTATATCTCCTGGTCGTAGGGCTGTGCATCGGAGCCTGGTACCTGATGAGTACCCGACCGCTGACGTCATGAAACGGTTCCAGATTATGGGATCGGGTACCGGTAACCAACCTTAAAAATTGCTTTTAGTAAACTTCTCACACAATGAAAAAAGAAAGGTTATGAATGTCGTTTGCGGGGAATTTTCAAATAAAAACCTTGCTACATGCAAAAACAGAACAGATTTTTCACGTTTATGATGCTCGAGAAAGCTTCAGTTTCACCATAAAGCTATAAAGCTCAATGTATACACACGTGTTTAGAACTGCATCAACGCACCGATGTAGTAGTATTATCGTGTGGACCGTTTTATGCACAATCTGATCAGCAACTTCAGAGATTTGTATTTTGGGGGGCTGGGTTTCTTGAACAGGTACTCGGGTACCGGTGTTATTTTTTTAATCGGGTACCCGGTTCCCGTACGGTAAATGCGCACCCCAACTTGGCCGATATCAACCCATTATATAAAGCATGAAAGAAATCAAGATATAGTTCATATCAGGTACATCTGTTCATATTAAGTAGGCGGGGCAACTCCGCCCTCCACCTTGTACCTCTATTGTGCGACGAGATTTTATGCCCCAGCCTCAGGAATTATCCCACATTAGCCTGATATATTTGAGTGATGTTTGAATTTCTAAAATAGCTCCTTAAAGTGCCACTATTGAAAAGCGGGTAACATCCCCTCTCTGCATTATCGTAACTTTAAATAAGGGAATAAATGTGTGCTTGGCCGGTTTTAAACACTATCTGGTCAATTACACCGGTAGGAATTTGGATGCTGATAATTACCCGAGCAGAAGGCGAGGATATAATTCATCCAGACTCCAACCGGTCTTTACCGGCCAAGCACATATTTATTCCCATTCATAAATACCTTTTCGGTCAAAATATCAAAACTTTTAACTATTTTGTTCAACAATTTTACGTCCTGACTTTCGAAACACCCCTCTATCTCTATTATGGAATGTCCCTCTCACAAAAAGTGGTAATCAACTATGGAGATTGGCGCGTGCGTCACGCGTACTGCGTGAGTGGCGCAGAACGCAACTGTGACGGTGTATTATGAATTTAGGACTACGAAATACTGACTCACTTGTAGTGTTGTGCATGCCTACGTGAGGATTGCGAACGTTCAACCAATTATACGGTAAAATGCACTGGATTTCATCGGAGTCAATATTTCATGTAACACTGGATAGCGTATAAGACCGTTTAAAACCGACCACGTGACGGGCTCTCGACCAATAGAAATAGGTAAACTGTTTTAAGTATTTATGAACTTAATCAAAATGACGTCACGCTTTACCCGGGACGAGAGTAGTTTTGGTTCCAAGACGTTACTATCTGCGTTTGTGTACGTGTGTTATCACATACTACTAATGAATACTTTTGTAAAACAATTGTTTTCAATCAACAGAGGGCGCACTTCACAGGACCACAGAGCGCTCTCAGACGCGCGCTAGCTGATCGCGGACGATATACGCGGTACATTACAGAAGTACAGAATCGTTCGCGGTAGAATCGATACTCGTTGAATAAACACAGTGAATAAGAATCGAATACATTGCAGAATCGATAACAGTTTTTCATCGCGGGCCTGTAGTGCAATATAATTTTCGCGCGGAGAAAAAATATTCAACGAAGGTCTTGGAACCAAGACTGTGACGAGAGCCGTAAAGCTCCCATAAGAGAGCGTGACGTCATTACGATTCAGGTTTATTTATGTGTGGTTATTGTGCCTTTGTCTTTTTATTAAGAAAACTTGTACTTTTTTTGCTCATGTCATGATCACAATTTTTAAGAGAACAACAATATGGACGAAGATTTTACAGCCCCCCCCCCCCGTCAAATTGTGGATGAAATAACTTTCATATAACGACATAATTCCATTGGGCTAACAAAATTAATCATGGTATAGACCTTGTTACCTGTGACGTCATGCAGCGGAACTATTTTTTCCCAAACAACATCGTATGGATGGTTGTTGAGCGCCCTCTACGATACTTTTATTATACTAACGCAGGTATACAGGCCTAATGCCTTGAATTACGGTTTATTGACGAGCTCTCCGATAGCTCAGCTGGATAATGCAATGGTTTTGAGATCGGAGGGTGTTGAGTTCAAAACCACATTTTTCAAATGCTTTGGGTTTTTTTTCTAATTTGCGCCTTTTTTTTTTTTTGGTAAAAGAGAAATACAGTCCGAATTTCATTAGGTTCGAATTCTTCTTCTTTTTTTTATGTTTTCTATTTTTTAGAAAAAATAAAGTCCAAAACCTCATAGCGTACACCCTATTTGCTTATGTTGTTTGGGGAAAACAAATTCGCCGCCTGGCAACCCAAACATTTTAATCATCTTTTGCAGGTTTTTTTGGCCCACATTAACCATTATATGGCCCACTTACGTGAACGCTTTTAAACCAGGTTTTTTTATTCAAGAGACACACATGCAGTCCAGAAGAGAGTTGTTTGATGAAAGCTGGTGCACAGTGATGACCACAAGATCAAATTGTGTAAACAATATGTGACATGGTATATACGTTCCTGTTTTGAAATAGATACAAGGTGAACGTTCAATTTATAAACATCTTATTCTTCTCGCTTGTTTTTCCAAACAGGCACACTGACTTTACTTCCTTTCAACTGCAGGCACAATGCATATACAGGAAATCAATATGTCGTTGTATATACTGAAAGGTTATCCTGTTTCTCAGAGGCCAAAATATCTTATCAACTTCCGCAATTTGATTGTGGGTGGGAGATATTAGTATCATATGAAGGTTTATGGGGTAAACATTACGTCAGCGACACCACGAAGTAACACCCAAGTGGACTTGAGATCGTGCTACGCGCGCGTATTACAGAACCGAATGATTTTCGTTTCACGAAGTAGTATAACACTCATGAACATGTACACTGTGCGCTGAATCGGTCATTTTCCAACCTCGTTCCCAGGGTGTCGAGCAGTACGCGCCCATCACTATACCTGCTCTCTCACCCTGGTAATGGATCATTTGCATGTGCAAGATTTTTGAACACATATGCAAATGAGGAATAGTCTGGTGCCTGCATGTGCGTTACATTAGCGTTTTTGTTTGTATGCGGTGTCGGGGGTAAAAACACTAAATTGTCGCAGCGCGAGCATGGCGTGAGCTAAGAAAACACGATTTTTTTAAAAATTAAACTGTAACGATCTTATCGAGACAACATGCAGTATCACTTGCCATATTAATATGAACAAATTGGGAAGGAAATGAGTATTTTCGAGAAGCCGTGGACGAATGATCGCGAAAACACGTACTGCACGTTGTGAATGACAACACCAAGTACACGATATAAATCCATAACGGTTTCGAATCAGGATACAGGAAGAAAGTTTCCTATCCAGGACTTACTATTGGAAACGAGGTTGGAAATAAAGTAAGCGCTGGGGACGAGGTTGGTCATTGTTGTTTTCACGAAGTTACACTCATCTTTATCTTTTGGCCCAAATAATAATAAACCCAAAGGTACAGCTGGAAAGCAGCCGACATTTGTAAATGGGGCATGTATTGGCAGCCTCATTGTTTCTGTACACTGTGCGCTAAGTAACACTACTACACAACACTCCTCCAAAATTAGATTCGACATGTCCTTTATTAATATTCAGCATGAAGCGAACTCTAAAAGCGAAATTACACGGCTGTTTGTTTTGACAAGCTTAATAAAAAAATAACCTTAGGAGCGCAGTGACCCCTAAGATCAATATTCATAGATTTGGTATCAAAACACACGCTAGACTTAAAACTAGAAAGTCATGAAAGCTCCCGGCGAGAAACGCGCGTTTGGCGAAAGTATTGCTTAAAAATGCAGGGGCGGAATCCGCCCGGCCCTTTTTAGGGTGAATTATTATAACATTTTTGTTCATAAGGCTGTAAAGCTTTCATTGCAATGCACAAATATGTAAGGAAAATTAACTCCATTATAATACCTAATATAGTTAGCAATTTAGCAAAACGTTCATTCTTTTTACACGGAATTCCCGAAAGACTCAATAACAGTGTTGTAGTACTCGTACTCGGTACTCGTATACTGGAGTACTACTCGAGTACTTTTTTCAGAGTGCTCGTACTCGAAATGACAGTACTCGTATTCGGGCAGCAAAGTACTCGAAGTCGACATGTCAAAATTGTACTCGATCATCAAAGTACTCGTACTCGAATAGCAGTACTCGAAAACAAAATGCTTGACTTAGCACGGCCTTATTTTATTGATACCTGCCCTTGAAATGGTTGATTGGCTTGCGGAGAAATCGAAGTTTCCTGATTTTTTTCTGTGCGCGTCCGGACAAACACATTTTAGCAGCTAGCCGTGATGAGTCGGTCTGTAAAACGGTCTGACTGGGCCTGGGCCAATTACACACAATGAACCATTTGCTGTTTGGCTGTTTTCGGAAATAGAAGTACTGAAGTACAAGTACCGTACTCGAAAACCTGTACTTGTACTCAGAAGTACTCGAACTCGGTTACCTAATTACTCAGCAGTACTCGGTTCTCAATAAAAAGTACTCGACTACAACACTGCTCCATAGCCCTTAAGAAGTTTTACATGTATCTTGAAAGATTTTAGACAAGTAATAACTTCTGACGCAGAGCCTTTTGTATACGGTACTGAAAAAAAAACATGATGTAAAACAATGTTGTATGACCGACTGTAGATAATTTTGGTAGGACAGGTTTTTTTTTAAATGTGAGGTATTGCCAATTTTATCACAACAATCTTGATTTTCCCCTAATAACTCGGGAGTGTTGAATTGCTTACGCAACTTGCATTTTCGTATCGTTGACTTTAAACTATAAATTACGTGCACTTCACTAACAGGAAGTAAGTGTTCAAGAAATTCGCATTTTCAGTTTAGGTTTATGGATTGTACAATATTGCACAAGTTGGCCAACTACTTTTGCTTGCATTTTTGTTGCCTCGTTTAATCGTTCTGAAACCGATATATAACCGTTGGGTTGTCATTGCGTGTAGGGCCTCAGTGGCGAATTCAGGATTCGGGGGTGGCTGGGACGGGAAGTTCATGATTTTATTTCTGGGGGGGGCGGTAAGTCGACTTATAACAACACGAAAGGCCCGGAGAAATTAATCAAGATTTGCAGTGAACTTAATTGATTTTCTATTATGACTTTAACAAATTAAAGTTGGTCAGTCGGGGGGGGGGGGGGTAACCACCCTACCACCTTCATTTGACCCGGCCTACAGAGTCCCCACCTTGACATGCGAATAATAAACAGTTGCTTTTAGACATTTGGTTTTAACTTATGAAACAGAGTTCTAGAGAAAGAAAAACATAAACATCATTCAATTACCTTGTGATAATTCTACATAGCAGGCATTATTACAACTTTTTGCATAGCAGCAGCTACTTTAAACATTTTCTACAATTATGAGACGTGATTCTCCAGAAGGAAGTGCATACGTTTAATGCCTTGTTTAAGTTTATTAGATTGGTGGCATTATATCGGCCTGAATGGGATCCACCATGGTGACATTAGGTGTTTGTTTCATCCAGTACTCAACATTCTGGTCCCCGAAATGCAGACCAAGGAACAGACCCAAAGCAGAGAACATCAGTGTCAGGGTCTCCACCCTGTAGACTGGGGACTGCTCCTCGCAGAAGGCCAGAAGCTTGTCCCAAAAAACCTCATGGGCCTCCGACCTTATCTGGCTGACGTTTCTGACGAACTGAACCCAAGTTTTGTTCAGGTCGAAGCCGCCCAGCGCCACCAGGGGCAGGATCAGGAACATGAAGTTCTCGGACCAGATCATCAAGTTGATATTGACCTCCAGGGTCGCACTGTGGAACTTGAGGTCGTTGCTGATGACCAGGTAGTCCCAGGAGATCTGGGTGGTGAAAGACCAAGTGGAGACCGCTACAACCATGATGACCCAAACGGAGACAAGCCTGCACATGCTACCTAGATCTTGGGCATACAGAGCCAGCCGGCCCCTGCAGACGTCAAGCTGCCCCGCGTGACGCCAGAGAAAGGACAGCTCCAAGCGCTGCTGCTTCTGAAAGGACAAACGCATCAGGAGCATCAGATAACAGAAGCTTCCCCAGACTACCATGCCCACAGCGCCCGCGGCAAGGGAGATTTGAATATGGGTATTCCTGGATTTGTTCTCAACGAAGATGTAGTAGATGAGAGCGCGGTATACCCCGTTTACGACTGGCCAAACGATGCACACCGTGAGGTACGGCTTGTACACCAGACCCTGCTCGCCCAGCCCCAAGTGCTGCAGGCGTTTCACGATGTACCGCACGCCCAGGCACTCGTACCAGCTGAAGCCGCGGCGCCTACTCGACCACCGATGATCCACCATCATGTTCTGGATGTTGGCCACGAGGCTCATGAGCGGGCTGGACAAGTTGAATGAGAGGAAGGTGGAGTAGCTAATGAGGCGGATGAGTTGCTTCTCCTGTCCCCAGTAGTCATGGAGATAGTAGCAGAAGTCGTACATGATGAGACCAATCAGCGTCAAGGGCCAGATGAGAGAGAGTACTGCACTGCCGCAGTGGTTCCACTTCCGGACACCTATAGGAAGACGATGGACGCCATTTTAAGCCAAATTACATCTAAGTGTTTGAGCAAAGCCTATAGTCTAAAGATAGAGTATATCATTTGTTATTGTGTATTTTTTTTAGTTTGAAGCAACAAAAGTGCTCAAAATATTAAGAAGGGTGCCTAACAATTAACCTGATAAAGTTTTAGCTCATTGAATGCAGTACATTCAGAGAAAGAAATATTTTGAGATCTTGATTTCAATTCAAACGTTGCTGAGTCATGTTTTGAATAGCGCCCGATATCAGCGTCCAGGAGACGTTCTTCGCTCGTACACCCCGCCCTGCAAACAGGGCGCTGGGATACTCTGATGAGCTTCACAGAATCTTGTGAAGGAAGTGGCCTATGACCTATGTATAAAGCATCTGGCTGCAGCTGTTCAAGACCGCAGTTAGACAATGTGCGCAAATGCTATCCAAAAATTCTCATAGAAATGCGTACATTCCATATCCGATTGGATTTCTGTTTCATTGCGGACCATGTGGACAAAATTTTGAGCGTCGCATAATGCAATCCGACCGTTTGTGATTCGAAACGGAGCCTGAGCAAGTGAGGGGATTGTCATGACCGTGATGACACGCAGGTCACAGGTCACGCAAAATCTAACCAATCAGAGCTTGAATTCATCAGAGTATCCCAGCGTCCTGTTTGCAGGGCGGGGGGGGGGGGGGTACGAGCGAAGGGACGTTCTCACTCAGCCGATTGCAAGATTGCTGCAGCTAGCTACGCGATCATGTCAGGCACTGAACCAACAAAATGAAGCTGCCGCCCTGTGTAGTGTGTACGTCGTGTCAACGCTTGCGCGCGCCAGCAGTCGCCAAATTAAAAACGAATTACTATTGGATTTTTTTTTTAAATGCGTCTTTAGAAGCGTCTTTGGAAATGACCTCTTAGTGTTTTCTTCAAAATGACAGCATGCCAGAAAGAATTATTTCACAGGGAGTTTAGTGGCATGACTATCTCTAAAATAGCTGCAAAATGAGTGAGATGTTAAGCGGTGCCGGGGAAAATCCTGAGCACTTTTTTGTTCATGCTAGGCATGAACAGTTGAGATAGTTGCAACTATTGCAAAATGTTCTAACATGATTAATAAGCTTTAACCAGGTTTCGCTCGGCACATTTTTTATATCTGATTTGTGTCCATTATTTTATGCCACCTGTGGCGTCATGCCTGTCGGTTGCCGACATGCAAAACTGCCACCAAAGTACGTGTATTTTCAACAACAAAAAGGATTCCCCACCATAATTATTGTGTGGTGGTTTATCATGCACATTTGAAACCATCCATGTTCTATTCTGAAGTACAGAAAACAAAATGTGGCTGAATGGTTTAGTGGACTGCATGGGCGTCGCGACGGGGGGGGGGGCAAGGGGGGCGCTTGCCCCCCCCCCCCCCCGGAAAAGCAAAAAAAAAAAAAAAGGAAGAAAAAAAAAAAAAAAAGAGGTGCGAAGTCATAGTGGTGTAAATTTAATGAGTTGGGGGGGGGGGCAAAATGTCCCTGCCCCCCTCAAAAAGTGATAAATCGAGAAAATGTTGAGAAATACAGGAATGTTTTGGGAAAATTATGTTTTGCTCCCCTCTAGAAAAAATCCTGGCGACGCCCATGGTGGTCTGAAACAACATTACATGGAAACTAAAACGTACTGCGTTTGATGACGTGACCGTGTTTCGAAAGTTCTGTTGCTATTATAATATTTAAATGACCTTCATCGTTTCTGTATAAAGACTGCGTGCACTCTAAAAACAACTTAGTCAAAATATTGACTGGTTTTCCTAGTTATTGAAAATTGACTAGGAATTTAGTTAAACATGCAAAGTTTCATACTGTGACTAGAAAAAGTAGTTGGGTTCGACTCGAAATTCAGTTATTGGCATAACTACTTTTTCCAAGTCAATAATACTGACTGGAAAAATCTAGTCAGATTGACTGATTTTCAGTTGCACCCAGCTGACCCTGAATGGCTAGTCATATTTAACTGGTTTCTAGTCAAATTTGACTAATGCTTTTTTAGAGTGTGTATAACACCTCTAAATGGGAAACCTCTATTGATTAAAAGTTGATTTCGACTGCGTCAGTTGTGACACAAAGATAGCGCATACAGATTATTTTCATCCCTTCGCAAATTAACGACAAGAATGTTCAATAATTTACATTAAAATTGAATGATTACTTTTGTTTTGAAATAAGTTGGAAAAAAGTGGTTTTTAGGCCCAAAAAAGTACTCGGTCTCTGGTCAGCGCGCGCGTCGATTTTAACCATGCGCGTCAACCTTTTTTTTTCTTCAAATTAACACGGAAGCTACAACAGCGCCCTCTATTGCCGCACCTCCTCAAATGTTTGTACCAAGGAGCACCAAGGAATGGGGAAATTGCACCAAGGCAAATGATAAAGGGCACCAAGGCAAAGTATGGACACCAATGTATAATGAGGACACAAAAAAGCAAAATAGTACCCACCTTGTCTGTACAATTCAAGCTTGAAAAAAAAAAGCCACCCCCCCCAAAAAAAAAAACCGCGTCGCCGCATCAATTCTGGAACTTCTGTCTGACCAGAGACCGATTTTTTTTTTTTTGCCTTTATCCCCATTTTTTCGGGCTACAAATCTTTCAACCGGAAATCGACAAATTTTATATTGCTGCAGATGCAAATTAACGCTTATCATTGCCACTTTTGGACATTTTTGAAAATATTCGAACATGTTTAACTCGTAAGATGCACTCAACACATTGTTGACCTCCACATTATGTAAAATATTGTGTGTGATAAACGTGGTTTATCGAGTGCGGGATTTGAGGAAGTAAAAAGATACAAGAAAAACACAGAATTCAACTTACAGCTTTCTAGCATGCTGCAAAGAAAATATTACATGTCCTTAATCAAACTTTCCTTTTAATGGGAATATACAACTTTTGCTTTTGCTGTAATTTTCAGGAATGGATGATTTGGGGTTGGTATTTTATAGCAATTATTGTTACACTGACTTGTTTGAAGTTTTGTGTTCGTACCTGCCTGAGAAACCAAGAAAAACAATCATGTTCTTATTGTCTGGTTCCGTGACCCCACTAAAGATGAAACGGAGCAATTTATAGACGTCGGGGAATTGTAAGGTCAGGGAACCAGGCTAGCTGGCTTGTACCCATTCAAAGGTGTGTAATCGACTGCCCAAAAAAAAATGCGGACTAACTAATATAATACATTGGGAGCAGTATTTGAAAAAAGGTAATTTTTTGTCCAAGGCTGATTGGCCGACCAGCGTTGGAATTGATAAAAAAAAAAAAAACTTTTTTTTTTAAATGTCAGCACACCAGGTGCCATGATTTTACAGGATTCCTTACACTGTCATTCACTAACAGTCTAGTAAGGTACTTCGTGATGATAATTTGGTAGCTTTATTATGTTTACAAATGTTGTATATTCCCTTTAAATGCAATCGACAGCAGTAACTTCGATGAAATAACTGATCTCATCATGCGGGACTGACTCTCCCCCATGAAGCAAAATATTTAAACTATGGACCTGAACAACTTTATTTCAATGTCGTTGCCTACATAATTATCAAATCATTATAAGAAAAACACAATATTTAAACATTGAAATTAAAACCTTATTTTCGTTAAAGCCGAGTATGTAGCCTAGTTGTTTGCGTTGACACTTACCGATATCGGTTTCCGAGTACGGGCGGAACCTACCCCGCGCATCCCACCATTCACTCCGGCAGACTGCACACACCTCGTCGGAAGGACTCCGCGGACCGTCTTCATCGAATACCATGTTCATGTTGCCGTCCACAAGACAGACCAGTTGCTCCTCTTTGTAATCATCTCCATCATCATCGCCGTCTTCACCATGGTTCATCGGCATCTCCGCTCCGGGATAGAGGCCGCACCGGCCGGTATCAGCCTCCTCCCCATTGGCCCGCTGGAGCCGCCTCTGCACGGCGGCCAAGAGGCAGAGATGGCACGGCCGGCGCGTCACAATGCGCCGGTAGTTGTACAGTCCGATGATCTTCAACAGAAACCAGACGATCCACGGCCAGGGTTTGCCTCTCGTCGACTTGGCAGAAGGCCCAGGACCGGCTCCACCGGTAGGATTTTCCAGTGGGAAGATCTCACTTCCAGTGTAAGCAGGCTGGGCATGCCTGGTGTCCAAATTGTTGAGCAACGGGCGATACTCCCTGGAGGAATCCATCACCAGTCCAACCCACGACGCAACAATCAAAATTTGTCAGGCACGCTTTGAGTGTTGGAGGCCTGCTGAGAGTGTGGTGATCAACGCCTACGACGCTCTATCTTTTGTTGTGAAACACCCGACTCTCCAACAAACTATCAGTTTCAGTCACGATGAGTCCAGGCTCGTGCGCACAGGGCCAGGGACATATTACGCGATGCGAAACACATCGTGTATGTTCTGTGTGTAGTGAAAGTCGCGCATGTTTAACGGATGCACTGTACCCTACGTATTCCCGTAATATCTCAAATGCCACGGTTTACCCAAAACCGGTGTAGCGTGAATTTAGGATCTAGGAAACACGGACTCATTGGAAGTATTGCGCATGCCTAAGTGCAATAATGAAGAATGGCCGGTCAAGTGAGAGGGTTAAACCAATAATAGGGTATAAGAGTTCAGATTTCACAGGAGTCCGATTTTCATATGACACCGGCAGTCGGTGTTTTGTTCGTTAAGGTCGAAACGAAATGCAGAAGTTCCGGCCAAAAAAGAAAGAGCTGACACTAACTCATACAAAAGGGATTGTATTATTAGCAGTATAATCGGTTCACAGCATCAGGCAGCTGACCACACTGAGTTAGCTTTGTTTGTTTAAGAGATTTATAGGACAACTCACAAACGTTAGTGTCTGTAGTTTATTATGTATCAACAGTCAGTTAAACTTAAACCCACAGCAAGCTGCCAGCCAAATACACAAAATCATGTTTCTGTTTCAGATTTGGTTTAGCGAAGTTAGCGATGATTCGTTATGCGATGTGTGTCACAGTAATACTGTCCGTCGTTACTACTTAGCTAGTGCTAGCTGTTTGGATTAAGGTCTTATGAAAACCTTGTAAAAGACAATATTCTATTGGCTCTTTTCAATTTGCCCCTTTTGAATTAAAAATTTTAAACCTTTTGTAAAAAAAAAACTGACCCCAAAATAGTGTGAGAAAACTGTTAACAGACGATGGAGATCCCTTCATAAACCACACAACGGGATGATGAATTTAGCAGACCCCGGATGCTGTCTGGATCGGAAATTGAACTGTGTTTTTGTAAAATGATAACACACATAAAGGAAGCATGAACATTCTGTTGACCGGATCTGTATGTATGACTTTTTTACAATGTAATATCACCATGAGGATTTTGTGAACTATAGGCTCCGTGCGCAAACGAGAGGGCGCTTTCTGAGCACTTTTTAGAGCTCAGGGGGCACTGCTGTCTACATAAAAACTGGATAGTGTAAAAGTATAGGCTTGGTGCCAAGTCGGTTATTGTTAAAGTACGTACGTTACCGGTTACTGGCTCCACGCACGCAAAATATCACTGCAATGCGCGTAGCCTGGTTCCCATACCAAATGATGCTGACTATTGATGTTCAATAAGCGACTTGGCGAAAACGTTTTCTATTTTGTACACAACATATGGGAGTATTTTGAATCGCTATATAGCGAATTCTATGCGAGCACTCCGATTCCAGCGTGCATTCTCGGCCGCTAGGGAAGGTCATTCTCATTACTTCGAGGGTTTGTACTTAGTGTTGTGTAACATTACAAAATTCGTTATAGGGCACATACGATTCGATTATATCACGATAAATTTTATTTCTATACACAATTGACCAAACTGAGAGTTTTGGCCGTTCAAACGTCCACTGATCTGCAAAATTCTCCGGCGTATTGAGAAGAACTCCCCTTGTAACGGAATGAATGAGTCCTCATTTGCACAGCGGTGCGCGATTGGATCTCGATTGTATTGCGCTGCTTGCATATATATGAATAACGGTGCGAGAACATTAGATTTGTCGTTAGATTTGTCGTAACCCGGCCGATTACGTACTAGTCTTATACCAGCCGCCCCGATGGAGTTCTCCTGAAGTTCACAGACAAAATACGACTACCTTACGACTTGTCATTAAGTCTATAGTAAAAGTACAGAGACCGCAGAAGAATGCACTTGAAGCCATATTTGGGAGACCGGTTGGTGTTCTGTTAAGGACCAGTTGCAGTCTCAGGCAATTCACGGTATAACCATATTTTCGCGATTCATGAAATAGAAGACCTGAAGAATAAAAAAAGTATCGAACTACAGCATGAATTTGTGTTCGACGGGACAAAATACGTGTGGCCCGGCGCACACCCTCCTCAGCGCAGATAAGACAACTATGCTATAGTGACAAGGCCAATATGTGGGATTAATGGGCTGAATACTTCAATACCGTCCTCAACCGTCAGTCATCCATCAACGATGTAGCCATAACACGTATGCCTCAATTCGCAATGAATACAGAGCTTGACACTCCACCAACATGTGCTTTGCTAGGGGCTAGTACCCGTCTTCCAAATGGGGGCGCTCTTCAAAACTGACAATTATTATGTATACACTATATATTATATGGACATTTTCACGGCGCATTGTAATGGTTGTTGAGGGTTTTCTTTGGTAGGATTAATGTCAGAAGAACTCTATAAACATTCATTGAAATCATTGCTGACCAAAAAAATCCGCCAGGGGGGCAAAGTGCCCCCCCCCCCCCCCCCACCGGCTGGATACGCCACTGCGTGCAACGTTGCAGAATCGTGGTAAGTCGTATGGTTAATCGAACAACTGGCCCATCAGACCGATATACAGACCCAATCACGGCTAGCTGTTAATTGTGTTTGACCGGACGCGCGCAGAGGAAAGTCAGGAAACTTCTATTTCTCCGCCAGCCAATATCAACCATTTCAAACTGAAAGTATCGATAAAATAAAGGCCTTGGTAAGTCAATTAAGCTATAGCCTTTTTACGAGCTCTGCTATTCGAGTACGAGTATACCTTGATGATCGACTACAATTTCGACTTGTCGAGTACGAGTACTCTGCTGCTCGAGTACGAGTACCGTCATTTCGAGTACGAGTGCTCAACGTACGCGTACGAGTACTCCAAGAAAAGTACCCGAGTAGTACTCGAGTACGAGTACCGAGTACGAGTACTACAACGCTGGCATGCATGGATGAATTATCAGAGAAATTTCCACTGCATGTTGCCAATAATTATGCGAAAAACTGGTAACCTTTCCCGTTGTTGTGGGTGACAACGAACTATCCAAAGTATCTTTAATTATCCTACAGAATGTCAAACCATAATTTTTAAGGGTTGGAGTGAATATACACTAACATGCAAAAATACACTTTCCATGTTGTTGATAATCTTGGTGCTGTTAATTTTCTTGTAACCGTTAAGATATTTTTCTGAAGTTTCACATCAAAATGTCAGTACAATCTTCCAGTATTATAGCAGCTGAGTTATAAGGTTTTACGGTCACTCATGCTCCGAAAACTGAAAAGATGACACCTTCATTAATGTATTTTCACATTGTTTTATTACTATTTCTAATATTAAAAAGTAAAATCATTTCAATGTTATGCTATTAATACATTATTTATTGATTTATTTTTGTCGCAATGAATGTAGACCCACTTTTATGATACGGCGTAGTGTAGTATTTTACAGTATCTTTTTTAAAACATACCATGTTGTAAACGTCAATTTCTCATGGAACTTTCCGTGAAACTAAAGTCTTAACTGAGTTGTTTGACTAATTTAATGTTAATCATGCTCCAAAAACTGAATCAATATTATAACATCTTTATTAATTTTTACAATTTTGTTTACTTTTTACATTAAAAAATAAAGTCAATTCACATTGATTTTAAATCATTAAAGGATCCAGTCAAGTTGATATCATTTCTTTTTTCTTTCTTATTTCTTTTTGATTTTGAAATAAATAGCAATTTCAACAAGATTTCCTTTTTCCCCCGAAATGTTTTAACAAAGCTGCATCCATCATTGATCTCAAAATTAAAAACATTCTCTTTACAATTAATTAATATTTACATAAGCTACATGCCCTTAAAAGTTCCTTTTTGTCTTGTCCACTTCCTAAATACAGGCTATAAACATCTTTTGTCTTTTTGAACCTATCAACTAATTCATTTTTGTCTTTATAATATTCAAAGAGCTTAAATGGCCCACGTAATGTATCTTTTTAATGCGGTCCTTGTAAGTGCGCATTTGTGTCACACCAAACCTGATTTTCAATTTTCATTTTGCCATTTTAAGTGCAGTTTGGTGCCTTTTTTGTTTTTGTGCTAATGCAAATTTCCATATTCATGAGCAAAAGTGTGCTGTCAATTCAGGCAGAAATTTGTGTGATATTCAGACTACTTTGTCTTTAACAAAAACCTTTTTTGTCAAAGAAGTTTACAATTTCCTAATGGATAAAATTAGAACAATCCCGTGTAAAATTATTGATAAATGGACCGAGATGTATCAGGTACATGAAGATGATTGGAACCGTGTTTTTATGCTACCTTTTAAATGTGCGTTGGATGTTAAGTGAGAGAGTTCCAATTTAAATTTTTACACAGGTTAAAGGTAAATAATGACTTTCTCCACAAAATTGGTCTGTCTGATACCCCTTTTTGTACCTTTTGTAAAACCGTTCTGGAGAAAAATGATCATTTATTTTTTCATTGTCCTTTTGTTTCATGTTTTTGGAAAAAGGTGGAGGAATGGTTTACGTCAATTTGTAAAGTCAATATTGTCCTTACAGAATTTTCTATTATGTTTGGTTATAATATTTATGACCCAGACCTTTTTGTTAACTATGTAATTATCTTGGGTAAACAGTTCATTTATAAATGTAAGTGTGAAGAGAAGCCTCCTCAAATTAACCATTTTATGAATCTAGTTAGAATGATGGAGAGAATTGAATTTTATATTGCAACTAGAAGGGATAAATGAGCTACCCATCAAAGAAAATGGTATCCATTGATGTAACTCTATGTTTCCTTCTCGCTCTGTCACCAATATATAATTTATTTCTGCCATTTCTGAATTGTATGATTATTATAATATTAATTCATTTGATTGGTAATTATTGATGCACTGATGAATAAAAAAAAAAATTAAAAAAAAAGAAAAAAAAAAGATATTTTTCTTGAGTTTCACATCAAAATGTCAGTACAATCTTCCAGTATTATAGCAGCTGAGTTATAAGGTTTTACGGTCACTCATGCTCCGAAAACTGAAAAGATGACACCTTCATTAATGTATTTTCACATTGTTCTATTACTATTTCTAATATTAAAAAGTAAAATCATTTCAATGTAATGCTATTGATACATTATTTATTGATTTATTTTTGTCGCAATGTAGACCCACTTTTATGATACGGCGTAGTGTAGTATTTTATAGTATCTTTTTTAACATACCATGTTGTAAAGGTCAATTTCTCATGAAACTAAAGTCTTAACTGAGTTGTTTGAATAATTTTAATGTTAATCATGCTCCGAGAACTGAATCAATATTATAACATCTTTATTCATTTTTACAATTTTGTTTAATTTTTTTACATTCAAACATAAAGTCAATTCATATCAATTTTAAATCATTTTCTCACAAAACGTTTTCAAAGAGCAGATTTTGGGTAAATATTTAAACAGAAAACCCCTTAACTGAACAGTGTCTTCCTGGAACGACATCACAGCATTAGTGCCTTCATTTGTCCGGAAAAGTATGGAAATAAAGGCACTGTTCAATAAGATGAACCAAAAAGAGATGTCAAATAGTTTTCCAACTTTTAAGAGGAGTAGAAATTTGCATAAAACGTGTTCGTTCCTAAGAAAAATTCACCGCACGGGGCCTTGAGGTTCTAAAGGTTCAGAGTCAACGTATTGTGCAACGAAATTCTAAATTTTGTATCAACAAAATCAAATAGGGCCCATACAATGTTTTGAAACAAAGTACTTAAAAAAACAAGCTCGATCAGATCTCGGGAGCTGCGGGCCAACGAATGCGTGTTCACCTTATTTTGACCTTTGACCCCATAGCTGTATGGACATATTTTAATGTTTGACGCAGGCCAACATGTTGACAGCGCTACTTTTGTCATTTGAGGGTGTTTTTTTTTCAAATTTGACCTCTTTTGACCTTTGACCCTATAACTCACGGTAGGTCAGGCGAAGAGGTCACCACGGACATATTTTAAAGTTTGACCACGGCCAACATGTTGACAGCACTGCTTTTGTCATTTGGGCTTATTTGAGCTTATTTGAGCTTATTTGAAATTTGACGTTGCTTTGACCTTGACTCCATGATGACCTTTGACCCCAGTCTGATCATGTGAAATGTTGAGGCTGGGCTACTGCTACTTTTGACAAACTTTGGTTGAAATCGGTTAAAATTTGTAGGGGCAATAAACAATGTGAACGTTTGTTACTAACTAACTAACCAACTAACTAACTTTACCAACCTACGAACTAACGGAATGACATGAGTACTTGTAGAGCTGCTATCCGCAGCTAACTAATACTGCATTGATTAATACAGCAATGCTTGTTGACTTCGAAGCATGCATTTGTTTGTACACGCATGATTCCCGAAGTCATATGTCTCGTCAATTAATAAATTCCAAAGTTGTAGAAACTATTCAAAGTCATACTATCAATGACGTCTTAAAACAAACTGGCTAAAGTAAAGAGAGATGAAATAAAATATGCCGTACATGTACGCATTCACTGGCAGTTTTGTTCATGCGCCATTGCTCTTACCCAAGCAGCAATCAAGGGGTACTTCCTCTGCCGTGACCTCACAAAGTTGCAAGGTAGCCCTGTGGGGGATATCCACGCTTATGTAGCGCGCCCTCAACTGCGGGCGGCAATCAAAGTCGATGGTACCACCGAGTGGTTGGGCTTGGTCAGCGGTGACGGGTGAGCCACAAGTCGGGTTGTCGGTGACAGTGGTGCTGTTACCAGCGCGGACAACAGCGCCTGTCAATCGATCGCCTGCAAATTAAAATTGTATCCACAAATTTGGTTTAAACTTCATCATGTAAAAATACGTTAGTCATTTTGAGCAATTAAAATTAGTCCTGATAAATAGTTTGTTACAGTTCTGTGACTAAATCCTCCGATGTCTCAAATTACTAATCAGTTAGTCCTGTTATTTCACAGTTAGTCATTCGCCGATGTCTAATCAGTCAGTCATGTGACCTTCACAGTTACTCAATCGAAGCGATGACTAATTGCTTTAGTCGAATGTAAGATGTGGCCCGTCAGACCGGAGTTTATGTCCGACTTTAGAGCATGAAACGACTGGCAATCAAGGGCGGATCCAGAACATAATTTGGTGTGTGTGTGTTTGTTTTGTTTTTTTTGGGGGGGGGGCAAAAAAACGGCGTAGGGTTCAGGTCCCGCTCAAGGGCTTCGAAAAATGTTTGGGTTTTAGATGCTCTGTGGTGCGATCTGAGGCAAATTCTGACCACTTTAACTCAAGTTTTTTTAGGAAAACATGGTGGTGTATGTAGTGCCTGCCTTTAAGCTTTATTGCGACGTCACTTGAAAAAAAAATGGGTTCGTTTTGGGGGGCCATGGTCCTCGTTGGCCTCCCCCCCCCCCCCCGATCCGCCTTTGCTGGCAATATTTCTATTTCACTCCGGATGGTACAATAGTCCATCGCAGGTTACTCCCCAGCTAATGGTTGCCCAAGGACAAGATATAGTACGTTAGCAGCTGGACTCGAACCCCTGACCCTCTGATTATAACAGTTACAAACCCTAACCACTATAGGCCACACATCCCCCACAAACGGTAAGTTATATGTCGATACGTCAAATCGTCAATAACGAGTAACGGCGGGCACAACAGCTAGCTACTAGCAATAATTGAAATATTCCAATATAGCACTTAATGTGACTACTACAAATATCAGTCAATCTGACTAACAGAGGCAAACATTTATTAGTCAAATTGATTGACTAAGTTAAGTAGTCATTTTGACTAACATTTTTTAAAGGCTGACCTAAGTTTACAGTGTGCCAACAGCCCACGTTTAAGACATGTTGTCCGTTATAAAAGCGTTTTCAGCATTCCAGGTTGATAGAGTGTGATAAAGAAATTATATTTGGGAGTGCTTTTATTGTAAATTTTTCCCGTCGAAAATGGACGCCATAATATTTTGACAAATTCACTGCCAAAAATTTTTTTTTCCAAATGTTTTTTTTTTTCTGAATGGCTTTTTGTATAATGACTCATGGAATATACTTAGCAGATTTCAAGGCAAATTAAATTGGTATTGTAGAAACTTGCTAAAAAGTATCCCTTTTGACTACAAAAAGGAAAAACATGATGAAAATCCTCTTGTAATATTACTGTACATCGACAAAATGTAGATACTGATGAGAAAGACTCCTAAATAATAAGCATTTCTGTACAATTATCGGGAAAATCGGCAAGAGGAATACGACAATTACGTGGGGGTACAATGTCTGCCCCACTGCTAAGTATAAAGACACACCAATCCCCCGGCCCTGATCATTTTAATGCTCATGACTTACTGCAGCAGACTCCACGATTCAGAACTCGGACTTTCCCGATGCAGTGGTCCACTCCAAGATCGACTCTCCACCATGGAGCCGGATCGTCAACTTGTATAACCCCCAGAAAGAAAAAAAAGTTAACAATTTCTAAAGCATGTATGAGTGACTTGATTATTATGAGCATAATATTATGATCCAAACTGGCTTACCATATTGTACCCTAAATTTGTGCCCATTTACCTTTCCCCAGATGTCATCCAGTATAGTCTTGCCAAACCTCGGTATTGATGAGCTTCAAATTCACAAAGTTGCTAAATACTGGTAAAGTTACCCTAATTAAACTAAATGTATATGAAAAATCATGCAACCACGATAACATCATCATATATTTAAACCCCCTAAAAAATGGGGGGCCGGGCAAATAGGTGTCCGTTAATTTGGCTAAAAAGTAGGCGAAGGGTTGCCTAACGGGAAGGGCCTGAACAAGTACAAGGAAATCTACAAATGTACCTAAAAGAAAAAAAAGATAACTTTGACATATTATTATTATAAACAGCCATAATGTCTTATATTGGGGATTTGTATAAGCTTGTTCAAGTCCCTTACGTTAGGCAACCCTTCGGCTTAATGTTAGCCCAATTTACAGATACCTCTTTTTTTCCCTTTTCTTCTGGGCTAAATATCATGATTTTATCATTGTTCACATGATTTGCCATATAGTTTTATTCAAGTAAATGTGCCAGTAAGTAACATTGTGAATTTGAAGCTCATGATATTTGGAGAACAGGTAAATGCACGCAACTCTAGGGTATCATGGCAACCATTTTGGATCTGTTGTCCTCATAATTATCCAGTCACTTATATGCTTAACAAAATGTTATTTCAGTAAGGATAGGTCAGTAGAATTCCCAAAATGTACTTTTCATGAAATGCAAAAAAATATAAAAAAATATTCCAAAATATGGGAATAAATATATAACATGGCAGATATTTACGATTGATACAAATTAGGCACCCTTCCCAAAAGAATTTCTGGTGTCACCCATCCTAAATATCTTCTCTAGGGCAATTCGCTCTTTCCACACTCCGCCATTGGGCATGCAGAGCCTCGATTTGGCAACTTTACACAATAAAAAATAGCCGGTTCAGTGATCTGAACCCCGACACGGGAATCACTGAACCGGCTATATTGCCAGATCGAGGCTCTGCATGACCATGGCGGAAGTGTGAAAAGAGCGAATAGAATTGCCAAGTGTGTGTGTGGTTTGTTTGTTTTTTGGGGTTTTTTTTGACCAGTCGGTCACGATTCCACCATATACAAGCGTACTGACTATTAATGCTCATCAGTTCTGACTTACTAAAGGTGTGTGAACAAGAGCCGATCATTGATGAACTACTGCCGTCCACTGCGTTACCAGCTAACAGTCCGGGATACGTTGAACTTTGATGTGCCGGCAGACCAACGATGCTGAACGTCCCAGAACCATCTGTAAAACGTTATTTTGTAAATAGCAAATAGAGCCAAAGTCTCGAATAAAATGAGACCGTTTCTGGACTTCAAGTTTGGTTAACAAAATTTGCAGCAATTACGGGCTTTATATAAGTGTTTTTTAAGTTATAATTATTAGATATCCATTAGTTAAATCGAAGAGATAAACAATTTTGCCTATTGATCAAAAGAAATTCTTTGTTTTATATATATGCGAACATTTGAACGAGGCTTTTTAAGACGAAACCGATGGTTCTTTAAAGATAATATGACTTTATCTTACATGTTCCTGCTGACGTTTCCTTGTTATCGTCAAAGTAGTGTAACTCGGGAGTCAACCAATGTCGACACTGGCCATGGCAGCTTTTTGCCAGAAGAATCAGAAAAAGCCCTACTATGAAAACATTCATCGTGTGGCCGGCCTTAAGCGTGATGTTTGGAGTGGTCACCTTTACACCTTAATTAATAAATCCGGTTATTACGGTCGTGGTTATGCGTGTCATATAACCGAATACAATTCTGTCTCGTCGATGGAAAATTCCACAGTTTGTGGTACCATTGATGTCAGTTATATAATTGTCTGATACAACAAACGTACTAAACCAGTATCAGACAGACAAGTAACATATACTGATGTTGCACACGGATGCATATGGTATTGTGACTAGTAAACGTTCAAAATGTGTGATCAGTCTTGTTCGCTCATGCGCACCATCAGATACAGTTGCTCTACTACGTAACCGTGCCACAGTTTAATCTCGTCCACGTATACTTACCGGTGAAAAAAATCCGAGCATCAATTGTTTATATCTTGTTGTCAGGGTAACTGTTTGTGCTGAGCGAATGAATCTGAAAAGGATCAATCAGTGCTTTGGAAGGATGGTTACTTTATATTTGTGTTGTCAGGGTAGCATTTAGTGCTGACCGAATGAATTTGAAAGGATCCGTCGATCAGTAAAAGGAAGTCAGCGGCAAGGAATAACTTCAGGCCATCATGCGTAAGGTTTTAGCTTTCCTTCGTGCACTGGAAATTAATTTTCTTTGTGCTTGGAAGGTCGATTACTTGAAAGTTGTCAGAGAAAATCAGTAGTAAACAGAGAGCATCCAATTTATAGAATTCTGTCAGGCGAATTTGGATGTCTACTGCCTTCCATGTCAATTTACTGAGGTATTATGAGGGAGGGTCATTAATTTCAGTGCTCTAAATATTGCTTTGTGTATAGATTGCTTTGAGTATAGATAGTAGCATAGATTGGATTCCTTCAACAAGTTGTCTACCAAAACAAATGGATCCATTCCATTTTATAGTGACAGTTGAAAAGCAGAATATCTTCCTCATCCTATGGAGCTGATTGAAAAGAAAATCGATACCGACGTGAACCGCGTATTCTGGTTCAAGGGTGTGAAAAGACCATAGGGCTATATTAAATTACTGGAGCGCTATTAAACTCTTCGTTCTTGCGCGCGGAGAAGCTTTGAAGCCGCTCTGGGCGCAGACATTTTGAATTTATGTGGTGTTTGTAGATGGATTGAATTTTAAAAGTGTACTCTAAATGCAACTCGCAAGTAGAACATACGCAAACAATTTAAGCGCGTCATGACGGTTCAAAAAACGTCACGGCAAACAGCATCTGCAGCGGAAGGACGCGCACGCGTTGCGCTGTTTGCGAAGAGCAAAATGTAACGCTCATTAATTTTGCTGATCGTGCGTTTCGGTTTTGGGCGCATCGGCTTCGATGACGCACCGATATGGAATACAAACGCAGATATGCAAATAGACGTACAAAATACGTACACAATTTCTAGTTCTCCATAGGTTTGTGTACAAACATGGATGCTCCCAGCAGGTATCACTTTGTACATGAAGTTAGCGCTCTTGTAATTTAATGTAGCTCTATGGTGAAGACATAAAATCAGTGCACGCGAACCAGTGCGTGAACCAGAACAAACACAACTGACGTCAGACTTTGGTATCTATCCAGTTCGTAAAGTGACTGCGTCGTAAACACGCGCACATTACTAGCGCCCTTTCACTAAACATGCCACTTTGTACTACTTCCGGTTTCATATTTTCCGCCCAATTTGTGGGCGTGGCCTAAATGTGTAAAGGGGTGGCGTACACCAGTGGTCTGATCCAATTGTGACAAATATAGTGCATTTTCGTGGCAAAACCAAGAAAATTGGCAAGCCTGATTGAACTTTAAATGGGCTTAACGTAATCTTTACGAGAGGGATCCACTTTGGAATTTGCCCATGTGAGCTTTATTTTAAAAGGGGTGCACAAAATCCAGAAAAGCTGTATGTGTCGCATTCAGTGTTCTTTATATAATTTCAAATAGGCGTAGCATATGAAATAAAAACATTCTAACGTTATACCACTTTTGGTGGGCGCGGCCTATAAATACATATAAGGCCGTATATTAAAGCAGCATGATTTAAACGATGCCCAAATCGTCATTTTGGTGGTAAAAACACAAGTTCTGTATTCGTTAACTTTATTTTTACAATACAATGTAAAGATAATATTAGAGGTTACAGGCATTTCCCCCCTTTTAAGATGGAGCAACATGTCAAAGTAGGGGCATTAATTTTCCATACATTTTTGTACTGGCTCAAAGTAATTTAATGGTGATCCGTCATTCAAATATTTCATATCATTAAGGGCGTCAAGCATCCCTAAAGGCACGTAGGAACATTTGCATTTAGTAAAAAGAGTACAGGTCTATCGATTAATGACAAGTTCCTTGACCAAATTAAGTTTGGCACCTGCTGGTACCACTACTCTATGAAAGTGTTGCGCATGAACGTGTATAATTTAGAAGTGAGTTAACGTTGAAGGTTGTTTCAGAAAAGTTTCCCGCGTGCTGTTTTTATATAGCTATCCAGCAAAATGTTGGCGGTATCAAAATTTGTCAATGTCTTTTTTAATCAGAAGGCGCTTGTTAGAAGCCATAAACGATGCATATAGCAGGGATCACCCCCAAAGTCATCACAAATCATCCAATAAGCCACAACGGGAAACTGACTGCATTTATCTTGACTCTTGACAGTTGATTTAATGTACATATACATGTATTGCTACAGGATACTATTACTTGAAACCCTAAATCAGAAATATTTAAAGCTATAGTCCATCATTTGCAGATATCCGAAAAGTAGCTGGCGTAATTATTGTTGAAAAACATACTTGGTTGAAAGATAATAAGGGGACTAAACTCCCTGTGAAAATATTCTTTCTGGCAAGCTGTCATTTTGAAGTAATCAACAAAAGAAGGCCTTTCCAACGGTGCTCCTTAAGAGGCACCGTAGGACAATTTAAGTTAGTAGTTCGTTTTGTTATTCGGCGAAGCGCGCGCAAGCATTGGCACGACGCACACACACACACACACGCACCCCGTTTGCTATAATTCGTCAGATCATTGCGCGACATCGCGTAGCTGCATTCGGCTCAGCGAGAACGGTGTCTCGGACGCTGAATTCAGGCGCAATTCAAAAAATGATTTAGCAACTTTTGATTTGAAATTGAGATCCTAGAATGCTGTTTTTCTCAGAATATATACAGCTGAAGCTGAGCTGAAACTTTATCAGGTTAGTTGTTCAGTTAGTTGTTCTTTAGATTTTGAGCACTTTTGTTGCTTCAAACGAACAAAATGCACAAATTAAAAATGATGGACTACAACTTTAATTGAAGTAGATTAAATTACTTTGAGTCAGTATGCATACTTTTCTTCCCCAAACATGTACTTTCAAATGTAGCACCTCAAAAGGGGCAAAATGCTATACCTATAACACGGTCTTTACAGTGTATTGTAAATATATATATATAGTTAACGAATGCAGAATTTGTGTTTTTTACCACCAAAAAGACGAGCTGGGCCTCGTTGAATCAAGGTGCTTCCATAAATCGCCTAGAATTTAAGACACGCCTACCAAATGAGTGACGGTAACGAGTGGTTTAACGTTAGAATGTTTTTATTTCACATGCTACGCCTATTTGAAGCAAAGAACACTGAATGCTGCATATACAGTTTTTTTTCTAGATTTTGCGCCCCCTTTAAAATAAAGCTCTGCCCCACAGTAGGTAAATTCCAATATCCATTCCGTAAAAATATGTTCATCCCATTTTAAGTTCAACCAGGCCTGCCAATTTTCATGGTTTTGTCACAAAAATGCACGATTTTGACACAATTGGATCAGACTACGTATACGTCACCCCTTTACACATTTAGACCACGCCCACAAATTGGGCGGAAAATATGACTTTTGAAATGCTAGAATGTTTTATGTCATGTCCAAGTTTATTTCAAGGCATTGAAAAAGAAGGAAAATGAATGTTTGATACAGTTTTTCTGAGTTTTTATTCCTTTCACCCCCCCCCCCTTTTTTTAAGTCAAGCTCCGCCCCGAAATCGGCAAGATGCAAGGTGGGTCCACCTCTTAAAATGATTTTCAGACCGTTTTGGCTCTGCACGCCGAATTCATGCTCTTATCACAAATTTGGGCACGGTTTGGGCAAAAATAAGGCGCCTAAGCAGCTCCACTATTAACCAGGATATAATTATACGTGTACATTTGTATATGAAATATTTATAAAATTAATACAATCTTTAAATCGTAACTCTATCCGACCTTTTACCGTTCTTAAGTAACATTTTTGGTATCAGGGGTCAATCTCAACACTTTCATCCAAAACGGCACTTGTATACGCGAGATGTTAATTAAACTCGAAATTTTGGACATTTGACCTTGGTCCCCCGACCCCCGTCCGACTTAGGGCAATTAACTTAAGAATGGCCATTTCTGAACTACCCCCTGGCGGACAATGGCCTGGTAACGTCAAACCTTTTGTGCTCAAATTGTTTATTAAACTCACCTAGTATATAGCTCCCGGTCTACATGTATTATGTACAGTACATGTCTCGCCACACCGCTCGCTAACTACTATTAAATAGTTTTTATTAAATAAATGTTATGCAAGTTTCCACGCAACGATTGACCAATAAGAAAACGACTTAAGGTCAACTTAGGCTATTAGCATAATGAGCACCACCCCCAAAACCTCACATGGACGATAGAACCAAGGCGTTCGATCGGGTCCAACTGATTTGCATAAAATAGTGGCCGCATGAGGTCGCTGTTCGCGCTGTATTTTTAAAGGGAAAATACAACATTTGCAAACATCGAAAAATAAAACCACCCAGTTTTTACGAAATGCCTTCTAGGATGTTGGTAAATGACAGTCTAAAGCATTCTGTAAAATTATGGCACCTGGTGTGAGGTCATTTTCAAGAAAATTGTATTTTTGTACACATTTCCAACGGTGATCGGCCGACCCCCGTTGGAAAAACCTAACTATTTTTCAACTTACTGCTCCATATTTACCATTAATTGTTTCCGTCCAAATTGTGTTTGCTATTGGTTATATGTTTATGAACGGGTGCAGGCCAGCTAGACTGGTTCCCTTACCTTACAATTTTCCGGCATAAAAATTAACCAGACTATTTGAACATTTTTGTTTATTCTTGGTTTTTCCAGCATTTTCGGACACAAAACTTCAAACATGTCAGCGTAACAATATTTTGATCTATTATACTAACCCCACAACTAGTTCATTTTCTGAAAATTACCACGAAATCCAATGATGTACATGTACATTCCCTTTAATGCACTGCATGCATAGCGAGGATATATGCCGCCGATCGTTTGGTTTATAGTTCGTGGGACGAGAGGCCGAAAACGCTTTAGTTTTCGAGATACGCGATCTGGTCCGCCAAATTTTATAAAACTTTCTAGACATGTAGATTATGATGTACCAAATCAAAAAAACATTGTTCCCCGATCCACAGTTTGTTTGGGAATGGGAAAATCTGGGATAAAAACGCCGAAAATTCTGCATGAGAAAAAAAAACATAAAAAGCAGCGCCCTCTATTCACACAGTCAGAAACATTTTCGCACGCAATGAGTGCTTGCCAGATAATACCTCTTTCAAGTTCCCATTGAAGATCATTACAGAACAAATTCGTCTAAGCTGTTGCCGAATGGCAGCATGCAGAAATCGAATTCGTTGGTTATAAATCAAATAGACAAATTTAATTTCTTGACTAAAAATTATAAGGTTTGGCGTAGACTAGACGAAATCGATACTCCAGTACGAAAACGTGTACTTGTTGTTTGAATTGCTTGAACTGAATTTAATATTGTCACACAAAAGACGAAATTAAACGTTGGAAGTGCACTAAATCGCGGTGATGGGCGATTATGAATATTAGAAACGGTGATGATGATAAACGTTTTAGAATAGCCGGGAAAACATATATAATCCGATTTAATCCATTCATTTATTTATTAATTCTTTTTGTTGGGGGGGATTTAAACCTGCACAGTTCTTACCCGCACAAGACGAATGGTAAAGGTTTTCCCGGCAAATTTCCTAAAATTTTCATTTACTTCTCAAAGTCGGTCATTCATTTTCGTCTGAATTTGAGAATCGCTCTGAATATGCGTTTCAGTTTCGCTACCAGAGAATTCGATTCCATTTCAGTTCAATCAATAATTATTAAGTGATTGAGCAGCACTTTTCGTTTATGTCCATTTAGATTCGTTTACAAGACTTCTTTTTCGCTTTTAGAGGAGTCGGACAGCCATTGCGCGAGAAAAGGTTTCTGACTGTGTCAATAGGGGGCGCTGTTTCTTTATTTTTTCTCATGTAGAATTTTCGGCGTTTTTATCCGAGATTTTCTCATTCCCAAACAAACTGTGGATCGGGGAACAAAGTTTTTTTCGATATGGTACACAATAATCTACATGTCTGTGAAGTTTTATAAAATTCGGCGAACCAGACCGCATGGCGAGCGAAAAAAAAGCCTCGTCCCACGGACTATTACATGTACAGACGAATAATGACCAACGCCTTGACCCGTACCAAGAAAACTAACCATTGAACTTATTACCAGTCTTTCAGCATTGATATGATGCGCATTGTTCAGACACGTAATGGAGTGAGGAATATAGACGCGCGCATTCACAAGTATTTAATCAAATAAAAAAAACACGCGGTATAATTCCCCAAATAATAATCTGAACTATATTTTGATTATTTGGTGAGAGTGATTGCGTTATGTGCGAAATGGCAAAGAGACTTTGATAAAGTCTATTGATCGACCCGATAAAAAAAGCTTATATAAGTTCTTACTGGACCAAGGCCAGCAAAAGTCGATAACGGTCAAGTGCTTGTGTACGTACGTATCTGTTGCTTGCTCTACGCCTGTATCTGTATCATAGGGGCCGGGGACCATCACACTAGTATTAGCAGCCATTGTATATCTGAGCATTTAAGCAGGTGTATCGAGCTCTGGTTTTTGTCCTTTGATGATGGCGTTTTCGACATTGCGAGCCGGGCGGGTTCTGTCAGGCCGAGGTGGGCAACTCCTGGAAGGCTTCAGCCGAGCCCGAGGTACGTGGTATAAACATGTTTCGGATGCATCATTACATAACAAAATATCCGTACAATGGCATAGCACATTGAACGCGCTGTATGTCTGTAATGTGTTCAGGTATATGCCTGCTATACTTTCTTTAGCCTCGGAGCAATTCCACGGTAACGGAACTGGACGTTTTCACTCATTGAACAAAATTTCAAATGTGTGTATCACAGACACTGTTATTATTAGTTACATCAAACAAATGTCACAGTTGTGTTGCTCTAACATGTCTAAGCTACCTTCAATTTCCAAACTTTTTTTTGGCATGAATATCTCTCATTCATGAATTATGAATATTAATGACGTCGGTAACAGAAGGACGGTAAAACGGACAAGGGTTTTCCAACTTACATGTGTTTTGTGTAAAATCTGTGAATTTTATGGGGCAAAAAATGGAATCCCTGAAGCTTTAACTATACTATACCACCTTTCATTTGAATTTAAGTGTTTCGGTAATATATTACAACGTCTTAAGTGGATTGTAATTTGGTAACGGAAGGATGGTAACGGAAGGACAAAAGGTTTAGCATGAACAAGATGTGAATTTACACTAATTATACAAGTGAAACAAATTGCTAAAATGTGTAACTGAATGTGAAATCAACAATATGCAGACCTGGCATAAATAATTATACCCAAGAAACTTTTGAGATAAAGATAGGTGCCTGCTATAATTAATGATAATAAATGAAAAACAAAAACAACCAAAAAAACATAATTCACGAACACAAGACTACAGAAATAGACTTCAAACCCATCACCTCAATCCTTAAAAGTTAAAATACCAGTATTTGAACACTTGAGTATGTTGGTTACATGTTCACCGACAACTTTTAATAATAATAGGTTCAGTGGTTTACCTAAAGGTTTTCTTGGGGCGGAGCGACCATGCAGCCTACATTTAAGTTAAAAACATCTACCGGTAGACCTAATGGCAACAGAATCATTATGCTTTTAAAAAAATGTCAATTTTTTGGTGTTGCTTTTAATTGAACTTTAAATTCAATGTTTGAAATCAAATTAGAGTAGTTAACTTATAAACATCCAAACTGAGGTTGTTAACTTAGGCATAATTTGTCAAAAATTGCACCTCACATGTCTTACACATAAATTGTATGAAAGTTCCCAATAGTACTTTCTGCCATCTCATTTTCGACTTAATTTGCTTCTAGAATGGCTTCACAGAAATTGTATCTTTCCCTATTATCCATGAATGGTGATGGCAGCAACTTTATGATTTGATTTTCTGCAACCACTCCATACATGTACGAGTACCCGGTAGGCCTACATCGACATACAATGTACATTGTAGGGCCTACATGCCTGTGCCAACCTTTGTAATGAACACCTTGCCCTGATTATCCCGCTTTTGTGAAGGCGGGTCACACAAATGTCCTTTTAATGCTCATTATACATGGATGTATTTACATTGATTTTCATTTTTCAAACATGATCACAAATGTCGTAACATTTGATGTGAATAGCATTTGTCCTTCCGTTACCGTCCTTCCTTTGGTAACGGAAGGACGTGATTTAAGTAATTGTAATTAAAAAACGAGAAGTACAGAAGTGTCAGTTATAATGTCATTTTGAAGGCCTACCTAAACTTGCTTTACATAATAACTTTCATTGCATTCATACTGCAAGTTATTAAAATAAATTAAAAATATGTATTTTTTTCAGTAATGGAAGGACATTTTCGAAGTCTGAAATATTAGAAGTCACTGAAGTGAAACAATTAAATTACGCAAAACGTAAAAGAAAAAGAAAAATTCAGTCAGTTTTTCATGACAGAAATTGATGGCATTAATAGACTTAATAGTACATATTTTTATGTGCATTGGTAGAAAACTTTCATATCACTATTATTATCACATTTTTAGGATTAAAACAGGATTATGAATCCTATTTTTTGGTACCGAAATGTATCAAAAATTAAATGCCGACTTCAAATCTTTAAAATATAGACTTAGCTTTCATTTGACACCAAATTTGTTTAAGTCACATGCATTTGAAATTGTTGGTGTCATGTCCACTTTGGTGTGGAATTGCCCCTCTGTCACAAAAAAAATGGAAAGCTTGATTTTTTTTCAAAGTTGCTTTCGAATATCTGGTTTCCAAATAGTCAACCGAATTTTAAACAATCCAGCTTAGGCCAAAAAAAAAAATGTCTCCAGTTTCTGGTATGCGCGCGCGTCGCCGTAGCCATGCGCGTCGGCAAAATGAAAAAGTTTTTTTGTTCAATGAAAGATGATGTCTCAAAACCGCCAAACTCACTGGTTTGACTGGAATCTTGCTGCTGCACAATTTTAACGTGTTTTTAGATAGGGTTATGATCGAGAATAAGCTTTATGTGGCCTCTCTGGTCTCCCATAATATTTGCACTAAGTTTAGTCGGGCACCATTTGCAGTCATCAGCCGACATTTGAAGCAAAAAAAACAGGTAAAAAAAAAAAAAAAAGCCGTGTCGCCACACCACTTTTTGGGCAAGCTCCATACCAGAAACCGGAGACTTTTTTTTTTGGCCTTATAATCCCACCACTACATTCAAGCCAACATAAAGTGCCGCCTGAAATGCCCTCCGAGTGGGTATTGTTTGCAGGATTCAGTAGTGACCACTAGTCTATGTAATAGACCATGCCGAAAGCCATGGTCTATAATATTGGAACAGATTCGCTGATTAATTATGCAACACAACCGCATCTTGACCTCTAGATTTTGACCAATCAGCGGGTGCTTTCTATGTCGGGTCTTCAGTCATTCACCGTTGTCGCGTCATAGACTTGGATAAAAAAAAAAGACACAGCAACAATTTAAGGCTGTGGTCACGCTCTCTGTATTCTGTTTATGCAACACGTGCCCGGTTGTTGTTGTATTACAAAACACTGCATTCGAATTGACCAATCACAGTTTTAGTCCTGATTTGGAAATGAAATGACGTCACGATTTAGTAAAGTCGACTCCGATTGGCTGAGGCACGAGATCGCATAAATCTGCAATTCTGCATGCTTTATCAGACGTTATACAGGAGATGGGCTCCGTGGATAACGGGTGAGGCCGTGTCTGAAACGGGCTTCCAGAGCTACGGCTACGTCTATTGTCAGCGCGTCCCCGTGTATTTTCAATGGGCGCAGACCTAAACCTAACTCTAGACAGTTGATTCGGATGCAGCCTAATACTCAGACTAAGTGACCACTGGACCTTTACAAAAATGCTCCAGAGCTGTTATGTTAAAAATATGGGTGGAAACTCTCTGAGAAGTCACCTGGGCAGGCTATTCACATACATGTAGGCCTACAAAAATGTACATGTACCAAGAAGACCAATTAATAGCAAAAGGAAGTGAATGCAGTTACAATCAGAGACCATGGAGCAAATTGGGGGATGTTCCAGTTGTTTTCTTAAAAGCCTGTGTCACAAAAATGGAAGGCTTATTTTCTTTTAAGTTTAATTTTAAATATCCGGTTTCCAAATCAAACCCAAATAGTGGAATTCCAACCGATTTTTTAAAAATCTGGGTTTTAAATCCCACCACTTAAACAATCCATTGCAGTATAAGGACAAGTAAAAAAAACCACCAGTTGATCGTCCAGGGTTTTTTTTCAAAAAGAGGAGGATGAGGGCCTTTTTATTTTTGTATTTTTTATTGAAAAATAGGCTAAAATAAATAGCCATATTTAACTTACACGATATGTGCCTTAGAAAGGAGGAGGCCCTTTTTATTTGTAGCACCAAAAATAATAATGACTGAAAAGCCCATTTCATAAGCTATTTTTAGAAGGAAAAAAAATAATGAAATTTGGTCAATCCGTTCAAATAATATCCCCATTTAAACGCAATGACCCTAAAACCTGTCTCGTCCAAAAAATGCTATTTCAAGAATCGTTGTCACAATTGTTTTCAAACATCACCAGCGATAAAACCTCAGTTTAAAGTTAAAAATATTCAACAAAGTCCTTTTGAAGGCCCGTCTTTTAAAAAAAGTAGATTTTATAAATCATATTGTTTTCCTAAACAGGGTTGTTAATAACTTAATAAAGATATATTGTACTACAGTTGGTGACAGTTGTTGAAACAAGTATTCTGTGTCTTTTTCTTTGTTGTTTCAAAAAGTCAAAACACACAATAAATTGCTTTTTTTTTTGGACGAGACAGGTTTTAGGGTCATTGCGTTTAAATGGTGATATTCTTTGAACAGATTGAGTAATTTCAACAATTTGTTCATCTAAAAGTAGCTTATGAAATTGGCTTTCCAGCCATCATTATTTTTGGTGCTACATATGTTTTTAAATATGAAATATATTTTTGGGGGTTTGGGTTCTGCTTTTTTTGACTCGCCCTGTATTATGCCTGAAATTTAAAAAACAAAAAAAAATTGGATGCAGCCTCAAAAAAGGAAGTGGATGGGGACGATCAACTGGTATTTTTGTTTACTAAGCCTAAGACTCAGCAACGCTGTTTGCATATTTGAATTGTATTTTGTTATTAAAAATAATGATCTCTTTCCCAAGGTACTCATGTGAGGTCTTCAGCTGCTATTGAAAAGCTACTGCCTGAGGAATATGATGGCCCTCTGCTTCAAACCGAAGTACCAGGACCCAAAACGCAGGTAAATTATTGGGGGTTTTTTTAATGCATTTTTCATTCCCGCTCTGCTAACTTGGAACATAATGTATTCCTGATTTCCTGTGAAATGTTCCAAGGGATCTGAGTTTTTTGAGATCCGTCTCCACAAAAATCAAACTTTATTCCGTATTGTAGACAATATTTCCTGGTAGAATGTAGCCAGTGCGTGCAAGATGTACATGTAGATTAGGGGAGACACCCCCTCCCTCCTTAAGATTGTGAAATACCGGTACCATCGTATCCCTGGGGCTGTAAAAAGGACTTATATGCAACACTACTTTGTCCGGCCTGTTAGAACTGGTCCAAACTGGTTCAAGCTATATGGTTGTTTATACAGCACTTTTGGAGATTATCTCATCTGTTGACACGTTTGGAACTGATCCGGCTAGGTTTGATCAGATAATTTGCAATGTAGGTCGCCTTAAGGAGAACACGTACTGGTGCCTCGTAAATAAAAGGGATTTTTTATTATTAAAATATTATATGTGTAGAAAGTACAACAGTAACTGTGGGTATAGGCCTACTAATTATGAATTGTACTATGATCAGGTAGCGGCCCTGGATCACATCTTTATTGAAGCAGTTAAAAAAATGTTTTTCCCCTGGCTGTAAGCCGGAGGGGGATATTGCGATAGCGTATTCTTTCTGTGTGCATTTATGTCTGTATGTACATTTTTGTCTGTATGTCTGGGCGTGTTCATCCAAACTGTGGACGAAAAAGAACAAAAGAGAACAATATCGTCCAGGATTCCCAGCATACGTCCGCGATAGGGGTCATGTACAAAACCTATGGGAGTCTTCCTAAAAAGTTGGAGTACATTCAAAAGAGGGACAATAGGATGTCCACGATTGACTATGTCTGCGTTTGTTTATGGTGTAAATCGAGGACACACGCCTGCAACATCATTGGTGAATCAAGGACAGGCACCAAATCGAGGACGACCTCGATTCGACCTCGATTAGAAAACGTGTACAAAACCAATGAGAGCTGTTGCAAAAAAGTAAAAATCCTCGATTTACACCATAAACAAACGTGCTGTAGTCTGTGTGTGTGTGTGTTATTTTCGGGCCAACAGGTCAAAGGTCAAGGTCACTATTGCTGAAACAAAAGAAATCTTGTCAACGTGATAGCTTGAGAAATACTTAGGAACTTGAAATTTGGTTTGTGGGTTGTTCTTGGTAGTCTTGAGAAGCCTATTGCTTTTGGGGCCGACAGGTCACTATTGCTAAAACAATAGAAATCTTGTCAACGCGATAGCTTGAGAAATACTTTAATTAGGAACTTGAAATTTGGTTTGTGGGTTGTTCTTGATAGTCTTAAGAAGCCTGTTGCTTTTGGGGCTGACAGGTCAAAAGATCTAGGTCACTTTTGCTAAAACAATAGAAATCTTCCATTTTGGTTAGGATTACACTGACTTTAGAAAAAACTGCCAGCATGCCAGGGGGATTGCGCAAGTCTCACTTGCAGTATTTTCAAATCTGATTACAAACAAGTGACGAGCTCTTTTTGGAACCTACAGCAAGGTTTGATCAGATAATTTGCAACTTAGGAGGCCTTAAGGAGAACACGTACTGGTACCTTGTAAATAAGAATTGCTTTACTTGTTGAGATATAAGTGTAAAGTACAAATGTGGGTAAACAATTATCAATTGTACTATGGTCAGGTAGCGTCCCTCCCTGCATCACATTTCTTTGTTAAAGCACTTTTTAAATCTGATCTGAAAAAAGACCAGAGTAGAACTTGCGATACATGTAGAGCTTTTATTTCCAAGTCATATGACACTGTGGGTCCGGATGGGTTCACGGTTGTGTTTTTTTTTCATACATGCATACACGCCTACTTGCACTATTTAGAATACAATACAGCACTTTTGAAGATTGTCTCTTTTGACAGTTTTGGAACCTATACAGCAAGGTTTGATCAGATAATTTGCAATTTAGGTCGCCTTGAGGAGAACACGTTCTGGTACCTTGTACATGTAGATAAAGAGGTTTTAAAGAATATAATACAGCACTTTGGAAGATTGTCTCTGTTGTTGACAGTTTTGGAACTTACAGCAAGCTTTAATCAGATAATTTGCAATATAGGTCGCCTTGAGGAGGACACGGACTGGTACCTTGTAAATAAAGAGGTTTTTAAGAATACAATACAGCTTTTTGGAAGATTGTCTCTGTTGTTGACAGTTGTGGAACTTACAGCAAGCTTTGATCAGATAACTGGCAATGTAGGTCACCTTGAGGAGGACACGGACTGGTACTTCCTACTTGTTAAAAATATATTTGCTTAAAGTACGATTGTAAATGTCGGTAAACAATTGTGAATTGTCAGGTAGCGTCCCTGGATCGCATTTCTTATTGAAGCATTTTTTAATCTGATAAAAAAAAGACCAGAGTATTTTGACCTTGTGATCAGGCATGCAACTTTTCCTCGGATCAGCTGATTTCCTCGTGTTTCACTTCACACTTATACCTTTGAAAATTAAAAAAAAATGTACAAAGTCTTGTAAAGATTGGAGTTTCCTCGTTTTTGTTTCTTCCACTTGAGTTGCATGCCTGTGTGAACATACCGGTACATGTATGTCCCATTAGAGCTTTTATTTCCAAGTCATGGCAATGTACAGGTAGCCAATTAACAATTTGCATTGTATATGAATACACAGAATTCCTTTGCAGTTTTTGTACGATTGAAATTCTGATTTTTATTTGTCCACAGCAACTGATGAAAGAACTGCATGCTATAAACAAGGTATGTGCTTGGAGGAAGGGGGGGGGGATAACGTTTCCAGAAATCACCATTGCCATGAGGGAAATAAGACATCTCTGGATGTGAAGCAACTAACCACTGGCCGGGTTTAGCATGCAAAGGACCCCCCCCCCCCCTTCCAATTGTTTTTTTCTGACATAAAATGATGGTGAAAAAAGTTACATACATAAGTGTATGAGTACTTTTGAGAGCTCGAGCGTGAAATTTCGTTTCCCGTCCCATTATTGTATCAAGTAAATAAAAGATACCTTTTGGGGACTTGAGTTACAGAGCTCGTATCAGGAGCTTGAGACACCATCATGGTGTCTTTATCGACTGGCGTTGTTTAGGCCCTCACACAACCCGTCACGTGACCCGTCATGTGACCAGAGAGTTGTTTGTTTGGAGAGGAGAGCTTTGGAGAATTTTTTTTTGTTAAGGTTCACCAGTTCACTTGTCCTATTTGTCTGAAAGTTGCCATGGGTGGCAGGCTAAAGAAAAAAGATGCAAAGAGAAAGGAACTAGCAGGTTCTGTGGTTTTGGCCCTCCTGCTGTGCATGTTTCATATCAGAAAAACCTCAATTTTAAAGAGCAGTGTTGTAGTCGAGTACTTTTTCCGAGTACGAGTACTGCCAAGTACTTAGGTTACCGAGTACGAGTACAAGTACTTCCGAGTACAAGTTAAGGTCTCCCAGTACGGGTACTTGTACTTCTGAGTACGAGTACGAGTACAAGTACTTCTATTTCTGAATACGGCCATATGCAAATGGTTCATTGTGCGATATTGGCCCAGGCCCAGTCAGACCCATATTCAGACCCACTCACGGCTGGCCGAAAAATGTGTTTGTCCAGCAGACATGCACAGAGAAAAATCAGGAAATTTGATTTCTGTGCAAGCCAATTAACCATTTCCAACTGAAAGTATCGATAATAATATAAAGCTGTGGTAAAGTCAAGCTACCATACCATTTTTTTTTTTCGAGTACTGCTATTCGAGTACCAGTACTTTGATGATCGAGTACAATTTTGACATGCCAAGTACGAGTACTTTGCTGCCCAAGTACGAGTACCATTATTTGGAGTACGAGTACTTTGACATTCGAGTACGAGTACTCCAAAAAAGTACTCGAGTACGAGTACCGAGTACGAGTACTACAACACTGTTAAAGAGACCATTAGAACATATTTTGTGCAACTTTCTAATCCTCGTAAATGTATGAAAATTATGTGACATCTTGTTTTTAGTTAATTTGTTTGAAAGTGCTCTTCTTTTCACATTTACAATTGTCCATGCTTTTTATAATATCTGAGGGCGCTGTTGCTGTGATGTCATTTCAGGAAGGCACTGTTCAGCTTAGGGGTTTTCTGTTCAAATTGTGACCTAAAATTTGCTCATTGACAACATTTGTGGGAAAAGTTTGCTCATTGGCTTAGCTGTCTTGCACTGAAACAACAACAAATCACCAAAGAAGAGAAAAGTTACCTCCGAAAAATATCCAAAATTTTGGAAACTTTTGGTACTAAAATAGCTACCGGTATTTGAGGTTTCTGCCTGAAATGTCATCACACTTTTGCGAAAAAAATTTCCAAAATTCTCAAAATGTGTAGTTTCCACTGAGCTAAAACTTCCACAGGTTATAAATGTAGTTATGCACCCTACTTAAAAAAAAATTGAGCAATTTTGTTGCTTCAAACAAACAGAAATGGCACAAAACCACATGATCATTTGTACCTTTAAATTCAGTAGAATAATTGTTTATTTATTTATTTATTTATTATCGGGATATAAACATTAAAAACAAACAGGCCCGAGGATTTGTTGTTTATGATCATGATGTCAGAAGGACCAAGATAAAGCAGATGAGAATGTGCATTTTTTAAAACTCCTGTTTTTCCTCCCAGAATGCCGGCAACGTGCAGCTCTTCATTGACTACGAGAGATCCCACGGCAACTACGTGGTGGATATGGACGGCAATCGATTGCTGGACACATTTGCCCAGATCTCCTCCATACCCATCGGTAATTAGCCTGCAGCTGTGTAGACGTTAGTTGTTTAGGTTGGAAGCCTGTGGCTCTAATGCAGTACGGTAGGGACGAAAATTGCCCACCCAGGCGTAAATCGATACACAAATGCAGTTTCCTTGAAGTTATGATAATCACTTTCAAATAGAATTGTTCTTGAATCTAGGAGAAAATACGGGGTGAGTCAAAAAACCAGAAGCAAAACCCAAAGAAATCTATTTCATATTTTAAAAAATATGTGGCACCAAAATAATTATGACTCGTAAGCCAATTTAATAACCTACTTTTAGATGAAAACAAGTACAACAATTCTTGGATCAATCCATTCAAATTATGTCACCATTTAAATGAAATGACCCTAAAATCTATTTTGTCCGAAAATTCGATTTCACGAATTGTCCTTACAATTGTCTTCAAACATCACCAGCGATAAAACCTCAATTTAAAGGTTATAAATATTCAACTAAGTCCTTTTGAAGTCCCGTCTTTAAAAAAAGGGGGATTTTATAAATCCTATTGTGTAGAGAAATTGAAATAATTGTTTCACCTAAAGCGAATATAAATCATTTGCTTTTGCTGTAATTTTCAGAAATGGATGGAATTGGGGGGTTGGAAATATATAGCAAATACAGTTACACTGACTTTTTTGAGGTTTTGGGTTCGAAAATGCTATAAAAACCAAGAAAAACAATCATTTTCCTGTAGTCTGGTTCCCTGACTCCATATAAGAAGAAACAGAGCAGTTTACATACTTACGGAATTGTAAGATCAGGGAACCAGTCTAGCTGGCTTGTACCCGTTCATAGGTGTGTAATCGATTGCAAACAAGTGCGATGGTCAATTGGGGCCAGTATTTGAAAAAAAGCCAGTTTTTTCCAACGCTGGTCAGCCGACAGTATACCAGGTGCCATGATTTTACAGGATGCTTTACACTGTCATTCACTAACAGTCCAGCAAGGTATTTCAAAATGATTGGGTAGTTTTATTTTTTGATGTTTGCAAATGTTGTATATTCCCTTTAAGACCAAAACAGAAAAAAATACTCGGTCTCTGGTCAGCGCGCGCGTCGATGTGAATCATGCGCGTCAACCTTTTTTCTTTTTCTTAAAATTAACACGGAAGCTATTGCCGCGCCTCCTCAAATTTTTGTACCAAGGAGCACCAAGGAATGGGGAAATTGCACCAAGGCAAATGAAAAAGGGCACCAAGGCAAATTATGGAGGACACCAATGTATCATGAGGACACAAAAAAGCAAAATAGTACCCACCTTGTCTGTACAATACAAAAAAAAAAAGCCACAAAAAAAAATGCGTCGCTGCATCAATTCCGGAACTTCGGTCTGACCAGAGACCGACTATTTTTTTTTTTTTAGCCTAAAAGTAGTTGATTAAATGGGCTTCCAAGTCATAATTGATTTTGGTGCTACATAGTTTTTATTATATGAAATATATTTCTTTGTTTTTGGGTTCCGCTTTTTTTTTTACTCGCCCTGTATACATTGCATGCAGCTCCATTTTAACGTATGCCGGTATTTCCCGTTATTTGGAAAATCTAAAGAAAACAAGTTAATAATTAATGTAAAAAATTGTATTGTGCAAGATTTCTTTAACCTCGGCCGATTTCATGGTGCTGATATAGCATGCAATTTATATTTACAAAGCCTCTGACCTTTGCATGGATCAAAAGCAGTAACCACAGCAAAGAGCACGACATTTATGAGGCATGAAATTTGCAAATACTAGTAATTAATGCAACAATTGACATTGCCATGAGTGTACAAAGTGTACAAGTGTGAGCATGCCCACGCTTTAATTGCATATAATGTTAAATCAAATTTGCCGGCTGTTGTTAGCACAGTGTTTCTGCACAGATTTGGAGCTTTCTAAGCTTCCCTGTGCATTGTATGCGGTGAGAGGAAAAGACAATGGTTTGACAAAATCCCTGAGTGCAGAGTTTGCTCTTTGACCCGAAAGAGTACAGCTATAGAGGCTTTCAACTCCCTGTGAATGAATTCAGTGGGGGACTGTTGGTTTTTTTCACTGGATTTGAAATGTCTTGAATTGTTTCCCCATGATCTGAAGGTTACAACCACCCAGCTATTGTTGATGTCATAAAGGACCCTTCCAACTTGGTAAGTCAGCTTAGAAAATTTTCTTGCTGAGTGGGCCATTCTTCGGTCACGTGTGTGACATAAAATTGGGCTCATTTGATATTTGAAGCTTTACCCCTTGTTAACTACATCTGACATATTACTTCCACTAACTCATCAGGTTAGTACTTTTTACTCCCTATCTCAGAGTATAGTTCCTACTTTCACAAATTGTATCAAAATAAGTAGGAGGGGTCATCAAAGTTTGGTCACGTGTGTGACATCAGACGAAAAAATGTTATCAGGCCCATATCGGAAATTCACACTTTTCTCCAGAGTTCTAAGGACACACACACCCAAACTAATTCTGCTTTAGTTTTACTAAATGGGAATTGTTATATGTTCACATGTGTGACATTTCGATCGGTCACGTGTGTGACATTTTGTAATTAATTTTATGCAAATTTATGCACGGAAAGACCAACTTGTGAAACATCTTAAGAAAATTGCATCTTAACTTATTATACTAGCAACACTTTAGTGAACAACAATCATTTGTATTACATCACATTTAAAAAAAAAATAGTTTGTTTCCAAAAATTAAGTTAGTTTCAATTTCTGAAGAATCGCCCAAGGTGACTCACGTGACATCAGTCAGAAAGCGATATGAATAACAAAGCTTTATTGCTGGTATTATTTTGTTCGCTAAGGAAACCTTGACTGTACTTGGCCAATTCCATGCTTTTGGAAACTTCATGAAATTGGCCGCTGCTGTGAGGCCGCTGCTGGGAGTCATAGCTCAGTGAGTGAGGACGATATAGCTAGGGACCCACTCCAAACCAACTCAGTTCTCACTCAACCCACTCTTCATGTGTAAATGCTCTCCAGATGCCATACAGGGCGAGTCAGAAAAAGCGAACCCAAATGTCAGGGCCTCTGTTTTAGTAAAGTTCTGCATGTAGCACTTCCAGGATATGAAAGCCTAATTCACAAGCTTTCTTTTAGTACAAGAATCATTCAAATCACTCATGTACTTTTAAAGTTACGGAATTTTAAACACAACCACCATTTTAAAGTTCTGTCCACAGATCACAAAAAAAGATGTGCGTTCTTTCAGCAAAACAAAACAATTCACACACATCCCTATGTGATTTGTTTTCATTTTGCTGAAAGAACACTCATACCTTCTGTTGATCGGTGGACAGAACTGTAAAACGGTGGTTGTGTTTAAAATTCCGTAACTTGAAAAGTACATGAGTGATTTGAATGATTCTTGTACTAAAAGAAAGCTTATGAATTGGGCTTTCTTATCCTAGAATTTGGAAGTACTACATGCAGAACTTCCCTAAAACAATGGTCCTGACATTTGGGTTTCTTTTTTTTTTACTCACCCTGTACTTTACATGTAGTACATGTATCCCTGTACAGTAATTGACATTTAAGAAGGCATAATAGGATCATTTGCATTTATCCCAAAGTAAACCAACAAATTGTTATCAATATAATAACGTCTTATTAAAGGGCTCTTTGGGGGTCAAGGACAAAATACTAAAGAATATTACATGTGTTGTGCACACTTGTATGGAAAGAAATGCATAGTACGTACCTAGTAGTATTTTGTAGCTTTACGTGAGGTTACGTGAATTGGTTCAGAGCTAGCTTGGATTAAAGATCCTACTGGTGAAAAAGACCCAGTAAAATGATTCCGTCTGGCTTGCTGTTATGCAGAAGTAATCAAGAAATGTAGGTGATTTCCAACAATCATCCAAATTTTGGAATTATGCTTTTGACTAGAATTGTGTTTTTCAACTGTTTTCTCATATGAAGTGCAATATCATATGGACTGAAACTTCAACAGGTTACTGTAGATTCTCAACATTATTCTATGATCTTTGGATTTTGAGTTGTGTTATTATTAGAAAAACAAACAAAATGTATGGAAAGCAACTGTATGCATTAAGCGTGTAATATATGATTGTCCCCTACCGTAAAAAAGTATGTACGATTGATAAAGGTCCACACTACAGTAGACAGTATGCATGTGTACAGTAGAGGGAAGAGGTATCATCTGTTTGTGGCGATTTCAAATGACACTCAGTTTTAACATGTTGTCCCTTTTTCTTTTTTTTTAAAGTTACATACGGTATTCCCATTCATTTTTAGAAGTGGAAAACTTTCCGGCTGAAAAAAATCATCTGACCAATCATTTTGCATAGTGTTTTGGGATAGATGAGACCGGTAGGATTACAGTTAACAGTGTAAATACAATCCTTGTTTTTTGTGTTTTGTATTTCTGATAACTCCTGTCCAGGTTCACCTTGTTAACAGGCCAGCACTGGGCGTGTTCCCTGGGGCAGACTTTGCCAGCAAACTATCAGAAATCTTGATGTCGGTAAGTTTGGGCATAAAAAAAAAAGTTGTGAAGTTAACCCCTTCAGAAAAAGCACTTATTGGATAAGTGCAGCATTGAGTGTGTATAATCCTGCATTGATTCTACCAAAGGTTTTTACTTGTGACTGGGCATTGTCAATTGACTTGTGAGAAATTGTACGCACATGTCCTTGACCTTTTGAATAATTGTGACTGGACTTGTGGTGATGGATTTCAAATACGGTTGGCCATTACATGTCCTTGTGCTGACTTGACCAATTTTACAGGACTACGTGCGTTTTGGGTGTGGCATAGGGTGGCACCTTGAAAAATAGACTTTCAAATTGAAATGATGATCTTCCAACAATTACATTATTATAGCTTTCCTATGAGACATTGAAAGAAAACAATCGGCTCATGATAAGAAATCAATTAATTTGTGTCAACTTTTGCATTAAGAGCGGGATGCTCCTAGTTTGTTCTGAAGCCAGTGTAGGACCTAGAGTGCGCATGCGTTTTTGCAATGGTGCGGTTTATGAACAATAATTTCAACAGCTGTATACAGACTAAGTGCATGTGTGTGCATGTGGGTGTACCTACATGTGCATGTGTATACACGGTACATATACACAGTGTCGTATAAAACAGGACTTGGAAAACTACAGGCTTGCGATCCAGCGAGACGAAAAGATGCAAAAGTAGCAGAGATTCTGATAGAGGCGTGTGAAGCAGGCAAGCCAGCCTGGCTGCACGTACATGTACGTAGGCCTACTATGATTGCGGAGCAGTGTCGCGAACTGGCCCGGCGATCATCCTATAGCTATGGTAGGATCGGCGGACCAGGCGTATACAAAACACATGATTCCAAAATTAACATACATAATGTTTGAGCTGCAACGTCACTAGATAAGACTATTTATAGCATTTCGCTCAAAATTTTTTGAACTGGAGCGCCATTTAAAACCACTTTTTAAAACTGTATAAAGGCCTGCAAAACAAACCAGTATATATAGTATTTACATGGCATTATATTTCGTTAAACTTCGTTCGGAAAAGAAAATCTTTGAAAAAGCATGTATAAACCGACTTTAAAGAGATGCATTCTCAGGCTATTTTGGGGTTTCATCCCGAAAAAAAGATTCCTATTCTGAATTGCTATTTTCCTTGCAATACAAAAGTTATTCACTTTGGATTGAGACATTGATAAAAAAAATTCCCATATTTTGTTATTGAATTATTACTTCCCAATTTGGAATTATTGGCTGCCAGATAACAATTCCGGTTCTCATGGTGTAGGCTGGTGCCGGCCCCAATGTCAGTATCGATAATGTGCAGACCAGGAGCCAGTCTGCTCCCAAAGCAGATCTGTTTGTGCCCAAAACAAAACAAAAAAAAATTCCAGAGGTTTGCAAACATCCAAAAAAGGAAAAAGGAAGGTTTTTGGGGGTTGGAATAAAACATATTAGTTAAAATTTTATTACTAAAAAAAAAATTGTGCAACTTTAAATAAGCTAATGAAGTATGTGGGTTTATACAGGAAGGTCTCAGGCCAACTTAATACAGTGGAACGCCGCTATAACGAACATCGCGGGATCCACAGAAAATGTTCGTAATAGTGATCGTTCGGTATAGCGATTTTAAGCTGCCGATGCTCCGGTACTGACTTTTCATTTGTTTTCAATAAATGGCGCCCTTCATAACTTCACCCTGCATGCCCTGGTAGTTACTGAAAGACGACTTCGAACACGTGCTGACTATTGAATTATGTAATTACACAGTTTGGAGCTGACTACCTACATCGATGGGTGGCTTTCCCCTTCTATGCCTTGGGGAAATAATAGCCACTTGTCGCTCTTCTGTTGACAGTTTTCAACAACAGTGTTCGGTTGGTTTTGTACACAAAAATCAGGAGCCAAGGACGATGTTTGGTATAGCTGAATGTTCCGTATAGCGATGTTCGGTATAACGACGTTCCACTGTAGGTCTATGCTTGTGGAAGACCCAAGTGCTGAGATTTGGGACCTTTTCCCATACATTCTTACAGTGGATAGATGATTGAGTAAAAACTTAAACACAGAATGAGGCTGAAATGTACACTTTTTCCTTCTTTTTTGTTTTAAGGTTGCCCCCAAAGGATTGAATGGCGTGCAGACCATGATGTGTGGCACATGCAGCAATGAGAACGCTATCAAGCAGGCTCTGATTTGGTACCGGGTAGGTCAAACAAAAAGAATTGTAACAAACATGGTCCTATAATGTTCACTTATTTAAGAAGATGTTCCCTGGAGGAATGCTATCAGTCTAAACCTAGAAAACTCAGAGTCAATGTGAAGAATTATTTGATATTATATAATCAGAATTTATACGTACGAACAGACTGGACATTTGTCACAAAATGTCTGTCCCTGTTCGTACGTAACCCTAATCACATCATAAATTTGAAGCCAGTGTGGAAACTGATATATTTTTGTTTGATAACAATGTAAAATGGGTTGGTAATGTCACTGGAAGTACCTATTAGAAATTGAATTTGTCTTAAGCACCCTCTTCCTTGCAGTGTGTCTGTCCATGTTACATATGTATCACAAAGAAAAGATGCCTGTTATTTTCTCCCCAAAAAAGATAACATCTTTTGTCTTGTCTTGTCTTAGTCAATTTCAACTTAGCAAGGTATAGGAAAATGCAACATATGCTCTATATGCAACATCCATAAACTTATCTAATTGGCCCACTAGTGTGGAATTGCCCATTTGTATATTTCAGGTCAGTAGTCAGAAAGCAGTGTGCAGCAGTTTTATTCATTTTGAATTGTCAGAAACCTGTAAGTTTTATATTATTTTGTGATTAGACCCAGAAAAGGGGAGGACCGCCCACCCAGGAGGAACTGGGGTCATGCAACACTGGCCAGGTGGGTTGTACATGTATATCGCTCAACCAAACAAAGAATCATTGTATGTGTATTAACTGCATGAATGCACTAGTTGCAGTGGGGACAATGTTAAATTTGTCAAAAGATTGTCCTTTCTGGGCAATACAATCTCGTATCGACTGTCAAAAATGCAGCTGTTTACGTAGTACAGTGGTGATGCATTGATGTGTAGAGTGATGGTGCAGTTGAGCGGGGAGTGCCATTTGTCACTAAGGGATGTGAACAACCTTTTCAGGCAATTGTAACCAGGCATGCAACTTTTCCTCGGATCCGCTGATTTCCTCGTTTTTCACTTCTCGTGAATGCCATTACAAATTGAAAAACACTGTGCAAAGTCTTCTGCGGTTCCTCGTTTTTCCTAAATTCCCAGTTGCACGCCTGTGTAACTATAGTTAGTTTGCAGTCTGCACTTGGAGATAAATAGGGCAGTTGAAATGTGCACAACCTTTTCGGGCAATTGTAACTAAGTTCACAGATGCAGACTGCAAACTCAGCTACAATTTTCTGAAAAGTTTGTTCATATTTGAACTCCCTTATTTGTCCCCATGTGACAAATATGTCACTCAATTGCACCATAACTTATACATCAGTGGATTACCATTGTACTACATATTCAGCTGGGTTTTTTTTTTTGAAGTTTCGTTTTGTGTGAATTAGAAAAAGAAGGGTAGAAATGTAGGTCGCCGCTATTGGGGCCATAAAAACAACATGATCTTGCAAATTTTCCAAATATTATTAATTTTCCAAATATTTCCACGCCGCTTTCCTCCCCCCTAAAAAAGCAAACCACCGACCAAGTAAAACATTTTCCTTGATCCATGAAAGAACATTGACACCTAGAACTGAAAAAAAAGAAGTGAGACACTAATCCCCCGAAAAATATGTTTTTGAAACCTTTTTCAGGCATGCAACTTTTCCTCGGATCTGCTGATTTCCTCGGTTTTTACTGCTCATGAATGCCATTAGAAAATGGAAAATACTGTACAAAGTCTTGTTTGGTTTGGAGTTTCCTTGTTTTTTTCCCTTCTAAATTCCCAGTTGCATGCCTGCTTTTTAGGGTTAAGTAAGGCCTTTCTATCATGTTGTGGCAAATCGTATCATTGATAGAGGGAGGGTCTGTTTCATACTTGCCGCTCAGATCTGCTCTGATGACTTGGTAATGTTTGTCATTGTTCAAGGCACTTTGGGAAAGGCACTTTTACACTCATTGCTTCTCTCCACCCAGGAGTAAAGGGTGCCTGTGAGGGCAGAGATGGTTATTGTGATTGAATTAGCTTCCTTGCGCCTAACAGGCAGAATCAAGCTGTATATATACTCCCCAGGGAGCTGAGATGGTATTTGGAATGTTTAACTGGCCCAATGATCAGGGGTAATAATAATGTAAAGCGCTTTGATCTTAGTTAAAAGCGCTTTATAAGAACCTGTTATTATTGACGTGCGACAGCTTGTGACTGACAGCTTATGATTGACTTGTGATGACATATGATTGACATGTCATGACTTGCGATCGACATGTGATAAACTGAATACAACTCAACAGTAGTGGAATCCTGCGTTCCATAAAAGGAACTTTATGTCACACTTCATCTATTTTGTATGTGGCAGGAACCAGGCTGCCCTCCGTACACCGTACTATCCTTTGATGGAGCTTTCCATGGACGAACCCTCGGTAAGTTATTTGTTAACATTGACTCTATCTGACATTGTGTTTGTAATATCAATGGTCTTCGTGCACAAGTACATGTACCCCCGCAACGATAAGAAAGGGATAGTCGGTAAGAAAGGGATAGTCGGGCAGACAACTGGGAGAGACATTCAAACGCACTGCTGACGCCGCCTGACGCTTAACGAAGACGCTATGGCTTTGTGCACATTCAGAATAAAATTAGTAATGCGTACTTCGCGCTGAACGCGCGCAGACCAGTACATGCAAGCGATGTGTCCCATCCACAGAGCTCTCGAAATTGATAAAAATGCACCCTCTCTTCATGCACGGATCCTACATGACTCTTGAGGGCGGTATCATAAGTCCGACGCCTCATAAGTCCGAAATTTTGGACTTAAGAGGCGTCGGACTTATGAGGCATAACATTTATTTATTCCGCCTCATAGGTCCAACGCCTCATAAGTCCGACGTCAGAAAAATGAGGCATTTAATCTGTCGGACTTACGAGGCGTCGGAGCTATGAGGCGTCGGACTTATGAGGCGTCGGACCTATGAGGCGTCAGGCTTATGGGCTTTTATTTGGTTGAGGGATGCGATTTTGTCGGACTTATGAGGCGTCGGACCTATGAGGCGTCGGACTTATGAGCGGACCCCACTCTTGAAACTTAAACAGTATTACCATAACACTTTGAGACAGTTTGATGCACAAATATATAATAAAAAAACCTGAACTACAAACATGTACACAATTAGAAATGAAAACACAGGTGGAAATAGAAGGTCAAAGGCACATTTTGGGGATTTCAGAAAATCAATTGTATGGCCCTCTTTGAAGGTAGAGTATATTATTTGTCATTTGTGCATTTTTTTTTCGTTTGAAGCAACAAAAGTGTTCAAAAAACTTTTCACGGCTTCGCCAAATTAAAAATACTAAAGGAAATTTCCAAAAATGCCTCTTTAGACGTCTTTATTGTTTTCTACAAAATGACAGCATGCCAGAAAGAATAACTGCACAGGGAGTTTAGTGCCACTATTATCTTGAAACCAAGTATGCTTTTCAACAACATTTCATCAGCTCCTTTTTGGATAGCTGCAAATATATTCTCTACCTTTAATACACTTTATTTGTAACTTACGTACAGTAAAGTAGCCAACTTTTTAAGGGATGGACATACCTTAATAACCCAATAATCACCCAAAGCCCCCTCTCCCCCCCCCCAAAGAAAATGCTTGTTACTCTCTGTACCACCTAAAACCTCCCTAGATTTATGAAGGAATAAATACAGGGTGATTAAAAAAATAGGACACCCACATTTGACAGCAATTTTCACCTATTTTTAAAAATTATTTTTAACTTTCGATTAGTAGCTATTAAAGTACTGGCCTTTAAGCAAATGTGACAAAAAAATCGTTGCATTTGCACATTTTGTCGTTGAGCTATGCTAATTTGAACATTTCATGAGTGAAACCTGTTTGTCCACGGAGGTATACATTCCCTTCGCTTGACTGAGCTCAGCTACCGGAGCTTTATTTGAAAGGGCATGACATTGATTGTTGTGTTATGCAACAATGAACTTAAGCTGACAGCTCATTGAGTAGATGATCTTAACACTGACATGAATAATAATTGGACAGCTTCAACAAAAGTTACTGGGGCAAAATATATTTTGGTGTGAAGGTTCTTTAATTTTTATGAACTACAAAAACGTCCAATTCACATAGAATAACCCGTGGACAAGACTGATTTTGGTGACTTGTATTCAAATTAGCATAATATCACTTTTTTTGTGACTTTTACTAAGCTTTTTTCACCATGCATGGTTAAAGACCTATACTTTACTACTATGTAAAAAAAATGTTTAAAATAAGTTCATTAAGTAGGTGATAATTGCTGTCAAAAGTGGGTGTCCTTTTTTTTTAACCACCCTGTACAATGTAATACAATGTATCACATGTGCTAATGACCTATCTCTGTTGACCAGGCTGCCTGACTCTGACCCATTCCAAGCCGATGTTCCGTGTGGACATCCCCACTATGAATAACTGGCCGGTGGCCCCCTTCCCAAGGCTGAAGTACCCCTTGGAGGAGTACACGACCGAGAATAAAGCTGAGGAAGAAAGGTGTCTCAAAGCGGTAGGTCTATGTCCATGTTTGACCCTGTCCATTAGTAGTCTGACTCTGAGGAATATAGGGCGAGTCAAAAAAAAGCGAAACCCAAATGTCGGGACCATTGTTTTAGTGAAGTTCTGCATGTAGCCCTTTCAAAATCTAGGATACGAAAGTCCAATTCATAGGCTTTCTTTTAGTACAAGAATCATTCAAATCACTCATGTACTTTTCAAGTTACGGACTTTTAAACACGACCACCGTTTTGAAGTTCTGTCCACGGATCACAAGAAGGTATTGTTCTTTCAGCAAAAACAAGTCACATAGGGATGTGTGTGAATTGTTTTTGTTTTGCTGAAAGAACGCACACCTTTTTTGGTGATCCGTGGACAGAACTTTAAAACGGTATTGTGTTTAAAATTTAATGAATTGGGCTTTCATATCCTAGATTTTCAAAGAACTACATGCAGAACTTCACTAAAACAAGAGTCCCGACATTTGGGTTTCGCTTTTTTTGACTCACCCTGTATATGTTTACGTGTGCAGAGCCACATGACAATGTGTGATGTATTTTAGCATGCACATTTTTGCGACCCTCACACGTCAGCCAATCAGTGCCGCCTTAAGAAGTTCTGACGTCATTTGGAGCAAAAACAGGGCCAAAGCTGTTGATTGGTCAATAGCTGGCATTTTTTTTATCCGTACAACATTAGGTTAATACCGAAGACACGATAGAAGGTGCCCGCTAAATGGTCCGAATCTGGGGGTAAACACACAGTGTTGATTTGCATAATCTGAACACATATAGAAGCTTGCCGCGCAAGCTTTTATTCCATAGACTAACCATTGGAGGGATGAAGCAAATATAGTATTGGCAAAACTGAAATATTTTTGGAATCAAATAATCAGACAAACCAAGGGAAACTGACTGGTTGCAATTATAAATCTAAAAATTAATGTGGCCTGACGTTGCGAACTTAGCAAGTTCTTCTTCAGAGGCTAAACCATTTTCGTAATAAAGTTCTGTATGTAGCACTTTCAAAATCTAGGATATGAAAGCCCAATTCATAAGCTTTCTTTTAGTTCAAGAATCATTTAAATCACTCCTGTACTTTTCAAGTTACGGAATTTGAAACACAACCACCGTTTTGAAGTTCTGTCCGCGGATCACAGAAAAAGGTGTGTGTTCTTTCAGCAAAATGAGACAATACACATGCATCCCCATCTGACTTGTTTTCGTTTTGCCGAAAGAAAATTACTTTTTTTCTTGGTTGCAATTATAATAACATTGGACCAAAGAAATTGAGGTTCAACCTGCTACCTCTAGAACTCTGTATCCTCTCTGAGTGATCTCTGTTTGATATTTCGTGACTTTGAGTGTGATCCCTGTCTACATGGCATATATGGGTTTTTGGCTTCTGATAATTATAGTATAATTATAGCACCCTTTGAACAAAGTTATTTGACAAGTTGAAAAACTGCCAACATACAGGGTGAGTAATAAAAAAAGAAACCCAAATGACGGGACCATTTTCTTAATAAAGTTCTGTATGTAGCACTTTCAAAATCTAGGATATGAAAGCCCTATTCATAAGCTTTCTTTTAGTACAAGAATCATTCAAATCACTCATGTACTTCTAAAGTTACGGAATTCGAAATACAACCACCGTTTTAAAGTTCTGTCCGCGGATCACAAAAAAAGGTGTGTGTTCTTTCAGCAAAATGAGACAATACACATGCATCCCCATCTGACTTGTTTTCGTTTTGCCGAAAGAACACTTACCTTTTGTGTAATTGTTCTTAATTTAGATTCTGAATCCGATGTCACAATGCAGTTACACAGTGCGAATTGACCAATTAGATCATGATTTTTGGTCAGGTGACCGAGGTAGCCTGGTCAGGTGACCGAGGTAGCTTGGTCAGGTGACCGAGGTAGCTTGGTCAGGTGACCGAGGTAGCCTGGTCAGGTGACCAAGGTAGCTTGGTCTAACTGTTAGAAATTGACACTAACCAAATGGCTTATGTCCACCTGCATTCTCTCCCCTCCCTCAAAATATACATGTGTGTGGGAAAAGCCGCCCAATATTATCATTTATGAACCGGAGAAGTGTAAACCTGCTTAATATGCCTGTCTGTTGTATTGTATTGTATTGGGAGTCTTTATATTTTTGGACCAGTTTTGCAGGATTCATTTCAACATTGCTTCTACCACAGATCCTAGACACCAGGATAAACGACTGTTCTGAGCTCTAGTACAAAATGCACTGAGCGGACTTGCCTTAATTGGTAAGACGCGTGATAACGGGCATTAATACCCGTTGGCGCCTAATCGCGAATTTTCCAGGTGTCCTATTGTGTTGGGTTTTTGCAAGACATCTAAAACGGAAATATTCATGTGACAGGGGGAACACAGGATCTTCAAGTTTAGATGGAAAATATACTGTTTTTATTCCTCATCAGTGGCCGCATGGCAGCAAAGCGCAGCCAGCTCTGTAAAACTTTCTTTAAATTACAAGACTTTACAACATGTGTGTGCTCTTGTTGGTGGCTAATTTCAAAACTGAACTGAAGAAAGCTAAACCACAGGATGTTGGCCAGTGCCTCACATTCCTGGGCAAACCACACAGGGATTATGAATAAACAGAGCTAAAAAGGGGGTGATAAAACAAAGTAACTAGTGTAGAAAAGCTAGAGTCTAATGAATAATAATAAGGTACATGTAGTCAGGCCTCCTGCCTGGAGGTAATTACTTTTCCAGAAACTTGGACATGTGGAATGTGTGGCCGACCCACCCAGGGCCAAAGGACAGCTTTTCTCATGGTGGTTCTTAATAAATGAACAAAAATATAACATGTACATAAAACAATGTAGATAATAATAATTTTAATACTTGGAAAATGCATAAACATGAAACCAATTCAAAACTTGTGGAAAAGCAATTCCATGTGCCGACTAATGGGTTACAAAACATTAATAAAACTTTCAAAAGAGATAGGAAAAGTAAAGGTGCCACAAAATATATGGTTGAAATATGCTTCAAATATTTCACCGGTTACATTTCTCCACTGCTAAATTGTTGGGTTCCACACCAACAACACGTGTGAAAATTATTTTTTTCTGAGGATAAATGTGTCTAAATACCAATCAGAAAGGATGAAGTAAACTAAAAACTAAATATTATTCAATTACTTGATGAAACTACAAACTAGCTAACATAATACAAAATAAGAAAACGAAAGCAAGATAAACCCAATTTGCAAAATTGATGTTATGTTGAAAAACTATAACTATGGGCACATGATGGGAGTACAGTCCAGTTTATTTTTCCTGCATTATGAAGGGCGGAGTTGAAATGTTCAGTGTTCATGTGGGACGGTGTCTCCACTGCTTGTCCAGGTCCTGGGTGTATTGGGAGGATGGGTTGACTGTGAAGGGATGGCGGCTACACATGATGTACTCATGGGGGATGGGGTCTCCACTGCTTGTCAGAGTCCGGGGTTGTGTTGAAGACTGGGGAAAACGACGGTGATGGGGGTGGGGTTACTCATGTACTCTCATATCATGGGGATGGGGTCTCCACTGCTTGTCGGAGTCCTGGGCTGTGTTGAAGACTGGGGAAAACGACGGTGATGGGGTTCCTCCATGGGTGATGGGGATGGGGTCTCCACTGCTTGTGAGTGTCCTGGGCTATGTTGAAGACTGGGCTGGATCATGCATCAGAAACAGGGGGTATATATATAGCAGCAAACATCAAGATGGGTAACATAAACAGCGCACCTCTCAGTTCTCTCTCTTTATGGCGGGTATCAGTGAAGTAACTTCAGCTTCCCAAGGAGGGAATTTTGGAGACAGTTAACCAGAGTAGATGTTGGGGCCCCGAACTACTTCTCAGGTAGACCCAGCTACATGACTGCAAAAGTTGATCCCTTGACGGGTCAGTTCAACCTTTAGGTGCACCCCCATGTAGATGGTTCCCAACACTAACCGTACCTAGCTGCCTCGATCACCGCTTGCTGCAGTTGTGCTTAGAACTCCACACTCCAGCCATCTCTCCATCGACGTTCTGAGCCAGGTTGCTGTCCAAACAATGGGGGCAGGATGACGCAAGCTGCATCACATGGCGATGTCTGGGCCCCGAACTACTTCTCAGGTAGACCCAAGCTACACGGCTGCAAAAGCTGAATCCCTTGACGGGCTGGTTCAGCTTCAATGCACCCTCCGTGTAGATGGTTCCAGACATCCACACTTGTCCCCACTGCGCTGGGCGTCGCTCTCCATCCAGCTTTCTGCTGCATCTCTTCCTCAATCATGATGATGAATTTCTGCCTCTCTTCCACTTCCAGCACTTGGTTTCTCTCTGCAGTGGTCCCCATGTTTCATGAAAGTCTCGACGGTGCTTTATCAATGATCATGTCCCTGACATTTCTCCATCACTGCAGCGCTGGCCACAGTGCCAGCTAGCCACTGAAAAACAGTAAAACTTGATCCTGTCTACGACGCTTGTGACAGGGGGAACACAGGATCTTCAAGTTTAGATGGAAAATATACTGTTTTTATTCCTCATCAGTGGCCGCATGGCAGCAAAGCGCAGCCAGCGCTGTAAAACTTTCTTTAAATTACAAGACTTTACAACATGTGTGTGCTCTTGTTGGTGGCTAATATCAAAACTGAACTGAAGAAAGCTAAACCACAGGATGTTGGCCAGTGCCTCACATTCCTGGGCAAACCACACAGGGATTATGAATAAACAGAGCTAAAAAGGGGGTGATAAAACAAAGCAACTACATTCATAAAACTGTAAGCAAAACTACTCCTTATTTAAGATTTAATTGTTCCAAAATTGTTTAAAAATAAACACTTCAGGATATAACAGATGGTATTGTGCAGTTTTTGTCATCATAGATGAAGTATTTACCCGAGAAATAAACGTCAAATTTCGAGTAGAACACCGTTTACCCAAATTTCGTTTTTAATTACGCTTTTATTTAAAAGTTTTAGAGAGATAAGATGCCGAACCGATGAAACAAAAGCGACATTTCATTGTTCATCTTAAAGCTAAAGATATTGTGCTCGGCATTACCATGGTTATGTAGTTATCACTTATCAGAATTCAATAATAAAGACCAAAAACGTAGACTCATGAATATTCAAAAATATAATTCGCTGGCTTGACAGACTTCGACACCAGATCGGGCGCAGAGCCTTGCAAATCTGACAGCCACCGCGCGCAGTGGTCTTTGTTAAAAAGTATTCATGGTATTTGCCACCAGTACGGGCCGTTATCACGCGTCTAACCAGGAGTTGGGCCGAGTCGTTAATCCTTGTGTGCAGGATCCGTGATTCTATCCAGACCTTAGGGATAGGATATGAAGCAAATCATAGAGGCACTTCATTTTTTTTCTTCCAGGTGGCAGAAATTATGGAGAAAGGTCAGGCAGGGGGCCGTGATGTGGCAGCTATGATCGTTGAGCCCATCCAATCAGAGGGGGGAGACCATCACGCAAGCCCGTACTTCTTCCAGCAGCTGCAGCAGATCTGTAAACAGGTCAGTGAATACACCCATCTGTTAAACCCCGCCCACAACGCACACAGGCGACAACACACGCACTGCTCAAATGCCACACTGTGTGTTCCAGACCTGCGCATCTTATACCAAAATATATGCATGTAAGACTGCTCACTACTTGGTTCCACTGTCATTTGGGCGGAGCATGCTGTTCGGGGTGTTGGGTCCCTCCGGTTCTTTTCAGAGCCACACGAGCTCACGGGGGAGATTTGTTCACGTGGTGCTACCGCAGACTTATCTTGTTTTAGTATCTTTCCACCATGCAAACCTTCTATTCTCACAGTACAGGTACACAGTAAATTGACATATCTTACTTGCCTACGGACAGATGGTATAACTTAATTTTTTTTTTTTTTATTTATTGTATTGATATATGTATTATTGTATTTGTGTAGTTTTGACATTCATGCTTTTTATATGTTTTAAACCAAATAACGTGTAAAAAGGCCATGGAATTTCCCGCAATGGGATAATAAAGTTGTATTGTACTGTATTGTATTGTATTGTCTCTGAAAAATTAAGGCCTATAAAGAAAAAATATCAGGTGATTTAAATGTTTTGATTTTACTTGTAATTAATGGATTAGTCTGACTTTGAGAATCAATTTCCAAACTAGTTTGGCCTTAAAAACGTCACGATTACCCATCTCACACTACACACACAAGCTTTGGTAGGTGGGCCGTCACAACGTTATTGGGAAGTTTTTTATTGTTAGGCAAATTAGGACCGAGTTGTGGGGACTTTCTGCTGTCCCCAGTGTCTTCGGTCCCCATAGTACCATTGGAAAACTTGTGTGTAGTCCCCACAACTATGGAACAAGTATGTGTGGACGGGTGCAAGGTGGAGACCGTTCACCTTTATTCTTGAACTTTCCAGTTCTGGGGTATTGAGCGCCTTATTTGACAAAACCTGTTTTGTTAAACACTACAACATTTTGAATTTGTTTTGGTTCCCTCCGTGTCGTTCCTCAGTTTGGCACGGTCTTCATTGTCGACGAGGTTCAGACTGGCTGTTGCACCACGGGACATTTCTGGGCCAGCGATTCGTGGAATCTGCCCGAACCTCCCGACTTCCTGGTCTTCAGCAAGAAGATGCAGACTGGCGGATACTACTTCCAGGATAAGTTCTCCGTGGCTCAGGTGAGACTTGGGACACCGGGTCCGAATAACTTGTAGTGGAGACTAGTCTTCCAAATGGCAGGCTTTCCGGCCACTGTAGAAATCAGGGAAAACCATTTTTGTCCAGTCGGGGAAAACTTTTGGAGAAAACACCAAAAATCAGGGTAACCCTCGTAGAATTTCTCCAGCAGAATCCTATTTTATTCCTATTTACAATAGGTTTTTACCTATTTTCTCCTAGAAAATAGGTAACAAATATATTTTATTCCTATCACATCAGAATACGTACGTACATATTCACTATTTTATCTCTATATTTCAAAGTGCATTCTATTTTTTGACTGTTTTTGGAGACTTCGAAATTCATGAGTTCCACAGGCTATTTTTTTTTTATTTTGTGGGATTAGAATATTTCAGAAATCCATGAACTATTTTGTTCCTATTTTGTGGGACATAGAATATTTCAGAAATCCATGGACTATTTTGTTCCTATTTTGTGGACTGTACCCATGCTCCAAACAACACAATCTGAATGACAAACATTTTAGTCGCCTGTCTTTTAGAAGTGACCTTGCTTAGTTTATAAACTCAGGGAACTTGACAGTGACCCAGAAGGGCCAGGTTTTCACCAGTTTGGCGTATGTGCGTCTTGTGCCATATGTCCGAGTTGTGTCCACTGACCGACTAGTTATGGTGACTTTTTAGTGTTTCACTGTTTTTATGCAGTGTTAATATTACACACCTCTACAGACAATAACAATTGGCTGTGCTATACCACCTTTGACTTCCCAACAACCTTGTGAAAGTTAAAATATTTCTCATAGAATTCAGGAAAATTTATAAAGGGAAATATCAGGGAAACTTGGGGAGATTTGTTTTCATAAAGTGCTCGGAACCCTAAACGGGGATCAGAATCCCATCATTGCTCACTCTGCAAGATTTCTTCAAATGGTAGGTTCAAACCCAGAAAAAAAGTTAGCAAAATTAGACTGACATTCAGTGGAACTCTTCAAGTGTTGGTTTGAACCTATCATTTTGGTGAATAATGAATAAATAAATGTGGGGGGCTCATCGTCGTTACATGCAGCAGAAGCTGATTTACGAAGGACGCAGCTACAACGGGGTCAAGCCGGAGGCATGTAAAGACACCTCAGGCAGCCACCGTACCACCCGTGTCTTACCTTGAAGCACGGCCAGATCAAAACGGTTGATTTTTGCGGAGGGAGGAAAACCGGAGAACCCGGAGGAATACCCTGGTGGCACAGGAGAGAATCAACGATACGAACAGCTCCACTCCCATACGACCTGAGCCGGGAATCAATCAGGGGCCAGAGCGGTGAGAGGCAAGTGCTTTACGCACTGTGCCACCCATGCCACCCATTGATACAGTGCTTGACTCATCTGTTTTGCCAAGGCTTCAGGGTTCGAACCCTGCCATTGTATTAATGGTTCAGTTGCTTTGGCTAGCTCTTCCAAAAGTTGCATCCAAACCCAGCACTGCATAGCCTTGTTTAATACTTGGACTGATTTTTTCAAATTTTCGGGTTCGATTCCAACCATTGTTTAAAATGGCCCACTCACCCTCTGAGACAGAGTTCAAAATGTGAGCTCGCATCAAAATCTTTGTCTTCAACAGCCGCCATATATGGGTGCAAATTTAATGCAATCGTCAGCAATCCAGGTCCCATCAAAGCTATCTTGTGTGGCCACCACAGAAAAAAAATCCCTTCTTGATAAACAGAGATGCCACTTTTACGGTTTTAGCCGGAATTCCTTTTTGATTTTTTTAATCTCACAAAATTCTGGGGTTTTTTTGGGCCGTCAAACTAAACTGGAAAAAAAAGAGAAATTTTTTTTTACCTCATTAGCGCTCTTGAGTTGTGTACATTTAAGCGTATGCACGGCACAACGTTGCTTTGTTCGTTGAAGTAGTCTTAAAAACAAGGCTTTGTTGTTACCGAGCCTGCATGCCAAATAGGAGGCCAACCTACTTGCAGTATTCAACGGCGCCTCGCACATGCTTCACCGCGTGCAGGCGTGTTGTGTGCTCAGCACACAGAGCATTCAGCCTGGAAATCAAGTCTATCATTTCAATTATCGGTGATTTCCAATTGCAGTGGTATATGTGAATACAAAAATTGTGCATGTTTCGTGTCAAATACGTTGGAAATTCGGGAAGGCAGAATATATAATAAGAATTACAAAAAGTCAAAGTGATTGAACGAACTGACGGCTTAACGGCCAAAGAAGCAAAAATAAAACAAACAAGAGAAAGATGACAACAGGGACTTTGTTTTCACAAAAAATTAAAATTCCGTTTTTTCAAGCAGATGTTCTGGGGTTTTTTTTCAAGCAGACCCAGTTCCGTTATTTTTTTCAAGCAGACCCTGTGGCATCTCTGAATAAAACACTCTACCTTTCTGTCAATGACATGTTTTCTTGGGGGTGGGGAGAACATTTTCTTTGGAAAATGTTAGGAGTGTGCTTTCACAGGTAATTTTGGAGCCGGCTAACAGTTAACATTTGTACCATAACAGTCAATTACTTGCAGACCCATAATTAACAGGAAAACATCAGACCGGGAAGATACATTTGTCTTGCTGCGCGCATCCCAACCAGCAGTAATTACCACCCCTCAGATAACCAAATTTTAATTTAAACCCGCCACAGACTCTCCGTTGGAACCTGCTGGCAAAGGGAAGAATTTGTTAATTATATTTTGAAATTAGCAGTGTAGGACTGGTACCGAATACCAAATTACCCGGCCTCAAATGCTATCATTCGGAAGAAAACAACCATTGAAGGTGGTTTCAGAAAGTGTGCCTACGGCCACATTTTTTTACGTGCATTAGAATATGAAATCCAGTAACAAGACCCCAAAAATTGTGCATATATATTTTATTTGGTTTCTCACAATCTATGGTATATTATCGACTGAAAATTCATCAAGTAAATTGTTATGCACCCTTCTTACAATTTTGAGCAATTTGTTGCTTCAAACGGGGGAAAAAATGAACAAAAATCAAATGATCCTATGAACTTTAACTGCCGTTGTGGGTCAAGTATCAGGTACCTTTGTATCAGTCCCAGCCCTAGAAGATGTGTGACTTTCATTTTCTGTGACCCCCTTTTTTTTTTCCATCTTTGTTGTCGACAGCCGGGTCGAATCTTCAACACCTGGATGGGCGATCCTCCCAGATTGCTGATCCTAGGAGCTATCCTGGACGTCATCCAGAAGCAGAATCTGCTTGACGTGGCCAGAGAATCTGGGGAGGTCTTGATGGAAGGACTGCGCAGTCTTCAGGTCAATCAATTTTTTATTTTTATTTTTTTTTTAAATATTGTTTTGGACGGTTTGGCTGGTTCATCTAGTTTTGAATCAAAACAGATTCAAAGTCAAATGTTATTATTTAACCACTTCACGCCGGATTATTTTTTTGCCAAAAATTTCGATTTTTGCAAAAGGCCAAATTTTACAGCCAACTTCTGATATACAGTTAAATGCCACAAATACTGCTTCGCAAGAGTCATTTCAACAGATTTTGTACGATATTTCTTGCCGAAAACTCAATACTCCGGGGTGTGCACTGGAGCGTAAATTGTAGAACAATAGGCCGTGCACAGCGGCCAATTCAAGATCAGCACACGGTCTACCTCCACACACATACTGGAATTTGTATCCTTGTAGAGTTTTTTCTTTGTTCTTGTGTACTAAAGTTTTCGAGTTTGAAAGTGTAGTTTCAAAATGCTCCTATTTTAACCAGAGTTAATTTCCTGGGCTGATACTCGGACTTAATATCCCTTACATAAAATACTTCAATTTGCGACGATCAACCCACCTTGGAAATTCCTAGTTTTTGAGTAAAATCCATGTACCGGTATCTATTTCGTGATAACCTTGTGGAGACGTATTTATCTATAGAAATTGCCCTGTGGAGACGTATACAATCTTTTGTTCCCTATTGTGCACATGTCTCCGCAGGGTACCGTGTACCAGATCGCAGACTTCACAGACTTTGTGTGTGTGTACAAAAATTTAAGGCACAAGGGATTATAGCATGTTTAGACGTCACCCGAGGACGAGGCGAGGCAATCCTGACGTCTGAACTTGTCAGCCGTGCCTGCGTATAAAAACTGCTAGTGCGTGTTATCACGTCCTCCGACACAAACTTTTAAGGGGTGGGAGGGCTTAGTTGTGGGGAAGATGTATAATAACCATATTACTTGACATTGGAGTCTTTCCTTAACATTGTTGTCGCATTAGCGACATTTTACTATTGCTTCATGCTAATATATCGTTTTGCAAATTTGAACAAAGAAATTGACTGGAGCGGGGTTTGAACCTGCGACCACCGGATTGCTAATCTGGTGCTCTACCACCTAGTCAGTTTCCCTTAGTCACTTTGTGGTGTTTAGTTTTACATGCTCATTTCTTGACTGTGCAGTAGTTAGCTGTGGGCTGTCAGATAAGTAGAACACTTTTCTGGTTCCGAGAAAATTCTAATAGGGCTGCTTGTCTTTTGGGGAATGATTTTTGTTGTTGTTTTTTGTTAAGACTAAGAAAAGGTTCCATAGCTATATAACTGAACACCGCAAATAAACAAAGTCCACACTCATTGAAGGGGTCGCAATTTTGAATCTGATCGTCTTATGATGGTTATTTATGTAGACCTTTGAGAAATGTTGTTAACTACATTTTGATACCCCGTTTGCTACCAAAGACTGTGAATCGTCCAAAATTGACAACGATTTTGAAAAATGATCTAGTTGAAAAGTTGCAAATGTATAAAAGATTAAGTAATGCTAGTGGAAAATGCGGCCTGTTAAAAAAAATGCTTCACTGCCCGAAACGAACGCCAGGGAATATCCATCGCACCGTTCACACGGTGCTTGTATGCATTGGAGCATGCGGGCTATTCGAATGACCCGCGCTTTATTCGGGCACTGTGCAGCCGATAGGGGCCAACTACGGGAATGTGTGGTTAATTTCTCCCCTCGTAATCTTTTAAATTTGCAAATTTTCCAACTGCCTCATTTTTGGACTTTTTGTTGTTGCGGTGTTTAGTCTGATCAGGATGGTGCTTATTTTATTCACAACTCTTTGTATACTTTCTGAAACTTTATGACCTGCAGGAGAAATACCCAGCGTTGATATCTAAAGCCCGGGGCATGGGCACGTTTGCTGCGTTTGATGGGAAAGACCCTGAGACAACGGCGGCCATTGTGCGCAAGATCAAAAACAAAGGTCCAAAGCTTTTTTCAATGTTGTACTTGCCAAATGATCTTGTTTTGTTCTTTTACGCCATTAGCAACTGCACTAACTCCCTAGCATGATTTACTAGGAACCATACCCATCCTGGCAAATTCCAACACCATAATGGGAAACTGCACACACATATTTCTGACTTTGATTCTGGAGGTGTGCCCAACCCAATGTAAAAGACTGTCAGTTTAGGGGTACTGTACCCATCCTGACAGATTCCAACAAAACATGCTGTGGGGTTTGATGGGTTGAGTTCTGTTAGGGTTCAGGCATGCAACTTGGTCACAGTGTCCAAAAATGTTGTTGTGCTCAATTGATAATTGTGCAGTGATGCGTGGCTGAAATTAAATGAAACTCAAAGGGGTTATAAGGCCAAGGCTTAGGAGTATCTGCAAAATTAAACAGTTATTATGTTCTACTTTTAAGTGCTCTTTCTAATAAATATAATTTCGCGTAAATGCATTTTGTAGCCAATTGGGTGCTTTTCAGGATGAAATGTCCCTTTAAGGGAACTTATAATCAGACTAATGCCAAGTGATCATGATTGGTTAATGGCAATAGTATTTTGTTCTTGTAGGTATTTTGATGGGGATGTGTGGCACGCAGTCAGTCCGTTACCGACCGGCGTTGGTATTCCAACCACACCACGTGGACATGGCACTGGATGCTCTGGACAGCACCCTGGCAGATATGAGCGAATGATTATTCTCAGAGCAATGAATCGGGAATCACAATTGATTGGTCAGTATAGTGGTTGTACAAAAAAAAAGCAGCGGAAATTACAGAAATGCACAAAGACAATAGAGCCTGAAAATAAGAGGTCACGCGGCGAGCTTCCGCAACCCTCGGACATTTTACACTGGGTTGCTCTTTCTCTTGCTATAATTTTTGACAGAATGATTTCTAACCGTAATTACCCCAAGAAACAGTCATGTTGGAATTTTATCTCGATATTTGTCAAAAAAAAATGTTAAAAAATAACTTGGAGATGGGTAAAAAAAAATGAATTTTACTTACGACCTTTCACATCCGGCATTTTCGTTCCTAGGTCTCCTTGTTCGTTCACGTTTGTTTTCACATCGCGTACTTGGGTTAGAATGAAAATGTATAACAATGAGAAGATTTACCTACCTTCAGCCGATGGGTTCTAGATTTAGTCGGGCTGGCTTGAATGCAGTCCTTATCAGCGGTCAATTGAGATTTTTTTGTAAATGCTAATGAGCCCTTCAAGTTTATTCAAAAACATTGAATATCCGAAAGGACATTTGAGGCCTATATTTAAGGTTCAGTTTTCACCCAATGACATAATTTTCATCTTAGTACGAGTACACCGAGTTCCACTAGTCCACATGTATTTTAGATTTTCGAAAGTGAAAGGTCAATTTTTGGCACGATATTTTTCTTTCACGTGAGGCGATTTTTCAGTTTTGATAAATTGAGATGCTAGCAACGATTTTACAGAGGCCTTTTTTGAGGGTGATTTTCGTGAGAAATCAAAAAGGGATGTATCTTGATCAGCAGATTGTCAGCATTCCAGTGTTTCTTATAGTGGCGTTGTACTTACAGAGATCCTCCAACCGTGCTTGATTCTTATATAAAGGATTTATATACAGTATTCTGTAAAGATCCGTGTACAGGGTGGTGCAAAAAGAAGGAAACCCACTTTTGACAGCAATTTTCACCTACTTGATGAGCATATTTCAAAAATTCAATTTAATGGTATTAAAATAGTGATCTTTAAACATGGATGACGAAAAAAATTATTGCAAATGCATATTTCGTCTTTGAGATACGGTAGTTTAAACATTTCATGTGCCAAACCTGTTTGTCCACGGACGGCTTTATTCCATCCGCTTGACTGAGCTCCAGAGATTTAAGCTCTGAATAATAATTTGAAGACAAAAAACACTACACTAGACTTTACACGTGGACAACAGGGATTTTGGTGACTTGTATCCATATTAACACTATTCTTGCAGATTTTTTTTTGAAGATTTTTTTCACCACGTATGGTTGTAGAGCTAGATTTCACTACATTATTAAAAAAAAAAGTTCAACCAAGTTAAGTAAGTAGGTTAAAATTCCTGTCAAAAGTGGTTTCCTCCTTTTTACACCACCCTGTATAGAGGACTATAAAGTATTCTTTGAAAATGCCTCATCTGCAAATTTGTGAAACCATTCTAATGATACTTCTCAGGGTGATTATAAAACATTAACTTGTTGAAAATGCCTCATCTGCAAATTTGTGAAACCATTCTAATGATACTTCTCAGGGTGATTATAAAACATTAACTTGTTGAAAATGCCTCATCTGCAAATTTGTGAAACCATTCTAATGATACTTCTCAGGGTGATTATAAAACATTAACTTGTACAATATTTTGAAAATCCAGGGCAGTTTCGTGAAGGATTAAGTGAGAGACACTTTGATTGGGTGCTTAAAAGTCAGAACTGAACTTTGTCATATTGTATTCCTTCTTTGGGTCTAAGAAGTCCAGACCGTGATATATATTTTATAACTATTGACTTGTCCAAGTGGTGTAGTAAAACTAGAGCCCCCTGAGGTGCACCATGGAGCATTGCTGTTTATAGACATCTGGGAATTGTCAGGTCAGGGAACCAGACTAGCTGGCTTGCACCCGTTCGCGTAATTTTTTTTCCCTAGGAGGGTTAGGGGCAATGTCATGAATAGTTCAGTTTTTCCTTTGAATCATTGCAAGACTTAGCTTCTCGTTCTATTTTCCCCTTAATTTAAAATTATCTCAGTGATAAATTTGGAGAAGAAAAATAGCTGATGAAAATGACCAGCGACGACGTGGATTCGAACCAGGGATCTTTGTATCCATATCTCATCTCGCTATCCACTAGGCTACTGTGTGGTAGCTCGACGACAACTGTTCTTTAAAATGCTTTAATGTATTGTAACTAGTTGAGTAACTAACAACAATGCTGTTGATGTCATTGTCCGTTCTCATGGATAAACATGAATTATTCATGACATTGCCCCTAACCCTCCTAGGAATAAAAATTACGCCACCCGTTCACGGATGTGTAACTGATTGTAAAAAGAATGCGGACTAACTAGATGTGGTAAATTAGGGCAGCTATTATTTGAAAAAAGTTGAGAAAATGAGAAAACGTTGAGAAAAAGGTGTAAGAAGAGGCTGCTGATTTCACTTTAAAACATTTCAAGACATTTTTCCATCAACAAATGGTGTATATAGCGAGCTGGAAATTGCTTTCTACAAATCCTTGACTGTTTTGGCAAGCAATTTTAAAATTAGCAGGAGGAGAACAGCCATTCACAGAGACATCCATTTAATATTTCTGCTTTTGTTGGTTTAATTTTTTTTTTCAATTTTTTATTAAGGATAAGCAATATATTTTTAAGGAACGCAAGCAAATTAAGATAATTGTACCATTTTATATCAGGGAATGAATGCCTTATGTATCAATAATCATTGCTTAAATTTCTATATTTTCTTAAGATATTGTAAATAAAGTAATTTCTATCGCTTTCTTTGACGCATTCACTATTCATAAAAGTATACAAACTAGCCTGATAGTTGTCTCTTGTATGTGTTTACCGTTTGGAACTAGACTGTCAGTTATGCTCATTAGTGATTATATTAGATTATTTTATTAGTCGAGTGCTTGTTGAACTAATGATTTTTTTTATTAAATGATTTCCTTCTACTGCACACGGGTGTCACAGAAACAAAATTATATGATAAAATGAAATTTACTTTTTCAGAGTGAAGCTAATTATAATTATAAAACGTTGAACCAGATTTTTTTGTCATTTATTCAATGATTTGTTGTATTGCACAAGGATATGTGACAATAACATTTGTATGATAAAATGAAATTCAGTTTTCCAGAGTCCTGTTCCTGGCAATCAAGTGATAATTAAAAAGTTGAAGAAATTAGAAAATTACTGGAGCAAGGTTTGAACCGACTGAGCTATCCAGCCTTGTGCATGGTATGTTGGAGGTCGTCCATTTTGTCAATCTCCATGCTCAAGGGGTGCTAGTCAGAAGCCATGAACCCGTATATATGCCATGTAGCCGTGTGTACGTCGCCAGGATTTTCCTAGAGGGGGCCAAAGGCACATTTTCCCATCTTAATATCTGGTATTAATTATAATGGTAGTAACTTTTGATAGATCTATGCAATATAATAATAATAAAAAATCGAAAGGGACGTTTACCCCAAAGTTTGAAAGTTTTCATTTGTGTGTGTTGGTTTTAAATGAACTAATGTGCCATATATTTTACAGGGGATAAAGTTGGGATGGGTCAATAGGATCAAGTTAAAACAACTCAAAGGTTATAGAAATATTGGTGGTTCAGTGAGAAATACTTATTGAAATTCTGTATTGACGTCCGAGATCTTCAACTGAACAACAAAAACAACAAATTGTTAGCATGATTAAGAAAATCTGTTGATACGGCTTAATGTCCATAACAAGCCTATTTAATTTGGTATAATTTATGGCTTGAATGTTTCAGACGCCTTTTATGTCTAAATCCACTGGAAATACTCTAAATTCATCTTATTTAATTGTCATGTTTGATTTGATTGAATGTTTAAAAAGCATTAAAAGATCATTTTTGGGAAGACAAAAAAAAAACCTAAAAGTAAACATGGTGGGACTCGAACCTGGGTCGCCGGATTGGGAGTCCTACGCCGGTCCACAAAGGTACCAACGTGCTCAAATGTTAATATGGTTCTGCTAAATTATAACTGTGAGGTAGACTTACCGTGGCTTTTCACGTTGACGCCCATACACGCTTAGACGTAACACACAGTCTTACGATGTAAATCACTCGTTCGATTTTGGGTGTAGCTATTTGGGTTGATCGACATTTGATTGGAAAAGGGTAAAGGGTGTAAACTGAACTAAAATCCTGAAATTCAATGAAATAAAACTGGTACAATCCTTGGTTTCAGTATGAAACACACGTGTTCAACGGATGCAGGGAAGCCCATTTCTTTTGTTAATTTCCTTTGTTGAATCTGGTGTTAACAATAAAATGTTTCCATTGGGGCGAAAGGATTAAACGCCGCGATCTTTTTTCACGCTAGAGTGCATCTGAATGGGGAATATTGAAGCGGAAAATCACGAAATACAGTGCTTAGACAGCGTTTTAGGCCACATTATGATACTTTTTGCAGAGGAAATTGCATACTGAATACAACTATAGTTTCAAAATGCAAAAATTCGCCGTATTTAAAAAGTCGAGGTAAAATATTTGGAAAAATTTTGCAAAAACTTTCCTCTTTCCAACGTAGGTGGCGCTATATATATTTCATTCTCGCACGTGCCGTTCATGCACAGCGCCGTGGCGCAATTTACAATTATCTTTCTCGGTACACGCGCTAGCCGCCCGAGCATCACATTCTTTTTATAAAGAAATGTTAAGAATAAGTTTAATCGGTCTACAACCAAAACAATATAGTTAGGTCGGCGACAAAAAATGCAATCCGAATAAAAGTCAACTTTAGCAGAATAAAACAGGCGTGCATTCACAGGCTTATTTATAATTTAGCCTAGGGCCAAGGCATGAAGCAAGAGGCAGCTAGGGGGACGCATTTATTTATTTGCAGGGGTGGGAATAGAAAGGAAAGCATCATTTTATTGCAACAAAATAGGTATGAGGTTTACTACATTAACGAATAAGATTTGAATTGAATTAATTAATTGTATAATGGCAGCCCGTGGGTCGCGTCGCGAGTGCCGGCTTGGATGGGGGAGGGAAACACGCAAAAGATATTTATTGGGAGTCCTTGGGGAAACATTTTTGAACAGGGCTATAAATCAGCGATTAGTATACATTTATGATTTAAAATCATAAATGTAAATAAAAATCAAGCCAGCCCCACCACCAACATGACCAATACCCTCCCAACTGCCGTACACACACGCTCTTCCTAATGCGCTAACCAACTTAGCGCGCTGGATACGGTGCAGCAAGAATGACATATTATATAGCGCCACCTACGTTGGAAAGAGGAAAGTTTTGGCAAAATTTTTCCAAAAAATGTTACCTCGACTTTTTAAATACGGCGAATTTTTGCATTTTGAAACTATAGTTGTTTTCAGTATGTAATTTCCTCTTCAAAAAGTATCATTATGTGGCCTAAAACGCTGTCTAAGCGCTGTATTTCGTGATTTTCCGCTTCAATATTCCCCATTCAGATGCACTCAAGCGTGAAAAAAGATCGCGGCGTTTAATCCTTTCGCCTCAATGGAAACATTTTATTGTTAACGCCAGATTCAACAAAGGAAATTAACAAAAGAAATGGGCTTCCCTGCATCCGTTGAACACGTGTGTTTCGTACTGAAACCACGGATTGTACCTGTTTTATGTCGTGGAATTTCACGATTTTTAGTTAAGTTAACACCCTTTACCCTTTTCTAATCAAATTTAGATCGACACAAACATCTACAACCAAAATCAAACGAGTGATTTGCATCATCAGACTGTGCGTTACGTCTAAGCGTGTATGGGCGTCAACGTGAAAAGCCATGATAAGCCTATCTTACAGTTATAATTAAGCAGAACCTGATAAATACATGAGCGCGGTTAGGCTGTTGTGGACCAGCGCAGGACTCCTAATCTGGCGACCCAGGTTCAAGTCCCACTCTGTTTCTTTTGCCTTAAATTTTGCTTTCTCCAAAAACACACATTGAATTTGAATATACTTGAAATAAAAACACTCAAAATTTCACGTTGCATTTTCAATATCCTTTTCAATAATAAGTCCAAGTAGATTATTTGGACCATTTTTTTTTTTTGGGGGGGGGGGGATGTAGGGGTGTGTGTGTGGGGGGGGGGGGTTGGTTCATACAAGCTGCAATCTGAAGCGACAGTTTTCAAGAAATTTTCAAAGCATTTATCATTTTAATTCTTTTGACTGGAGAATGTTATCTTCACATTAACACCGATAAGTACAATGATGCTTTGGTAAAAAGTTAAAAACATTTATTTTTTGTAATGGAAAACTCAAAATGTTTAATGCTTTCTGCCAATATAAAAGCTGATATAGAGACAAATTGTTGAATCAGTTGAATGCAAAATGTTTGGTTAAACAGAAATCTGATACGGCTAGTTACATGTATTTTGTTAAGGCATTAAAGCAACCCAAATTCAACTCAAGATATTTCTGTCAACTAAAAAAAATTGGATTTGCAGAAAATATCGGAATACAAGGGTATTGGTATGCAAGTCACTTGAAATAAAAGTGGTCCAAAATTGACCCAAGGATGGGCAGGAGAGGGTACGGTGATGTCAAAGGTCGTAGAAAAAACAACACTGCTTTGCATCTTCTCAGACTCTACATCCAAGTAAGAGATATTGAAGATGTGTTCAATCGAAGGGTTTTATGCAGCCCAATCCAACTTTGCATTATTCAATGACTGTCTACTGCTTATAGTAAAGGAATAGTAAACATTTATTAGGCCAAGACAAATAAATATTGTTTCCTGTTACCCTGAAAAAAAATAGGTGGGTAAAATCTTTTTCTTTTTTGCTCATAATTTGTATAGCCAGACAAAATTTTATTTCTCATTTTAACAGTTGACGTGTGAACTAGTAGTGAACCAACTGTTCAATCTGCATCTGCTGCACCGTTTGCAGGCTTTCCTGCACATGCGCAGTGCAGCAAGACCGCACTGCCGACCAACTTAAAAATATGAAATAACAATTTCAAACACTGTCCACAAAAACTAGGGTGGGGGCGGCACCAGTTATTCTTTTGTTTTTCATTTTTTGAATACAACAATTTTCTAGGTTGGATTTGGCAATAGGAAATGCAAGAATTTTTTTCCTTCTTTTTCTAGGCCTAACTTAGAATTACATGGATTACATTGAGCACAAGGTTTCAGTAAATGGCCCAAACCATACCAATTGCACTACAAGTCAGTAAAGAGTTACTACAGAGCCTAAATTGCACACATTATCATACTCAAGGCAGTCAATCCAGGCCATGAGTAGGATCAATCTAATCCAGTCCAGGATCTCCAATTCCAGAAGTCCTCCTTATCCTGACTGGTTCAGGGCCTGTGATAGCTGGGTGGGTGACCTTCTCTATGATCTGGGCCCTGCCTCTCTCCACCAACCTGCTGCCGCATTTCTGCAGGAATCAGTCTGGATAAAAGTTGATTTAAGGATGATTAATAACATGGTTTAATGACGTGTTGTTCCTTTTGTTTGTATGTGTTTCATATTTCTATATATATTTCTTGTTTATTGATTTTAAAGCACTTTGATGTGGGGCAACAGGTCCGCGGACCACAGTATTTTTTACTTTTGCTGCCCCTGGCCCATCTCTGTGTTTGTAATATTGGTCGAATAAATAATAATAACTAATAATAATAATAATGTTAAGCGCGGAAAATACAATCCACGAAAGTCAACTTTTGTTGGGAAGAAACAATACACTCTTTTTCGAACGATAACTTGAGAAAATGTTGATGTATTAGGTTAAAATTCGGTCTGGTTATTTGTTTGTGATATAGAACACAAGTCTGTTGATTGTTGAGAGAAATTGTCAAACAATAAAAGTATTATAACCCGAACAATCCAGTGTGTTCACCGCGAAAAATACAATCCGAGCGAAAGTCAACTTTTATGGGACAAAAACAACATTTTTGTTTTCTGGACAATAATCCTATAAAAATACCAGTTGTATTAAATTGAAAGTTTGCTTATGAGTAAATCGTGATGTCTTAAACAGACCTACTTAATTTCATCAGGACATGTGCAACAGTTCATTTAATACAACCCCAAACATAGAGTGTGGTTGGCGCGAAACTACAATCCGAATTAAAGCCAACTTTTGGAAGAAAAACAGCTTACTCGTTGTCCAACATTAACTCTAGAGAACTACTTCATATAGCGAACTGAAATTATTTCTGGTGATTAGACATGATATATAGGCCTGTTCAAGAGAAATGGTCAAACAATAGAATAATACAAGCAAAACAATGCAGTGTATTAGGTGCGAACAATAATTATACTCGTCGCGGACACAATAACGCAAGACTGAAATACCTGTTGCGTTGAATCAAGGGCGGATCCAGAACACAATTTGGGGGGGGGGGCCAAAAAAAAATTTGGTCCCCCCAAAAAGTGGGTCAAAAAAATTACGGCGTGGGGTTCGGGGTTTGGTGCGATCTGAGGCAATTTCTGACCACTTTAACCAATGTTTTTTTGAGGAAAAGATGGTGGTGTACTCATTGCCTGCCTTTATTGCGATGTCACATAAAAAAAAAAAAAATTGGTTTCGTTTTTGGGGGGGGGGCCATGGCCCCCTTTGGCGCCCCCCCCCCCCCCCCGGATCCGCCCTTGCGTTGAATTGAAATTTCGCCTATGGATTTGTCTTGATGTCTTAAATGAACTTACACAATTTTACCAGGAAACTTAAAACAATATAATTTACCCTACAAAAAAGAGGGCGCGCTACATAAACACTCGTCGTGCCGCCGACGGCGCCGCGCGCCCCGACTTTTAATGGTAGGACAATTCTCTTGAAATTCATTAGCCTTTTGTTACTTATCATTACCAATCAATAGGCGAAGTTTCATTTCAATACAACAGGCATTCCTTGAGTTATCGTCCGCTCAAAGAGTGTGATGTAAAAGGCAGGCAGGTTCTCAATGGATGTTGAAGTTAGCAGTTTTTCTCCGTTTGACGCAAAGGTGCATGGGACGGTGACCGCTAGTGGTGCAGCGTGCCCTCTTGGGAAAGAAAACAAGTTGAATTCAGTTTATAATTTAATAGGCATGTTTTTTTTCTCAGTGTTGACAAAAGTTATAAACACGGTCTCCTGTAATCCTGAATTCATTATTACATTTCATTGTATTATTACATTTCATAAAGTTGCGTTTATTTGTGGCTAGTGTGTGTCATGGGCGTCGCCAGGATTTTTTTTTTAAAAGAGGGGGGGGGGGGGGGCAAAGCACATTTCCCCCCAAATCCCTGTACTTTTCAGCATATTCTCGATTTATCATTTCTCGAGGGTGGCAGGGACATTTAACCCCCCCCCCCCAACCCATTAAATTAATGGCATTACGACTTCGTGCCTCGTTTTTTTTTTTTGCCCCCCTCCCCCTCCTCGCTACGCCCATGATAGTGAAGTGGCTAGTAATTTGGACTATGGACTCGGAAGTAATGGGTTCAATTCCCATTGTGGATTTTTTTTTGGGGGGGGGGAACAGTTGAATAAAAATAATTTCAGCCAAACTCTTCTAGCTATGCTATTTTGCTACCCAAAGATAAATTTTTGCAAAGTAGATGGACAGGGCGAGTCACTAACGGTGCACCTTCTATCTCAGGGGAGGGGAGAGGTGGGGGTGGGGTCGTAGGGGATATATGCGTGGGTATGTTTTCTAAGGTTAATTACACAACACATGGACACCAAATAAAGACACCGGTTTTGATGGAAACAGTGATTATTGTCTCTGAGTTTTACAAGGTCCTATATTAAAGCACACACACCAATGGCCCTCTCTACTCCACATAATAATGGCATTGTACTGATGTAACTAGACTTGCCTCTTAGTCTCCTTAAACTCAAGCCATGAAAAGAAAACAAAAAGTAGTTTCTGGTCAGAATGGTCAGCAGACTGCATCAAGTCAAGTTTTACGCTTTTTTTCACAGATACTGTTAAAACTACACACTATAATTTGGAATTGTACATTTCTAAACCGAAAAAGACACAATGCAAGATCAAAATATGGCATTTTTTCTTCTTCTTCAGTTCTTTGTAAATATAAGTTAATTGCTTTATATTTCAAATGATAAACATCAAACTTGTTGCACAATTTCTGTTATTCCTGCAAATTACACGAATTTAACTCGACTTCGATTTAAGTATATGGATTGAAATGGAAGGAAGACATTCATTTGTTTTTTGTATTTCATTTGAAGTTTTTCTTTTCATGAAAAAAACTAACACCGATTCTTCATCACCCAACACTATATAACTGCACCCATAGTGGAGAGTTTGTGACTACAAGAGTGGATCATTCATTCTGAGTTGATAAGTTACTCACGGCCCATTAAAGAAAAAAACATGGTTTGAGAAGTTATGAAAAAATAAAACCAGAAACAGAACTTCTTGTTCCCTTGGCCTGGCCGTTGACCACAGAAGGTGGTCCTTTAGTTTATGACACTGTATGGAAGCACTTTATTATATATCGTTTACGATAGACAACTAAAATACCGAGGCAATGTTATTTCACTCAATGGCGGAGTATATATATATTAACAGCAAATCACTAGGTATTAAGCTTTGCTTGTTCGTGTAACCTTTCCTCCAATGGAGACCCAAAGAACAATCTGGTTTTTTCTGTCTTTCTGTTTAATTATAAACACTACGTTATAGGTGCATCATGTGACACAGACATACTATACAAAGTACAATTTTTTGTGTGTAAAACGTCTTTAAGAATAGAACTTATTATTTTGTTTTAAACCACATATAATACTTGCTTTCCTGTCAAAAATTGATACCAAAAACAAGGCTAAAGTTTGTCTTCTGTTTTTTTTGCACAATCAAATGGAAGTTGTATACATTATAATATTTCACAAGTAACAATCGGCTCCAATGTTGTCGAATAATGGGCAACTTTGAGCACTCTCCATACTACTAACCCCAGCAGATGAGTAAAGAGGTACAGAATATCTATACACAATATTTACATTTCCACTTTTTTTTTTCTTTCTCTGCCGCATTTTGTTTCTCCCATTAGAAGCCGATTTGTATCATAAATGCCAGTACTGATTTCTTGATTGGATTGATTCACCTATCCTACCGTGGATTTACCTAGGCAACCTCGGGATTTGTACATACACAATATATTTGCTCAACAGCTCAACAACAATGCATTTTCGACTTATTTTATTAGTAGGCACTACACAATTTTTTTTGTCTTTTTCTCAGTGGTCGGTTGTTTTCAAGAAAAAAAACACACAAGACCTTGCACACTCAACGTAATGAAGATAATTTGTCGTTGGAAATCACAATCTTTGTGCACATACGTTAGAAACTGATGCAAATTAGACACAAACATCAATGCAAATCCTCCCCCACCCCAACTCAACTTTATAAATATGTTCTGACAAGACAAATTGGGTTCTACAATAGGCACAGTTAATACAATTCAGCATGTATCCGTTTAATACAATTATGGCCCTCAAAAATTTGTGTGACTAAGTAATTACTGTATTATTTACAAAAACGCTTCCTTTTTTTGGCAAGTTAGTAGCAATGGTACACTGTGACATTGAATAATTAGATAGAGGTTGCCCCTTATTTGTTTCATGAGAAAGCACGCACTGAAAACATACCCCCCCCCCTTCACCAATTTTTTTTTTTAAATCAACAAAAGTGGTGGGTAATTAAAGTGAATCAATCAAAAATGCAACATTACACACTACACAATACTGACAGGGGAGGAAAAAAAATATAGGTATCAAACACTGCATCCTAGAATACGTATCACATCAGTACCAAATTACCAAAATGAGTTTCTGGCCATACAGAAAAAAAAATCCCATATTTCATACTAGAATACCGGTACATGTACTTGAAAATCTGTACAGCATTCTCAATACCCACTTAAAAAAAACCAGAAGTCTATTTCTTTGATGATTTCGTTGACATTCCACACCAGAATCGCTGTGGAGTACCGATTGATTTCCATTATTGAAACCCACACAAAATACAGCCAGGAATTTGGGCAGTTGTCGCTACACTGTTTTACAATTCCCCCATCCAAAATGCACTGGGAGTTGGTAAATGAAAACACATTTTATGAGGAAAAGAACAAAATAATCGCAAATTTAACAGGAACACAGCATTTATATAACCTCATAACCTACATACTTCCACAGGAATTATATATTACTCATTGTCTTTTTTAACACTGCTCCTATTTTGAAGGCAAAGAACAATGCATTAATTTTTTTATTTTTTTTTTATTTTGTATTTTTTTTGGTTTTTAAATTTTTGTAATTTTTTTTATCGTAAAGATTTTTTGTCAATTTTATAATTTTTTTTTTTACTTTTTACATATTTGTAGTTTTTTTTTTCTTTTTTTCTTTTAATATTTTTTTTTTGGTTGTGATTTTTACATTTTTTATACTGTTTGGTTTTTAAGAATACCAGTAATTGATCCCTGTGCTTTTTGCACATGAGGATACCGAAACCCTGCATTGCACAGCGTCAACTACACGTTACAAATTATCAATCCCATCATGCATAGCTGACAAGTAACCAGTGGAAAATTAAAGTTGCACAGTTTTACAGCTCCTAATATTTAAAAAAAAAAAAGTTTTAAAAACTTTTCCCAATATTTATCTTTTTTTTGTTCTTTTTTTTCTCCATTTTTAATTTTTTTTACAAAATGACAACAAAATTCCAGATTGTTAACATTCACGTGATCTACGGTCATGTAAAATATTTACGGATAAATATTATTACTTTTTTTTTTTTAAATTTTTTTTTTCCAGTTATATAATATATCTTTAAAGTTGCAAAAAACAAGGCTGGTTATTTGCTCTTAACACACTGGCTAGCATCTCCATGCACCTGGACTTTACACTGAAAACACCTTTCATTTATCCTTTACTGAAAAAATGAGTTTTTTATATCATAAAAGTTATTAGGAATTGGTTGGTATTTCTCTATAATAAAAAGGCCTTCACCGTAAATGCTTTGGCTTAATGTGTACATCAATTAAAGGTTTTTTCTTTATTAAGTTATTACAACTACTGGTTATGTCGACAAACAGGAACAAAAAAATAGCACAACTGGATTCATATGTTGGGGCTCCATGCAGCTACAAATTGACAGAAATGTGTGAAAAACTGAAAGAAACTTGATAAGCGAGAGAATAAGCAATGATAATCTGGCACGGAATATCTCTGAAGTCACTTGGACTGAAAACTTTTTTTTCTCAATAGATAGCACCTTTTTTTCTAACTTCCTGTCTTTGATAATTTTTTTTTTTTAATTCTTTTTACTTTATTTTGTTTTCTTTGATGACGAGATGAAATTTTAACCAAGCAATACATGTTCATTCATTCGTTCGTTAAACTTTACAATTATTTCTTTTTACTCTCATGGAATGCATTGTATTAGAAAAGAAAAAAATATACAAAAAACTCGACATTGGTTCTGGTGTAGCCATCTACTGAACAACCAAAGTTAGTTTGGCTGCAAATTAAACAAAAGCGTTCAAAAAAAAAAAACAGTAAAAAAAAAAGTCTGTTAAGCTGATAATTAAGGCCATAATTACAATGATGAAACAGAACATTTCACAGCTGCTTGTCAAACAGAGCAAACTAATTATACCGAAATTGACGACAATGTTTAAAAAAAATGTTGAAAATAAAAAGTTTTGTTAACAAGCATAAACAAACAGGTCTTTAAACCAATTAATATATATTGCCTCACCATTTAAGTAGTACAGCATTATCATACAAGTAATCACTAATTTAAATATCTGTGGCACAGAGAACAGACAAAGTGAACATGGGGGAAACGTATACACACACACGTACATGGGCTTTCGCATAAGCCTTTTTTTTTTTTTCTTTTTTTCGAAAGAGTAAAGTGTCTATTAATGCTTATAATCAAATGTTAATGAGAGCTGAAATCACATTCTAGTCACACACAGTAGTATTCATAATACTTCATAATTTTTTTTTTTCCCCATCTTCATTTCAACCTTTTTTTCTGGAAGAGAGAGTTTCTTAGAAGAATAATTATACACTCACCCGTACAAATGGTGCTTTGTTACATTAATGTACATTATTATTAACTTTTTTTTTCCTTCGCTTAAACAAATAGATCTCAATACACTGCGGAAAAAGGGCACATCCGCAAAACAAACCAAAAAGTACAAGCAAAAAAATACAGTCATAAATATGCTTTCAAAAACTTGCTCTTTCTCTATTTTTTTTTTTTTTTTTTACATATGATAAACTTCCGGAGAAAAAAATTCAAAATGCTTTTCATAGAATCAAATATATTTATTTATTGGACTAAGGTAGTAAATGGTACATCAGTAAAAGACAGTATTTCAACCCAAAAAACCACAAAATGTCTGTCTCGGTGTGCCAAATTGGAACATCAAAAAGTCAACAATGTGACAGAAATTAAAAACAGATCATTTTTGATTTCCTTTCTAAATGTTACTCTGATACTTGGCACATTAGTACACAACGGAATGAAGAATGCAGCCCGCCAAATCAAGCACAATCCAAACCCCTTTTCTCTCTTCGCCCCGCCCCTCCCCCACATCTGCAAAACAACTCAGTTATGACAAGCATCTTTGGAAACTACAAAATGCTAATGCTCATGATGAAATTCCAATGACGTAAACAGAGAATGCGGCTTTAAGAAAAGAAAAGAAAACAGTACAAAATTGTAAAACGGGGGGAAAAAATGCACTTTATACAAACTAACTGCCATAAATGTATGTAACGTATTCGTTCTACAATAAATATAGTTTTTCTAGTATATACTTTAAGTAACAATTAATCATCCTCAAATGGTTTCAATTCCTACATCGTTTTTATGTAGCTTTGTGGCTTTTCCAATTTTTTTCAAACTGCTGACATATTTGGAAATAAATTTTTGAAAACAACGTCAAATTTGTACCAGCTCTCTTATATATATATTAACATCTGAAGAACAAAATGATCAAAAATACTTTGGACACACAAAACTGGAATTATGGGTTCGACCACCGAGCATTAGAGTGCACAACGTTTTAAAAAATATACAGCATGCCATGTTCACAATACACATCATTTTATAAAAACCCTGTCCAAATTACAGTTGACTGCAAATGTTTCATTATTACATTCGTTGAGTCGCTAAAAGACAATTTCAAAGAGGAACTACATGTACAGACCGAAAAATATGTCCCCCATTGAATCAGCAAGGACTTATTCTGAGTAGCAAACACGTAGATCAAAATGCACTGAGTGGTTGAAGTGGTCAGTTATTATTGTTTGACATCAAATACAAGCTCATTAATATTTCCCTACTGTTCTTTCTTAACAACATTCATGGCAGTTACATACGAGAGAATAATAAAAGTTATATATGGCAGCACTGGCATTGTAAAATTACAAATATTTTAACCACATTAAGGGAATTTTTTTTTTATCAATAATTGAATTTTTTTTCTTAAATTTATTTAGAGAGAGATTTTTTTTAACTCTTCATGTACCAATATCACTGCACAAGTCAATCTACAGAAAAAAGCCAAAAACACAAAAAAAAAGAAAGTCGGTTTTCCAATAAAAACCCTGAGAAAACCTTAAACAGAATAAAGAATATGCCACACATCATGGAAAAACACACTTTACAATATAATCAAATATGCAATGTTTAAAAAAGAATAACAAATTGTACACAATTATTTTGTTTTTAACATAAATTTATCAGTCCAAGCACAAAATACGTTTTTCTTTGCATATTAATTTTGTCCCAAGAGCCGCAAAAAAAAGAAGAGTTGCATGACTGGATTGGTTAAGAGGAATGCGTAAAAATTGCGTTTTAAGTAACAAAGAAAGTACTGCACTTGTGCCGTACAACGTACGTTTTTATTAAAATTTTTTTATTTAATTTTTCCATATAGACTTTTTTGAATGGTCCTTACATTAAACCAAACAAAATGACAAATCTTATATCTTTTTTTTTCCGACTCACAACAATCGTTATTTCTTGGTCTTAGCAAGTGACAAAAAAAGCACACACTTGCAAAAACGGGGGGAAAAGCCAGCAATCTCAATCAAGCATTTATACAAAGCAGACACATTACAACAACAAAAAATAATTTTGATTTCAGATAGTCATCCATTTTCAGATTTTGAAAAAAATAATAATAACAAAGAGATAAATGAAATCCAACATGTGTAAAATATTTTGTTTGTTTGCGTTTTTGACATAGCACATACCTTTGGTTTTTTTCTGGTGTCAAAGAGTTATGAAATTCCTGGACTGGAACAAAATAACCCCCTCCCTTGGCAGCATACAAATATTTGCATTCATATATCATACAAATAGTTTCCATGACAATACAAACACAGCCCCGCCCCCCTTTCAATCTCTACCCCTGTAACATTAACAAAAGTAGAACAGTGTACATAATTTAGAACATCTTAAATTATTTCATTTGAGCATCAATATACATCTGAATTAAGCAAAACATGTTAAGTTGACACAGTCTTTCAGTTAATAAACTGTTGACAGTTTGTAGACATTTTGTACTAAAAAAAACAACTGTACATTAAAAAAACAACAAAATTGCATTGTGACCTTTGACCCCAAACCCTGTTGCAAACATGCCAGGATCACTGCAAAAGTCTACCGTGTACCCTGGCAACAAGAACGGACCACGGTAAGGCTTGATCTGTCAGGTATTTCGAAAACAAAATTTGGATACAAAGGCAATGGACCAGTGGCATGGAATCAATGTGCCAATTTCATGGAAGCAAAAAAAAAAACCCCAAACTTTTCAATCCTTCTTTGTGGCAGCCAATTGTCATAATGAATAACGTAAACAATGAATTTTTGAGTGCTTCACTGAAAGTGCCCCCAAAACAACAAAAGCCTTCAAAAAAAAAATTGCAGTACTGAAGAGGGAATCACAGCAGGACAAATGTCTTCTTTTTCTTTTACCCTGATATTCGACAAGACATTTAAGTTGGGGGTACTTAAAAGTTGCACTTGCTTTAATTTATGAATTTGATTGCTATTAGCATTGCTATTTTTGTCGTTCCTTCCAGTTCTTCGTACAAATGCAGAAATCTTTTGAGAAGGTATAACTCAACTGCAACTGAATAATGCTGAATGTGCTACTGGAGCGAGGCAATCAGATTGAGATTGCTTCGTGGTTCTGAATTGGTAAACATTTTTATTCCCAACGAAACATGAATACAGGCTGAAAACTCTGAGTCTAAAGCACACGTGCTTTGGTTCTGACTGGGGCATTTACGCAAGGTTTGAATTCAAGCTTTTTAATATTTTTGTTCACTTTGATTAAGGCTGTCTGAAACAACTCGGAAAGACTGAAGTAGATACTCCTTGTTTTTTTTTCAAACGAGTTACGGTGGTGACATGTTGAAGTTGCAATATCTTGATACAATCCAAGCCCCTACTTCTAATGCGGAGGCCAGCTTTTGGAACGACCCTGAGAACAAATAGAAGGGTCTTCTTTTCAAAGACTTGCTATTCACTTACTGCAGAAATTACTGATCTCGAGAATGTACCACTTTTGTGGGAGGTGAGAAGTTGAGAACCTTTTTTCCAAAAGTACACATCCGGGCTGTTTTGCTCTGAACTTCCATTTTGATCATTTATCAGTCTGCATTGGAAAATGCACGGAGTTTAATTCAAGATGGCCGCCTCAGTAGATATAGTCGCCTTGATAGCCAAATAAACGAGTGGGGAATCTAATCTTTTTTCCATGTTGCACTATTGTATAAAATGCCCGCTTTGCTTACACATAAATGCCCCATTGTGCTTGGTTGCACTGATAACACACAGCAGTGGAGTTTAAAAAAAAATCAAAAATAATTTTCGCTTCCTATGTTTTGCGCACACCTAAAACCCTTTACGAAGAGTCACTGTGTTCTGTCATCACCCCGCTTTTTTTTTTCTTTTTCCTTTTTTTTTTTTGAATTTTTTTTTTTTTTTAAACAATTTTCATTAATTTTTTTTTTTCTGTTACATTTAATACTTTGCACAAACCCTACATACTTGCATATATGCAAAAAACACTGGTGGTTAATTTGTCTTTAAGCATTTGGCTGGATTGTTGGTGTTATCGTATTTACAAATCTTTCAGTTATTCAACAAGTTTTTTTTTCAACTCTTACTTTACTTATTTATATCAGATGTTCAAAGGAGAGGCACTAGGAAATACAAATCCTCAAGAAAAAAGTCAGTGCAGCTATCCACAGATTTTTTTGTTTGTTGCTTTCTGTACAAAGAATCGACAATTAGAAATATCCTCCATCATTGTTAGTTGATCACAAGAAAACATAAGCTGTCGCTCACGGACAGAAAATAAACGTGCGGTATTCAAAATACATGCTGTACACAATTCTTTAAGTTGTTTTCCAATGTCAAAGGTTATTTGTTTTTAAATGCTTAATAATAGTAATAATTACTAGTCGTTGAAAGACAATAATGTCGATTTCAGTACCCCTTCAGCCAAACACACAGAGGTTTCCAGTGGGTCGCTCAGTTTGTTTAAGTTTGGTTTTCTCCACAGTTTTGTGTTGCTCCTTTTTTTGTTTTTTTTCCTCGAGGTTCTCGTTCACTGTTGGTGGGCTAGGTCCCGCAGTGTCTTCGCATCACACAAATATAAAACACATCAGCATGGAAATTGCACTTTTGGACGCTACAAACAAGTCAGTATTAAAAACCAAAATTGTGCGGCACCATTTCGGATTCCAGTTGGTCTGGGGTGGGCGGAGGACTTTTTTTGTTCATGGTTCACCTCCACCCTTTCCCCTTTTTGGAATTTTTTTTTTTTTTCAAAGATCGTCTCTTGGCGATGCTCATTCCTTGATACACTCCTGCGCTGCCATCCTCACATTGCTACAGGCATTCCAGTAATGTAACACACTCGCCACACTGTCTGGTGTAGAAGTTAACTCCGCCCATCCAGAAGCACAAGCGTATCTCCTTGAATCAGGCACCTCATTGCTGAACAGCTGAGCATATCAACGCACTGCCACTGCAACACATTCCGTCAGTTTTGTGTACATGTATGTTGCATAATGACGTCACATACAGCATCAAAATAGCACATTTACTGCTGTTTCCTCGTTTCCATAACGCTTGCTTCCTTTCGTCCGACAAACTAATACACACCACGAAGATGCGGAGAACATAACGTTGGTGATTTTGTTTTTTTTAATGCAAACCCGCAAAAGAATGAAGTTGGAGTTCATAAACTGTAGATAGAAAGATTTTTTTTTTTTATATCCATTGCACATATCCAAGAAAAAAAAACAAGAGAGTAGTTTGTTAGCATCTTTTTTTTAACACACTGCTTTCGTTGTTGGAGGTTTACGACGCCAGAGTCATCTTGAAAAAGACAAATGAAGCAACATGGGAGTCCGTTCTCCTTGGCCGCCACGGCAGACGGCCATATTCGAGTCCGTTGTTTCACAATTTGAAAGGTCACTCCAAATGAAGCAAGGGTGATTTTGACCACATATACAGGTACACACACACACACACACACACGGGCGTGGTAGGTGCTTGTCTTATTGCCTTACAAATGAGTTGGGAGTGTGGGCACGGGTAGCCACGCGAATCCAGAAGTCCATTTTCTTCCGATGATTCCCTCCGAAAGTATCACATTTAATAATAAGAAAATCACATAATCCAATTTTGGTCAGACGAACAGGTACTTGCACTAGTTGTGTGATTCACAAAAAAAATGGCATCAGAAGTCTTGATTAGTCATAGTCCATCTTCCTCCACGTATCATCCACATGAAGGTACAAATCCTTGAGCAAAGTTATATTTTGTATCTTGGCAGAGATGCATACACAATATGTACAAAAAAATTGAGTAGATTTCAAAAACATTTAAAACACAAGTAATAAAAAAGCAGATAAATTTGGCATCATAGACACATCCTTTCTCCTTCAAAAAAGTAAAGGATTTTTTTTTGAACTGTTGTATAATAGACTACTTCAATATACATTTCTCTCAACTGGCAAAAATCCAATAGAACTATCTGATGCAGAAAACAAAACAACTTTACAAACCTACAAGTCTGTTATTCATTTTTTTTTTTCATTAAAAAAACCCTAGTATTTCCTGAACTTTTATCATACTGCTTTTGCACACAAAAGAAAACTTGTGAAAAAAATCTTGGGCTTTTCGAGTGGTGACCATTTACATGGTGCCCTCTCCAAGCAGATCTCCCGGCAGGAAGCTCAGGGAGGAAGGCACTCCAGCTCCTGCGGTGGTTTCTGTTTCGCCGCCGCTCCAAGGCGTAGAGGTGGCGGAGGTGTTGGTGGACCACAGACTCTGAGTGCCAGCTCCGTTCCACTGGCCACCACTGCTTCCGCTGCTGCCACCACTTGGAGCCTCCTCCTTGATGCCGAAGGACGGAATCCCGCTCAGACTGCTTCCAGGGTTACTGCCGCTGCTGCTGCCTGTAGAGGAAAACTTACCGCTGCCGCCGGACTGCGACTGGCTGCGGTCGCGGCTGCGGGCGATATCAGCGCTGGTGGCAAAGTCGGCGATGATGGTGGTGTTGCTGAGCACGCAGGTGTTGAGGCTTCGCTGGGCCTTGACGGCTTCGTCACGGGTCTTGTAAGCGATGATGGCAGTGCCTTGGGAGAGGTTCATGTGGAAGTGTTCCAGGGGGCCGTGCTGGTGGCACAACAGGCGCAAGGTGGATCCATCAATCTGAAGGAAATGGCCCAACACAAAAGACACACATATCATCCAGAGTCATGACAGATTGTTACATGTCATCACGATCAACTTAGTCAATCACAATCCATCAATGGTCATCACAAGTGAACCAAAAAATCATTATCAGTAAATTATCAGGTAGGGGTTGGGGTAAAGGGGGAAGGGTGGGTGGGATCGGGATGTAGGGATGGGGATGTGGGGAGATTACGCTAAAGTTGAGTTATTGCCTACCTGAGGGGTCAGATTTCGAAGCACCAACCAATTAGTGGCACCCTCACTGCCCGGCCAGGCTCCTGTTTGACAAAAGGAGAAAAGTCCAGTTTTCTGAAATTTACACAAAAATATCCCTTTTTGTCGGCTGAAACTGCAAATTTAAAGGTAATGTACGTACTTACAAACGTAAGAAGTGAAGTTTTGTCTGAATTTTTCTAATTTTCACATAAAGAGAAAAAGAAAACCTGCCACAAACCATGAATCTACTGGATTCTAAACAGTAATACTGGGATGTCTTAACAGGGAATCTCAATACAAACTTCAAAAATAAAAACATTCCAACCTGACGTACTGTGGGACCTGTCCCAGGTGCGACCTCCTGGGGCATTCTGGGAAGACGAGACCGGCCAGCCGGCATTCCTCGGTTGATCAAGGCCGGGCGGAGGGCGTGGAGGACGCTGATTCGTAGAAGGCACATTCCAGTTAGGGGCAGAGGTGGGCTGAGAGAAGGCAGATCCCTGGTCCTGGTAGTTCCAGCTGGACTTCTTGAAATTGGGGTTGCCGGAGTTGCCACCGGTCCAGTTGGAGTTTGGCGGTGGGGGCTTCATAGGCTTGATCAGGATGCCTGAGATGTCGTCCCGGGAGCTTCGGTCATTGCGGTTGCTGCGGGTGTTGCCGCCAACAGTCAGACTGGAGCTGTTCAGCAGATCGTTGTTGACACTCCCCGGAGTGGCGTGGGGGTCGTTGGCAACATCCTTGGTGCGGGGCTTCCAAGGCACCCCGGGCTTGAACTCCAGCAGGTCGATCTCGCTGTTAGAGTGCGGGAAGGACCAGCCCGAGTCGGAGAAGGTCGAGTCGGCACTGTGCGGTAGGCTGTCCGATTGGGTGGGTGAGTTGCTGCGGGACCAGCCATCGCTGCGCGAAGACACGTCCGAGATAGAGGCCATGGAATCGTTGCGCCCAGAGCTGGGGAACAGATCACTGGTGGGTTTGCCCACGGCACTGCTCAGCGACTGACGCTGGGCGAAAAACTGCGACAGGCGGGACTGCTGGGGCTCCTTGACACCGAAGTCAGCGTTGTTGCCTGGGCCGCTGCCCTCGTTGTTGGGGAACACTTCCGAGTCGCTGTGGAGTTTGCCACGAGGAGGGAAGGGAGGGCGGGGCATACCGCGTTGGCTGGCAATCAGACGCTGCATCACCTCCTGCTGCCGTATGTTTGGCATCTTGCCGGAGGCGTTCTGCTGTTGCTGGGCTTGTAACAGCTGTTGAAGCTGCTGCGGAATGCTCTGCAACACCTGCATGACCTGATATTAAATTAAATAAAAATCTGATATATCTCATAGACAGGAATATTCCCTTCAAAGTTTGAGGCACACAAGTTATGGAAAGAATTCAAGATTTATCCCAAGTACTAGTTACCAAAAGAGTTATCCAAAAACTTGAATTATTCCTCCATTTGCAGGAAAAACATTGTACATTTTACTTTGACACTACGGTATTACTCTTGCATCTTACACTGCAACACTTGTTTTCATGTATCGGTTAGTTGTTGGGTCTCAATTTTTTTGAATCACTTTTTTGTATGGGAGAGTTCTCTTACCTGCTGGTTGCTTAGAGGCTGCTGGAGAAGGCTCTGGTTAATCAGTCCAGCCTGCACAGCCATCTGCAAGAAGTTCTGAGCCTGCTGCTGCTGTTGCTGCTGCTGCTGCATCATCTGCGGGTTGAAGGGTCCTCGGAGAGGCTGGTTGGGTGGAGCAAACGGCGGGGCAAAGCCCTGTGGCTGCTGCTGCTGCATGTTGCCAAAGCGCTGCTGCTGATTGGGCGGAAAGCCGCCCCGGACGTTGCTGAAGCCCGGCTTGGGTCCCATGGGATTGTTCATCATGCCTGGGTTGGACATTGGGGATGGGGGTGGTGGGGGACCCTCACCCATGCCAAAGGGCTTGGGGCCATCCGGTAGGTGGTTGTCCCCACCTAGCATCAGGGAGCCCATGTCACGGTTCACTTGGCGCAGGTGGGCGTCCAGATCACCGGACTTGCCATCTGACATCTGCCTCAGCTCCACTAAAGAAGAAAAAATATAATGTTTTGACTGAATGCCGGTTCACACTTGGCGCGAAAGTGAACGCAAACGCGAATTTGTGACGCCTGGGCAATTTTGCGCATTAACACATTTCAACTCCGGCGAACTTCGCAGCAAATGCTTCTTGACGTCAAATTCCCATCGCACTCACATTCACATGAATTATGAACCAACCTTTATGCATCGGTTTTCATAATCAAAGTAAGCTCAGTGGTGGTCAGATATTTTTGAGAAAAATACGAGTTAGATTTGGTCTCATTTAGAAAGATTGTGAAATGTTCCTGCCAAGCTTTTGGGCAACACTTGGAATTGTTTTTAACGTTACACGGGTAAAAGAACCACCTAATATTTAAATAGAAACAAATTCTAGTAACGTTGGAAGTTTGCGGACACATTCCAAGGAGAAGCGTACTTGAGTGAAAAATCCAGTTGACAGTAGTTTGTTCTCAGAATCAAACTTTGCATTTCGAGTTCACCACTACACATGGTGCCCCTGAAAACTTCTCCTAAATGGACTCAACGACTACGATCTCCAGTTTTTGAAGGGGAAGGCATTCTGCTACTCACTGAGAGCGCTGTCGAAGTTCATGTTGTGCTTTCTGAGTGCCATCTCGGCCTCCTCCTGACGATAGCCTTGGTCCATCAGCCTCTTGAGTTTACTGATCCAGTGGTTGGACTCCTTCTGACCGATACTACCCATACCATTAGTACCCTAGGAGGGAGAACAGATTGAGAAAAGCAGACAAAAAATGAGATATACATCTGTAACTCGACGCTCCACTGAGCAGCTCGCTGACCCAATCCGACGGCCAGGGGCACAATTCTGAAACCCTGTACCAAGGATTTTGCTCACGACCCTCAAGCCTCTCCAGGGAGTGTCGACAAGTTTGGGAAAGTTCTTCCTAATGCTGTATTGAGGTCCTCTTCCAAGTCCATACAATGTAGAAAGTGTAAAGGTTCTCACCCTGACTTGCTTGTTGTTGCGTCCTTTCATCCAGTTGCTGCTGCTGACCGATGACTCGCTGCTCTGTGACTTGGTCTCCCAGTCATCCTCTCCCCAGTGGCCTGCAGCTGACAAATATTGGGAAAAGACGACCTATAAGTTCCTGAATGTTTTGCAAATGAATTGTTCTAGTGGCCAACTGTTGAACAACAAACCAGTGATATAATTAGAGGCCAAACTGAAGCCACCAGATTATGCCCATACATCTATTTACTTTCACAAGCACTACCATCACCTCAGTACTTGGTCACATCCAAGGAAGACTAGCAACTATCTATTGTGTCAACATATCCTTGTATGAAAGTTTTTTCATAAATATTTTTGGGTAGGCTGATGGAGGAAGTTAGAGTTGACTCGCTTACATGCAATCCAACTCTCACCCGGGTACGCTGAAGCCTATGTAAAGTGTTTGCTAAACGTATAAATGGTGAAGGATAGTTTTGCCAAATTAAACATGGATTCATAAATACCTCGGGCAGTTTAGCTATTCCTATTGGTCGACAGCCCGTCACGTGGCCGGTCTTAAACGGATGATAAAGACATGGCTAGCTGGTCTTAAACACTTTTCCAGTGTCACAATAAAATGTGGACTCCTAAAAATCCAGTGCCTCTTATCGTTTCATTGGTTGAACGTTCACAATCCTCAAGTAGGCATGCGCAACACTACCAGCGAGTCAGAATTTTATAGTTCTAAATTCAAAACGCAATGCGCCAGGTGCGTTCTGCGCGACATCGCGCAGAACATGATACACACGCGTCAATCTCCATAAAAGGGTTGTATACATCTTACTCGCCAGCTGAACACTCCACTATTTTGCAAGAGGGATGTTTCAAAAAGCATGAAGTGAATTTGTTGAACAAAATCGGGATGTTTTGAACAAATTATTTGATTTTTTTTTACCGAAAAGGTATTTATGAATGGGAATAAATATGTGCTCCGTAGGTATTTATCACTCTGTTTAAGACCACTTAAAGTCTGGGTGCTGATAATTACCCTCGCCTCCGGCTCGGGTAATTATCAGCACCCAGACTCTAAGTGGTCTTAAACAGAGTGATAAAAACCTCAGGAGCACACATTTATTCCCTTATTAATATGCCATCCAGACAACAAGATTAAAACAAAAATTTAAGCCTGATAAATCTGAAGAAACAATTGAGAACTTCATTCTGTCTGATATCTGTCTATCTCTCTGTCTGGTGTCTGTGTGTCGCATTATTATTGTAAAAGGCCTAAGAAGTGTGCTTTGCGCGGCATCCCGCTAGTTTGTTAAACATATCTTTGAACATATTTCAACAAACTTTCCTTGAACTTACCGTTTCCATTTCCGCCTGGGCCCTCATTCCATCCAGCTTGCATAGAGTCCTTGTCCTGAGTACTGCCACCAGTAGTACTACTGCCGCCCCAGGGTTCATCCCACTTGCCACCGCTCGATGCTGGTTTTGCTCCTCCATTCCTGTTCCATCCCGTTCCTTGACCCTCTTCAGAAGTCTTTGGAGCACTGCCCCAGCCTTGGGCCTTCTGATCCTGACTGGCCTCTCCCCAACCTGCCTGGGTGGTAGTACCGCCCTCTGGTTTGGGTGCTTGGATTGTGCTCCCCTCTGGTGCGTTGGTGGTGACAGGCGATGGAGGCACAGCCGTCCCATCTTCTGCCTCGCCAGGGGTGCCAGGCGGAGGTGTTTGCATAGTACTGTGTTCCTCCTCCTCAACGAGGGAGGCCAAGCGGACGATGTTGCGGCGATTTTGGGCTTCAATTCTTGCGTTGTGCTCGCCGGAGTTACCCCAAACAAAGGTGCCATCATCGACGGGCATCTTGCGGTTTGGTTGTGTGGAAGGGCCACCCCAGCCAGTGGGGATGATGGTGGTTGGGATGTCAGAAATATCTGACCAGCCACTAAGCTTTTCAGGCATTCTGGGAGGAGGAGGGCCTTCCATGGGAGGATTTGCTTCCTCATTAGACCAGGTGCCCCATGAGCTGCTGTCAGACTGGCCATGGGTGTTGCTGCCTGGAGGCATGCCCATGGGATTTCCCCAGCCACTAGGACGACTCTGGCCTGTGCTTTCACGACGCTCCATTGGCCCTGGTGGTTGTCGCCACTGAGAGGATCCAGAGCCCATCACACTGCTGCCACTCATCCCAATCCCACTGCTGCCACCAACTGCATTGTTACCAACCATTCCACGCATACCCATGTTGCCATCAATTCCACTTCCACCTCTTATTCCAGGTCCCGGGATCCCAACATTGCCGTCATTCCGACCAGGTGTTGCACCCCAGGCTGGTTTGCGATCGCCTCCCCAAGCAGACTGAGCAGGTGGTGGTGCTGGGGGAGTTACAACCTGAGGTGCCTCACTTGGCATCCTAGGCTTTCCCCAAGCAGACGGTGGTGGAGGATTGGGACCCCAACCTGGAGCTGCTGGAGTACCCTGATTTCCTCCCCAGGCAGCAGTACCATTATCCAAAGTCTTAGGCACTTGTTGAGCACCCCCTTCCCACTGAGTATCCTGGTTGATGGGTTTCTTGCCCCATCCTTCTGCGTTAGTTTCCATGGAGCTGAATTTTGGATCGCTCCTGTTGCCAGGTTCCCAGGAATTGCCAGAGGGAGGTCCCCATCCCGAGCTGTTGCCTCCATTGCGTCGATTGTCGCCCCCTCCCCAGCCTGACGGGGTCGGCGGCTGCCTGTTGGGGCGCGAGTCAGGTCCATCGTTGGGTATTGCAGCCGAGTTACTTCCCCATCCAGTTGTGGCAGGACCTGCATGACCTGTGGCAGGACCTACATGACCTGTGGCAGGACCTGTGGCAGGGCTGGGGCTTGGCAAGGTACCCCATCCAGAAGGCCCCGCTGAGGTAGGGGTCTGGCCCGGTCGTCTCCACTGGCTGCCCGGGGTGGTGCTGTCTCCCCACCCAGGCACAGCCGCTGCCTCGCTGGAGTTGGTCTGCTGGCTTGAGTTGGGCTTCCCACCCCAGCCGGAGTTGGATGACTGGGTAGGGACTGCCCCCCATCCCGCAGCAGGTGCCGCGGAGCCGGCGGTATTTGGCATGTCTCCCCAGCCAGAGGTTGGGGTCTTGGGAGGGGCGGTATTCCAGCCACTAGGGCCACCAGCGGAGGTGTTGCTTGAGCTCCAGGGTGCTGTGTTGGTCAGGTCAAGCTGGTTATTGCTGCTGGTGGTGCTAGAACCAGCAGCCCATGAGGAACCTTAAAAAGGGAAAGAACACATCATATTAAGATCAATAACAAATATTCTACATACATGTTATTTTATTCTCACTGTTCAAGCTATCATGAATGCCAAAATAAAATGCTTGCATTCAAATACAACATGCAGTTGTTATGTGCTAACTTTTTAAATCCGCAGCTTTTTAGGGTACTGTTAATTTCTGATTGTGAATGTCAACAAGTCAGGTCGCAGGAACAGGGGATGAACCGTGGTATTAAGGAAAACCCCTCATCACAGCTTACTCAAGTAACTTATCACTTGACTCAAGACTGGATGACTCGTTATCAAACCGTGCGGATTTGATTACAATTCCGCTACGCTGCTCCATTTCACGTTCCAAATTTTGTTCAGAGTCTGTTGTTTAAAAACTCTTACCATTAGCACTAGTGGCAGAGTTGTTAGCACCTATTATTTGTTCCTTGGCTGGACCCCAGCCAGAGGTACTAGCGGGTACCGTGCTGCTTGGCCGAGGGCTCTCAGTCTGCATCCGATCCGACACCTGGCCTTGTTGTGGGGCAGGAGGCTGGGTGTCCATCCCGTTGCTCTCCTCCACACTCTTGCTCCCGTTGCCACCGGTCCAACCCGATCGTGGGTCCTTGGAGTTCTCCACTTCAGCTGAGCCGCTGCCGGCCAAGGATGGGGTACTGGTGCCCCAGACTGAGTTGCCGGCGGTGGTGGTGATAGAGCCCCAGCCTGTGTTCCAGATGCTCTTGGCTCCTGAGGCTGTGGTAGCAGCCATACTGGCGTGGCCCGGCTCACTGGGTGGGGCCTGGGTGTGGCCGGATGCTGGCATGTTGGTGGGTGCAGCGATTGTATTGATGGTGCCGGCAGAGGAAGCCACTTTCAGTTCGTTCTCAGATGGGGCGGCGGGACGACTGTTCTCACCACGAGTGATCGCTGGCCAGGCCTCCATATCGTGTTCATCAACTACTATTCTTTGTTTAGCACTGGTTTGGTCCATGGACTAAGAGTAACATCTGATGAAATAATCAATAAAAATAAGACATTCAATGTCACTGACACAATGAAGTCTTGAATTTTAGTATTTAACAAAACATTGAATATTCAAATATTGGTGAAAGCCTGCTCAGTATTACAATTTGGTTTTAAAAGCATAATTTTCACTTGACTTTTCAACTATTGAGCTGTATTGTATGTTTGTACTGTAAGTTTCAAAGTACCACGCTTGCTTGTCTTTACACAAACAGTTAAATTTGTAATAAATGAACAAGTTACAGTAATTGGTGACAATCTACGCCCTGAATGCATTTTAAAGGGATGACAGAAACTTTACTCATTGACAATACTAACGTCTCTGGGCATGTTTGTTTCAGAAATTTGGCAAAATTTAACACTGCAGAAAAGACGTGGTGCATTCTTTCTACTTCAGTTGCTGATCGGTAGACTCTGTGAAGATGTTGCAGATGGACTGCCCAATGGATCAGTGTTTTTCAGCTTTAGTGCTACACGTACCGGTACTAACAAAGTGCTACAGATCTGCAGTACACTAGTCTGCAGATGTTTAACCCGTGTAATATGTACAACATGATGCTTTAAAACATAAAACGGGGATTTGAGAACTGTAACTCACCAGTAAAAAAATAAGCTGTGTATAATTGCCAATAGTGGAAGCACACAAACACCGTACGCACGCCGCCGTGAGGTGCCAGTCGGCGTCAGGTCGGCGCAGTCTCCCGTAGTGTCCGCTCCAAATGGCAGTTAACGCTTGTGCTTTGGCTTGTATATTTGATAAAATCTGCGGAAGGGAGTTCAACATGATTCGACAGGTTTTTTTTTTTTTTTTTTTTTAGTTCCAAGGGGCCTAGGATGTGGGTTGGACCGATGCCAAGAAAAATGGGGGAGTGAGAAAAGAAATGAGAAAAGAAACGAAAAAAGAATCGATTCTTTCAGTGCCGGACTGTGAATCTGTGGGTGTGTGGACCTGCACTGGAAATGACTCACTCTTACATTTCACCAGAGTGCAAAATGTGTACAATATCACTTACATGTACATTGTACTGTACATTGACCAGTTGTACTTTTTCCCCAAAAAATTCAGATATTTGTGCACAGAATTTGAATTCCACAGCGGGGTTCTGATAATGCTTTACATTGTCCTGACAAAATAGACAAACTTGCTGAACTACGTTTGGACTACAATCTACATCTACTCTTAAAGGGCCTATGTTATGTAATTTTTTTAATGCAGTCCTTGTAAATGCACATTTGTGTCCCATTTTACCTTATTTTTCCATTTTCATTTTGCCTTTTTTAAGGGCATTTCGGTGTCCTTATGGTTCTGATGCTAATGCAAATTTGCATATTCATGAGCAAGAGTGTAGTGTCATTTCAGGCAGGAAACTCTATGCAACAGCTATGTCAGCACAAAATTTACCAGAAGTTTGGACATTTTGCTGTTGCAAATGTTCATGTCTTTGGTGATTTTTTTGTCGTTTCAGTACACGACAGTAGGCCAATGAGCAAAATTTTCTCACAAAATTTTTTCAATGAGCAAATGTTGGGTTCAAAATTTGAACAGAAGCCCCCTCAACTGAAAATCTTCCTGAAATGACATCACAGCAAGTGCGCCCTCATGTGTCCGGAAAAGTATGGAACTTTTTAAAGTTTTAAAGAAGTGCACTTTTCAATAAGATGAATCAAAAAGGGATGTCAAGTTGTTTTCATACATTTATTAAAGAGGAGTTGAAAGTTGCACAAAATATGTTCCCAAGTAAAATTCATGTCATGGGCCCTCTAAAGACATGTTTGCCCTTAAATGGGCAAAATTTGGAATAATAGGATGTACGCGTGTGAATAATAAAACTGCTAGACAACTTTTGGAGTTGTGAACATCCGACACTAATGTTTGAAAATTCCAGCATGAAAAGAGTCAACATGGGAATACATTTGACTCTCGTTATAACAAGGTCGATGGGACTAGACAAATTACCTCTTTATAACAGGAATGTTGTTATAAAAGGACAGCGAAACAAAGAAACACAAAGACAACCTGATATTCGGGACCTCAGAATTTGCTCTTTATAAGCAGAACCTCTTTATAAAAGTGCTCTTTATAATGAGAGTCGACTGTATTTAGAATTTTTGAAGTTCAAGATAACGTGTCATGATCAGAGACTTCAGCAAGGTGCAATAACCTACCTTTGGCGTTCTTTGTTCTGTGAAAAAACCTGGAATGAAACAAACATGAAAATGAGTGGACGTGAATTAAAAAGAAAAAATAATCAAAAGAAAAGAAAAAAAGTTGCATTTTTAGGTTCTCATGTTGCCATTTTCAGGGTTATTCGGTGCATCTTTGGTTTTTATGCTAATGCAAAATTACATATTCATGAGCAAAAGTGTAATGTCATTTCAGGCAGAAACCTCAATGTTACAGCTATTTCAGCACTAAAACTTACCAGAATTTTGGATATTTCGCTGTCGTACATTTTCTTTTCTTTGGTGATTCGTTGTGTCAGTACATGGCAGTAAACCAATTAGCAAACTTTTCTCAAAAATGTTTTCAATGAGCAATTTTTTGGGTTCACAAGTTGAACAGAAAACCCCTAAACTGAACAGTGTCTTCCTGAAATCACATCACAGCAACAGCGCCCTCAGTTGTCCGAAAAAAAGCATGGACAATCATAGCAGTGCACTTTCCAATAAAATGAACCAAAAAGGGGTGTCAAATAGTAACCAAAAAGGGGTGTCAAATAGTTTTCATACATTTACGAGGAGCAGAAAGTTGCACAAAATGTGTTCCAAAAAACTTCATCTCACAGACACTTTAAATATCACTACCATCATTGATAGGCATTTGTTAATGCATGCCAGAGTACAGTGGGAAAAAAAAACAGGCTTGGTGGAACTTAACCCTACCTACAAAAGAGATCCAAGTAATTTTGTGAAGCATATCAGTTAAGAACAAAAATCCCTTTATTCACTGCTAAGATCAATGTTTATTGAATTTCTGGCTAATGCTCAGTAACACGGGGACACTTTTATACCAGACGGCCAAACTCTTACCTATAGTCTTCTCTACTTGTCTCGAAGCAGACAACTACTCAACAGCAAAACCTCACAGTAGTTCCACTGTTATTTCAAACGTAAATTTTCCAGCCTCATAAATAGCACTGTAGAAAAGGAGAACACAAATTTGTATATTCACAATTGCGTTTATAAGGTAAGAATTAATGTGAGAAATATTTGTTCAAGATTTTCTTTTGTTTCATAGAACTAATTACTTGATCATTTTGAATAGAATTTTCAGGCCGCTTAATTCTATTATTTCATTTTGTAATGGGGCCGTCACCATACTTAAGGATAAATCTCACCTCTTTTAAACGTTAAGGCTTTTCAGTACAATGTGTGCGAAAGAAGAACTAAAATTCTTCTGTAACAATATGCAGCACTGGTTGCGTCCTGTAGAGGAAAAAGCAAAAAGGTCAATATCGTTAATATAGCTGCATCTACATGAACCAGAAAATCCAGAAAAATTGCGGTAAAGTTGCTTGCTCAGGGACATGGGGTCCGTGTGCCTTAACCCTAACAATCCCCATCCAGTCTCACTCCAACACCACAGTTTGTTGGAATCTGTTAGAGTGAGTACTACACTAGTAAACTGATTATGCCTTACATGGGGTTAAGCATACCACCATAATCAGAGTCCAACAGTTTGGCTGTTGAGTTTACCATATGGTGTTGGAATTTGCAAATTTGCTATTCCAAATTTGCAATTCCAAAATAGGGCCATGTCTCAAATGGGTACTGCTGCACAGATTCTGACTTTCACTATTATGCGTATGACGAGAGCCGTACGGCAAAAATGTAATTGGTACTGAACACATTAACCCTTCAAGTTTTGCAAAACCACTTTTGCCCATTGAGTTAGCCCCCACACTTTAAATTCTTTTTAGGTTATTGTCTGTGGAGTGAGGATAACACTTCAAATCAGTGCGCGACATCACGTATCTGTAATCGGCTGAATGAGAATGCATCCCGGACGCTGATTTATGCACAATTCAAAACAGGACTCGGCACCTTTTGAATTGAAAAGCCGGATCCTAGAATATTGTTTTCTAGGAATATACAGCATTCAATGAGGTAAAACTTCATCAGGTTAGTTGTTAAGCACCCTTCTTTAGATTTAGAGCACTTTTGTTGCTTCAAATGAAAGAAATGCACGAACGACAAATGATATACTCTACCTTTAACATGCCTTCACCCGAAATTGACCTTTGGGATTTAAAAATGTTTAAACATTGCTCTGATCCACTTAACCTTCCTACTTGGAGGTCAATATTCAGACCGAAAACTGACTTTCCACAAGGAGGGTTATAAAAGAAAAATTAGCATTTCCAACAAAATGTGCAGGGAGAAAAGAGCAAAACAAGTAGGGTTAACGATGAAACAGATTTTGTTTCTGTCTTACCTACAAAAGACTCTGATAAAATCTTGCATAAACCTCCCCTAGAATGGCTTGGAGGGTGATATAGTCTACATGGTGGGCTCCTCACCACCTGACTCAAGCTGCAGCGGTGGGAGCTTGCCAATGGGACAGTTCTCTTGCAAACAACTGAAAAACAAACAAAACAAAAGAAATAAGCTTATAATTAAAATCGATTAAGTTCAGTCTTTCTTTGGATGTTCAGTTTACAACTTGCGACACTTTATTCAGTGTTCATTCTACTACATATGCAGACATGCAACTGGGAAGCAACCAAAAAAGGAGGAAATCCGAAGATTAACAAGACTCTATAATATAGGGTTTTTTTAATTCTTAATGGCTGAATTCAGCTGAACCAAGGAAAAGTTGCATGCCTACATGTACGGTACATGTATACAAACATTCATTCATAAATATCTAACATAGTTTACCATTCCTATTCATAGAGAGCCCACCACGTGACCGGTTTTAAACGGAAAAGACCAGCTGGCTGGTCTTAAACACTTTTCCAGTGTCACATGAAAGTTGGACTCCTATGAAATCCGGTGCCTTTTACCGTTTCATTGGTTGAGCATTCACAATCCTCATGTGGGCATGCGCAATACTACCAGTAAGTCAGTATTTCATAGTCAGAAATTAACACTACACCGGCACAGCTGCATTCTGTACCACATCGCTCAGTACGCGCGACGTACTCCATATAAGTTAAGGAGTTGTAGAGGGGCATACCATAATATAGAAAGAGGGTGTTTCGTAAAACATGAAGTGAACTTGTTGAACAAAATCGTTCTAAATTTATATTTTTTGACTTTTTACCAAAATGTTTTTCTTTTTAGGACCGAAAAGGTATTTATGATTGGGAATAAACATGTGCTTGGCTGGTATTAAACACTATGTTTAAGACCGGTTGGAGACTGGATGCTGATAATTACCTTCGCCTTCGGCTATCAAGATATAAGTTCGAATTTACTGGCACAACATTTGGTACACAAACATCCGTTGCATTCAAGGCAGAGTGGGTACCCTGCCAATGGACTGCACATCAACTTTAAACGAGCGAATGCTGTGCAAAAAAAAGGAATGCTCTGGCAAAGAGCTGGCATGCAACATGATCAGAATAAAAAAAATTGCTGCATTCGCTTGTGATTGAGCATGTTTGAAAGGCACGCAGACTACCTAGGCTACGGCTCAGCACAATCTTATCACAAACTTGTAATATAACTTACAGGTTACGCGGATCCATATTCAAGCATTCAAGCTCAAAATCAATCAGGAATCTTTCGTTCTCATGCTCTCGTAATGACACTGCGAGATGTGAAAAGTGTCGCTGAGTGAGCGAGCAAGTGCTTGCGCATGCTGTAAGAAGTTCAGCAGAACTAGAAGAGTGACTCACACGAAGCGACGAAAAAGAAAAAAAAAAGGGAAGAAAAAAAAAAAACGGCCAGCCAGACGTTGATATTCATTTCCTGTCTGGGAAGTGCCATCGGCTTGCGTGGGGAGGAACATGCTTCAGCTTATCAGACCGTGGCTGGCATACCTAATGCCGCACTGCTGCGCTTGCAAGAATAAAAAAAAACACAAGGCCTCATTTTTTTTGTGGAACAGCCTTTGGCCACAAGTCCTGACAATAACTAGTCTCCATTGGGAGATACATGTACATGTACACACAGGAATAATTGAATGCAGGGCCTTACATATGAATAATGCATTCAGACTGCAGACGTTATTCAATTTAAGAAGGGAGGGGGGAGGGAATAAATACACATGTATGTAGCTTGAAACTGAAATTGAAACTATGACACCGCTTTACCAAATGTTACGTTTTAGGTCTCATTCATAGATCCTTAAATTGACGACGTAGATTTAAATGTATACTTTGTAATAATAATTAAACAACAATAAAATTGAAGAGAAATTGTACATGTGCAATGCTAGTGGGGCTCTGTTGGTGATTTGGTACACTGTGTAAACATATTTTTTTTGTGGAAAATGAAATTCTTAAGATGGAACACGAATTTTTTTGCACAGAATTTTTAGTCAATTTTAAAGAAATCCACTTACTATTTCTATCTGCTGGTTAAACATTCTTGGCAATGCAAAACATACCTAAACAAAGGATGAGAAGACGAAATTTATGTTACAATCATGTACAATCAATCACTTTTTTTCAGGCATTAATCATTCTTACTTTTTACTTGCATTTTCTTTTGGTCACTCAGATTAAACTTGAAATGAACAAGAAAATGCATCGGTTGTACAAAATGTAAACATGTAAATGTATGTATGTAAATCAGTCATGCAGAAAAGCACAGCCATCACAACTCATTAAAAATGCTAATCAGAAAAGATCTATAGGCTAAGTTATGGAAACTTCCTCTCTGATACGGACAGAGCAAACCATGCCGACAATACATGTGTACATGTACACATAATGAACAACCTGAACATATGTACATGTAGGTTGATACATGTATGTGTGTACATGTACATGTACATGTACAATGTACGTATGTATACATCGTACAAACATACCAAATACCGGTACCTGTGTATCAATTAATACTGTACATGTACAATACATGGACATGTAGTCATATTCAAATACTGAGTAAATAGAGTAACCATGTACTGTGGTGTACATGTCAACTTGTAAACAGTCAGGTCATGCTTAACAAGTCCTGACATGCACCGGTGACCTCATTATAAACCAAGTAATCACAATACAACAAAAATAGCCCTGCACAGTGCAAACACTCTAAACATATGCATGCATGAAAAATACAGGATGGTACAGTATTGGGCCAACATAAACAAAAACACATGTACGTACACACTTGTACAGTATGTTCATTGAGTACATGTATAACGTAAGATCTCTTACAAATCACAAATGTGAATACACATTAAGATAACTTTCTTTGACCTTAAAACACACTTGATGGTGTTTTCTGTCATTGTCTGTCTTTCACTTTCTGTTACATGTACGTGTACCTCTACCACTATGTTGTACGGTATCTTTCGATTCCTATTAAAGGCAATGTATCGGTACATGTACATGTACATGTACATACATATACATGTAGGCCTACCAAAAACCAAAACTACCAAATTATTGTGAAATACATTGTACCTTACTTTACTGTAATACTAGTCTCAGGCATCCTGGGAAATCATGGCACCCGATGTGTGGTGTCATTTTCAAGAAAAGCGGAATCAATTTTCAACGATGGTCGGCTGACCATCTTTGGAAAAAAACAACTGACATTTTTGCAAATACTGCCCCCCCCCCCCCCCCAATTTACCAAATTTAGTTTAGTCCACATTTTGTTTGCAATCGGTTACACGTGCGTAGAAGGGTGTTGGCCAGCTAGTTTGGTTCCCTGACGTGACAATTCCCCGATGTTTATAAATCGTTCTGCTTTGCCTGAAGTAAGGTCAGGGAACCAGACTTAAAAGTACACAAACAGTATGTTTTGTCTTGGTTTTTCAAGCATCTACGAAAACAAAACTTTAAACAGGTCCGTGTAACAATATCTGCTATAAACTACTAACCCCCAAATCCATCCGTTTCTGAAAATTAAAGCAAAAGCAAATGTTCTATATTACATTTACTCTAACCTTCCTAAATCCTCCAAAATCCTCTTTGCAAAATGGAGGATTTTGCAGGATGGAGGCTATGTGGCAAAAATGTGCGGCTGATTTTGGAGGATGCACTGTGTCAAGGTCTTGGGCCGGACCCTGTGTTTTTTATGATCAACCAGGCATAAATTTGACCTACATGTAGATTGTACTATAAAATCCTCCGCACAGCTCCAGGATGTCACTGGCTCTGTCTCAACATACAGACAGTGATTGCTGGAGGATGTTGCAGGATTGAGGCAGTGGTCACCCCTCCAAAGACCACACTCAAGAAATAATGGAGGACTTTGCAGGATTGAGGCTGTATGCAATTTTTACATGGAGGCAGTAGGAGGATTTTTCAAGACTGAGGTTGCATCCTAGCAAAAATGCCTAGGGAGTTAGGGTTAACAAACCAAATTTCTTTTCCTCCTAAGATTATGTGCAGCAGTACAGCTCCCCATAGGACGCATTCCAGCGCGCCGGATAACCTATTTTTAGCCCAGAGGATGAGGAATTGACATGCTCTAAAACCTTCCCTTCCCTCTGGAAAGCTGAACTGAAAACCAGATGGCGCTCGCGTTCCAGAGTGGCAATCGCAATCACAATCGAGGTAAACGAATGTAAACAGGGAACGAAGCCAGTTCCAAGAGTCTACAAATCCTTGAGCAAAGACGGGCTAGATGAGATCCAACCGGATACAAATGGCACTCAAATTTCTGACTTCTTTTTGTTGTGTAGCTGGGCAATTCCACGGAATTAAGGCCTACTGGTATAAACCTCAATGCCAAAACTGCCAGACACCATCATGTTTTTTTTATCAGTTGATAAAGACACTGTGATGGTGTCGCAAGCTCCTGATACGAGCTCTGTAACTCAAGTCCCAAAAAGGTGTCTTCTATTTACTTGATATAATAATGGGACTGGAAACGAACTTTCATGCTCGATGCTTTCAAATCATTGGAGTAACTAAGTGACATGATTTATCAAAATTATAGTCCACTTGTATGACTACAACTTTTATTATGCATACGGTTGAACTGTCCAAAAATGTACGTCCGACATTGGGGAACTGCCCAGTTGTAAAACAAAGGGAACAATAAAAGTATGACCAGTGGCTCCTGGGAGGGAAGTACTTCATTTCCCACAAAGCCTGATTAGAAAAGGGGGAGGGGTCTTTGTGAGTCACGTCAACTGAGTGATCCGGCTCAGAGTAAAGGCTTCATTGTCATGCGAGTGGAGTGGACATGCTGGATTTCTGCAAAGCATATTTTGTTTTATTTATTTCTGGTGATGAAACCAAGGATTCCTCAAAAGTAACCTAAGCACCGTAGCTCGAAAGCCTGAAGAAACCTGTAGAGAGAAGACAATGAGAATAAATTACAGTTTTAGAGGTGGGAGGAAAAGCCCAGAAGAACATTCTGGGGAAAACCCACGCAATCAGGTAGGGACTGAAAACCCAATCCACATATTGGCCCGGGCTGGATTCGAACCCGGGTCACAGGCCCACATATCTCAGCGGTCAGGTGGAATGGAAAACATTCACGGCTGATTCTGGGGAACAGTCTGTGACATCAACTGGGATATCCAGGATGCCATGGTTGTTTGTCTTCAGCTCGGCAACTTCAGTTTTCAGAATTGAAAAACTTGGAAGAATCTTTTCACAGGTCTTCTTGAGTTAAAATACGCAGATGTACATATCCATCAAATGTTGATTGAATTGTGCCTAATTCCCATCACACGTATTTCTGCTTTACTGGATTGTCCGCACCCACTTCCATTTCTCTGGATTCTACACAGACAACTGGGAATGGGAGGGCAAATCTATCAGCTCTATGACACCGCTCAAGGCATTGGCTCACTGCCAAATCAATCCAGCACCGAAAAAACATAAAGCGTAAGCAATTCTCATACTAAACTGATACAGTGCAACGTTAATTCACCACGACACAGAGCAAAACCGAGACACCTATTAGATCCTCTAAAATGCACGCTGCATTTTCCTCTTGTGAATGCCGTTTTGCCGAGGCAAGGAAACCATCGAATGCAGTCTTAATACGACAGCAATCAATACCGGCGTACAAGCTGACCAAAGCCCTGAGCGCCCGCTGACAAAACACGGAACTAGTGACCCTTGCCATCGCTGTATTGAATAAGCTTCCCCGCAAAACCCAGAGAATTGGGCCGCGCTGCCATCGACATGTATCTAGGCCAACTGTTACATGGAGACTGTAGGGCCCAACGGGGCAATCTGCAAAATGTCAGAGGCAAGGATCGGTCGAGGATCTCGCTAAACGATAAGCACTGGAGGAAAAAGGGGAGGGGGGGGGGCAGACGTGGCCTGTGATGACAGGTTTTCAAGTGTCGGATCAGTCGCCTGATTCTTTCAATAGACTTCTCCCTAGACCCTGAAGGTTTATTATGATATTTTTTTCCCCTTTTAAAGATCAATTGGGGAGAACGGTATGCAACTGAGGTCACCCCATAAAATCTACGACAACAGTTTTGTCAAGAGGATGGGAATATCGCAAGGTGTTGACACCCGTTGGGAAGCGTGATTGAAATTTGATAGTGGGACTTCAGATTGGGAGAGTATTGAAGTGTAACACAGAAGAAGAAAAAAGGATTGCTATCTATAATCAGTTACTACACGTACGATACTTTACAAGCGCTCTTGAGGATGTCCAGCATCAAAGTGCATGTCTATCGCATACACACACACACACACACACTGTATTGCAATCATTGACATGAATTATCTAAGAATCTATTTCATAAACTGTAAACTGTTGAATGGGATGGTGCCAGACTATTTCATGATTGGAATACATTCCAAGCATCGCTTTCAATTTTTTTTTTCAAACAATAGGGTATGTTTATTCATAAATTTTAAATTAGTCATAACAGCAGACTGGTATTAGTTTGTAATGAACTTTTATTTCATCATGACTACTTGCAAGTTCCAAAAATGAAGACTTTACCTCGCTTTCAATTTAATATGGCAGACTTGGGAATAAAGTCTACAGTCACAGCTGTAACACTTGAAGCATGTTCTGGACACGAACTAATGTACATTGGTAAGCAAATAGCTTAAACAAAAACTCAAAATCAAAAAAATTCTTGTGTACAATTTACAACATTACTTGTACACTGAAATCCGTGATGAGGAAGTGCTTTAGGCGAAGTAAAAAAAAAAACACGTTTCTCGGCCCGCTTCCTTTTAGGGGGCCGCCTGGATTTTTTTTTGATTTTTGATTTTTTGAAAAATGCATAAAAAAACACCGAAAAAGTCCACAAATTCATCGGAAAATAAATACTTGCTAAAAACTGTCCATTGTAGACCAGTACAACTCTAAATGACACTGAAAATATGTTCAGTTGTCTTGTCCAACTTGTCTTTCTTTTAAAAGTGTCTTTGAACAGTGGAAACACCAACGGTTGCAGGAAATTTTAAAATGGCGGCCATCTTAAAAAAATAAAAAATAAAAACTAAAAAGCCCCTCTTCCTCCTTTTTTTTTAAAAACCCGGACGAGAAACATTTTTTTTTTTTTTATTCGGCCTTACGCTGAGTTTATCTCTCTCCAAATTTCATCCCCGGTTAAAAGAACACAGACGCACCCAAGTCAATATGCAGGGATTGTTTTGAGTGAGCATACATATGTACCGTACATGTACTTGTACAAGTACACACATCACAGTGTGCATTGTGAACTAAGAAACCAAGGCTGCCGCTGTGTTATGATGGTATTTTCATTCACAATCACCCCATATTGACACAAGGCAAGGCTCCCTAACAGACAATTTGCCTGTCAAAAAAAGAAGAAGTAGATATTAGTTTTGGGCTGTCAGGGGCCCTGCCAATAAACACTGGTTTATTTTTGGTTCTAGACATCAATGACAAGGAAATCCATCATAACAACTGATGTGACGTCCTCAAGGCTCATTGGGCAAAGTCATTTTTAAAGGTATACGTGCATTTGTACATGTACACATTTACATGTACATGTATGTACTTAACAACAATTCAAAATATTAAACAAATGAGATTTCTCCAGACTCTAAGTTTCACTTTCATTACTAGACATCCATGTTTCATACATTTTTTTGGCTTTTCCAGAACTTCAGGAAAACCTTTTTGTTTTTGGTTCGAATTTTGCTTTTTCCTTATTTCCAAAATCCAAAAGACTTTTTACCCATTTTCCTCATGGGCCCAACATCACGTTTGAATGACGAAAAAAATGAAGTGTGTTCAAATTGCTGGTACATCGGAGGGGAAAAAAATACAAAATCATTGCCTTTAAGGTAATATAGAACATTTGCTGTTGCTTTCATTTTCAGAAATGGATGGATTTGGGGTGAGTATTTTATTGCAAATATTGTTACACTGACCTGTTTAAAGATTTGTGTTCATGAATGCTGGAAAAACCAAGAAAAAAGTTGTTCTTGTAATCTTGTTCCCTGACCCTACTGGTACTTCAGACGAAACGGAGATATTATGGACGTCAGGGACTTGTTAGATCATGGAACCAGACTAGCTGGCTTACACCCGTTCACGGATGTGTAACTGAATGCAAACAAAATGTGGACTAACTACATTTTGTAAATTTGGTAAATTGGGGGCAGTATTTGAAAAAGGAAAACAAATCATTTTTTTTTCCACAGATGGTCGGCCGACCATTGCAAATTGATACTTACAATTCCACTTTTCTTGACAATGACAGCACACCAGGTGCCATGACTTCACAGGATGTTTGAGAGTATTATTCACTTACCGGTACATGTACAGTCAAGTAAGGTAATATACATTATGTATAATAATTTTGTAGTTTGTTTTTGGATATTTACAAAGGTTTTATATTACCTTTAAAACAAAGGTATCCAGACTTGAAACAATGTGTCCAAAAGCTACAAGCACCCTTCTGGGCCCAATTTTACGGCTTTACTTACAGCTACCGTACCGGTACTTCACAGGTACAATGTAAGCAAGAAATTTCAGCTTGTGCGCGCATGCAAACAGGGTGAACACAGAACTTATTTGCCAGCGCAATAAACACAGCGTGGTGATCGTAAGCACAAATTCTGTGGTAAAGCAGGTAAAAAGTGTGTAGTTGCTATTTGGGTAAGATGAACGAAGTGGACTGAAAATGTTAATTAGCTCATGCTGAACGAAACTGCAACGAAAGAGGAAAAGCTTACCTTGTCATTATCATTTAGTACACCTGCAGTCCAGACAGTAATGCGACTCTCGTGTGGCTCACACTACATGAATGCATTGTTGGTTCTGCAGCAGAAAAAATAGACAAGAAACAAAACAAACCGGTCAAATGAAAGATATACATGTACAATAATCGCAACTTGACACTATGTTCTTGTCCATTGAATGCTGAACAAAATGCTACGGTACTGCACATGTGTTTAACATCACATCCTCGCTTCCTTAGTAACAATGCTGAAAGAAAACAAGCAAATAGCACATGAAGGTCTCTCAATACTGGAAACAAACCTGTATTGTCATTTTAGTCCATACACATGTACATGTGTTCATGAACATATACATGTACAATGTACATGTACATGCATGTATGTAAAATATATCAAGGAAAGCCATAGTGTACAAATGTCGTGTACATGTACCGGTACTCAATTCAAATGCACTTACCAAGGAATGCTGTACATACATCATGCAATGTCAATGTACATGTACATGTAGACTAAGGGTACAGTTGTATGGAATCATCACTTGGTCATGTTTGTGGCAATCCACCCACATGTACACTGTACATGTACACTGTACATGTACATGTACAACATGTACTTGTACAATAATTATGTACACTAGGTACATGTACATGCAAATTCTTTGCTGTGACTGACCAATCAGGTACCACAGCAAGATGCCCTCATGTTTATTCATGAGCCTGGGTAACTCCCTCGGGTAGAAATTGCAGTGCTCTTGACAATACTCCTTTTTAAAAAATTTTATTAAAAAAAAAAAGTACTGAATATCAAGTACCGTACGTGTACAGAACTGAACATTGTACCATTTAAAAAAGAAGACTATTTTACTGTTATTGTTAATCCACATGTAAACATACACAAAAATTATCTTGCAAGCAATCACTTTATCAAGTTTAAAGTTCAGGACAAACAGACCAAAATTCAAGTCTAGCTCTTGACATAAATTATAGCTGTCTGAATATATACAGGGCAATTGGCAATATGCCATGCCACGCCCCTCTACTAGCCGAAAAAAACAAAGTTGGTTCAGTAGGGTCCACAAACTATGGCAATGTTTACTGATCTGCTGATCATGTAGCACTAGCGTGATTTGGCTGTGTGCATGTTGGTTTGCCAGGGGCCGGATACTGCAGCCAGCTTTAGCAGTGATTTCAGAAATTTATAAGACAAGTAAATGTACATGTACCGGTACCAGGGTACGCGCCCTTTAACAGACAACATTTATTCATTCGAGGTACATTAGAATCATTGGCAGTTCTGGCATACTACTGGTACATGTACACAAATTTAAATGACTTCTTTTTTTTTCAGATCCAACTTCAACCAGTTAAAGGTACGGTAATATAGGCCTACTGCATTTGGGTTTGCTGTAATTTTCAGAAATGGATGGATTTAGGGGTTAGTATGTTATAGCCAATGTTGTTACATGTACATGTACACTGACCTGTTTAAAGGTTGGTGTTCAGGGATGCTGGAAAACCTATCAAGAAAAATATACATGTACTGTTCTTGTAGTCTAGTTCCCTGTCCCTTTTTCAAATGAAACAGAGCAATTTATAGACGTCAGGGAATTGTCAGGCCAGGGAACCCGACTACCGGTAGCTGGCTTGCACCCCTCTCGGACATGTAACCGATTGCAAACAAAATGTGGACTAACTATTTGGTGAATTTGGGGCAGTATTTGAAAAAAAAGTCAGTTTTTTTCCGACGATGGTTGGCCAACCATCGCAGGAAATTGGTACAAAAATTCCACTTTTCTTGAAAATGACAGCATAGGCCTACCAGCTGCCATAATTTCAGAGGAGGCTTGAGATATCATCCACTTACAGTCAAGTGGGGTATTTGAATTTTGATAATAATTTGATAGTTTTGTTTATCAATTGTTAACAAATGTTGTACATGTACATTTGTGTATTACCGTACCTTTAAAGCACAACACGGATCTATAGTTTTGAACTATAATAATCCTAAACGTACAAAGTCCACAAAAGCTTAGTATTAACGAACAGACACTGACAAGGGATGGCTCTGTTGAATTTGCCAGCCAGCGAGGGAGGGTTCTAATGATACACCAAGTGTCTGATACGAAAACCCCCATAAGCAATTCACAAATAAACCTACACCACTTCCTCATTTCGGACTAAAAATTGCAAATTCCTAACCAAATTCACGAGGGTAATATTAATGCAACGTACACCACAGTTGTGTTATTCCGATGCATAATTTCCATCACCGCATGCAACGCTGGTCTGATGCACTGATGTGCACTATACATGGCCGAGGGTCAGATTACAACACAATTATACACGCCGGCTGAGTGTATATATCGGAATAATCAAATACTGAAGTGATAATTTCCGCCAAGTCTTAGCGCCTACATGTACCTACCCCTCTGATACTATCTGATTGAGGATGTAGCTGGAATTAGGCTCATCCATGATGCAGAGGCCAGGGCGCGAGGAGACCTTGACAATTCACAGCTGCTTGGCTAAACTCGGAATATTCTGTGTTTGGGTTTACATTGCATATTGACTTCCTGTCCTTTAAAGTTACTGCATCTGATTTTCTTTTTGTACATTTTTAATTTTTTTTATTTTCAGCAACAAAATTGCTGAAAAATCTCAAGAAGGGTGCATAACAACTAACTTGTTGAAGTTTTAGCTTAGTAAATAATATTTTGAGAAAGCAGAGAAAACATACTTGTGTATGCATTTTGGGGGACTCATGACTGGACTCTGCATGCTGCTAACTCACTTAAAAAAATCTGTGCCCGCAGCTAGGCACACTTTCTCAAACTACCTTCAGTGATTGGTTGTTATTTCTGAATGATGCCATTTCAGGCAGAATGATTTCACAGGGTATTTGGTACATGTACCAGTTCTGTCTTCACTTTGAGCAAGAATGTTCTCGTTGAATCGGTAGGTACCATACGTTTCAAGGTAATTACAGATGTTCCTACATGTATAAATACATACATGCCTTCAACCAATTTAAATATGTATTGCATTGTACTACACTCCTTGGTGAAGCAATAAAAACCATAGAGCACTTGGGCAGTTTGGAGTGGTGTAAGGAGTAGCACGCAGGACACTGGGGCGTAACAGAGTAATGGGTCAATGCAATGGTCAAACTCACATACAGTACAACATGTACATGTACATGTAAGCATGTACAATGTACATGTACCGTAATTTTCGGAATATAAGCCGCGGCTTATACGTTGAATTTGCCCATGAAAATGTTTACTGCGGCTTATACACAGGGCGGCTTATACGCCGAGACTTGAAGAATAAAAATGACATTTACATGTGTATTTAATGTACTGGTAGTGGTACAAGAAGAGATGTGTTGCTGAAATAATGATCAATTAAGAAAGTCATTAACAAACCGAAAGCACGTCCCACAAAAAGATACCGAGCGGTAAAAAGTACGGGTAGTGAAAGCTGTCCCTTGGACATCGACAACCGGCCGTACGTACTGCTGCCTATGCTGCATGGATTCCCCATGGACTACACCATTTGTGGTAATAAAGGGGTGCACTTTCTTAGGAACAATAATTACCAATATTTCCCCAGTTTAAAAAAAGGAAAAAGACAACTAATACTTTTTATGGAGTTTGAAACATATCTTTATTTGATAATCAGTTGTTCAACGTCACAATATAATTTTGTTTCTTGAAATGTATTCAAGAAACGATGTAAAACTCAAAACAGGGGTGAAACCACCCCTACGAAATTAATGGATTCGTCCATAAAAATCTCGGCATCGTGTTGACTGTTGTCGAAGAAAGTTACGATCCAAACTTGAAGTTTTGACGTTACTACTCGTTAGTAATCACAACAATTTGATAAGTTTTGCTGTAAAAGTGGACTTGTTTATCCTTTAGGACAAAACAACTCGGCGTCTGTTGCCACAAAGCAGGATTTGTAGCGCTCCGGTCAGACAACACATGGTGGGTTGCTGCAAGTGCTGGGGGAAAATAATGTCATTCGCCGGCACAGGCTCACTGACGAGCCAGCCGGCAGCAATTCCCGTTTTTTATTTCTCATCATCAATTTCCATATTTGTTTGTAAGAGTAATCGACTGTAAATGATTTGACATAACATTTGTGGCCCTTTTATAGCTTTCGTAGTGCAAATGGAACTGGTTCAGAGCATTTTGACTAGAATTTGGAGGCCTTACAAAATTGAACCGCTGCGGTTGGTGCGGCTTATACGCCGATGCGGCTTATACGCCGACTTCAAATCTTAATTTGCAGATTTTTGCGTGCTGCGGCTTATACGCCGCGCGGCTTATATTCCGAAAATTACGGTAAGCATGTAAACATGTACAATGTACATGTGTACATGTACGTACACATACGTGTACATGTATACAGAGACTCTAATGTCAATGATTCCCCTGTTTCCATACAGAGAGACATACATTGTAAAGTCACATTAAAATCTCTGTACTGATATCCATTTCCAATTTCAGGAAATAATCAAGGGTGTTCATTTACATTGCCCATGTGTAACTTACATGTACATGCACACATGTACATAACTTTTACGTAGGTACAAAACAAATGTACATACATGTACCGGTACAGATTGTCTACATGTACAGGAAGGAGATTTTATTCATAAACCTTGATCCCACATTTGATAAAACTGGTGAACATTTCTTCCACTTCATGTTGGATTCTACAGTTTTCCAAGGCATTTTCTCATGAAAACTACCAACTCTAGCTGCCGGTCTTTAGAAGCTACATGTACAATGATCTATGAATAACACACACAGAAGGTGACCCCTAGTGTTATGATGCATGCATTGTGCAACGGGTTCAAAAGGCGTGCGCCATATTGTCTGTTGCACCACTGTACACAACGACAACTGCTTCTACACATCAAGCATTGGCCTGCAAAGCCATTTCCTGCACTTGCCAATAGTAATACGGTACATGTATGCACATACATGCTCAGACTATTTTTTGGTCACCCTAACCAAAAGGCAACTGACAGGCAATCTAAATATTTTCAGAGCATCACGTGCATATTATT